ATGTGACAACTGTGCTGACGGGAGTAAAGAAGGTAGTAGTCGCCTATAAAGAGCAAAAGTCAGCATAAGAAAGCAGGTTGGGGTGGTGGATGGGTTAAACAAATATAGGACTTTCCCCCAGGAGACCCTTCTGAAACAAAGTGAACTTTGATTTATGTTAAGATACGCTGTCGCAATGTTTATTTTCTTAAACCTAACCAAGGTAACTTTACTTGCCTAAACTTGACCTATGTGTAGAGCTGGGCGGTATGACCTAAAATTTATATCACGGTATAAATCGAATCCCTTCATGGTAACGGTATATATCGCGGTATAAATTTAAGTGTAAAAGTTATAATAGAAGTGTTTCTGAATGGGTTTTGTAGTCCCTTAGCAAAGCTAAATTGATAAAAAAAAAAAAAACAACAACAACAAAAGCAAAGATATAATGTATTTTTTAGAGCATTTATTGTGCAGAATGCAGATCTCAAAACTCAAAATTAAAACCCAGTACTCTATGGTGCAAAATGTCCCCTGGGATCTATATCAAATGGTAATTTCCTTCTTTTAGCAAAATCCTAAATGACTGAGTTGTGTTTTTTCCACCTGGACCTTTATGCTCTGCCATTTCTCCTCTAATCATCACGCTGTAACCTGTGACAGGCTGCTATGATACCACAACTATCACACATTCACATATGGAGTTTTTTGTGGAGCCCCTAGCGTCACATAGGTTTACATTACCAAAGGTTTATGACAAACTCTCTTGCCGAAAACCAACTCCCGTGTGCGCACGGCGAGAGAGGAGAGGGAGAGACGCTGTGCTGCTGCCAGAGGAGACACTGAATGAGTTCCCTCTGAGTGGTAAGTCGCTAAAAGAGTCTGAGAAGTCCAGGGCTGTTCATAAGACATTAACTCACTCACTCACAAGTTCTCCAGCAACACACGTTGCACGGACGTGAACCAGCTCCTCTTGCTCCGCTGTCTCTGTGCTCGCAGCCATTTTCACACTGAGGCAGGTGCGATGACGTCATCGACGATAGGACGGTAGAGCGCAAATCTCTACCGTGGGCCAAATTTATATCATTTCTACCGTCTACCGCATATACTGTGCAGCCCTACCTATGTGTAACTTTACATTAAGTACATAAATTGTCCAGCCATGTTTCCTTTCCTAAACCTAAACTACTTAACTCAACTTTACATTTCTAAACCTAACCTAAGTAACTTTACTTTCCTAAATGTAACCTTTGTAATCTTTTTCTTGCCTAAACCTAACTTAGGTAGCTTTAATTTCCTAAACCGACATACATAACTTTACTTTCCTAAACCTAACCTACATATGTAACGTGATGACATAATTCGTGGGGTGCTAATTTGTTCGATACCATACAAACTGTTGTATGTGGTTTTCAACCTGCCAAGCACAAAACAGCAGGTAGACACAGTTAGAAACTTGCTGGTAAACATAGTGGAACAGTTAGCAGCTAAAGAACCAGATATTTTCCTTAGGAGGTGGAGGAGACCAAAAATAGAGCTAATAGAGAGAGAGAATATTGGACTGGCATCACAGGTGACTGCAAACGCGACTCTGAATAATGATAGTGTGAGTCTGTAACTGCTGGATGTTTAAATAAGCAACTGCTTGCTAACAAGTTCACCTTATCAATTTGAAGTGATAATATGTCAGTGTTGTGAACAAAGCTTGTTGTGCTGCCCCCAAGTGGCCAAAATAATCAACTATTAAGATTTTGACCTGCTCACATCTCACAACACAGTAAAGTAACACAAGAGTAGGGCACAAGCAGATAAAGTTTAGAAACTTAAACTGCACTCAGGCTTGAGTTTGCTTAAGTGTATGATGTATCTTTCTTACAGTAAGCAGCTGAAGTGTTTCAACTTGCGTCCAACCCTTGAAGCCTCATTAGGAGACACCTCCCAGTCATCCAGGCGCTCAGTGGGCTCCTCCACCTCTCAGAGGAAGAGAGGAAGTCAGGCAAGAGGTGAGGAGGACCCTCTGAGCTCGCTGCCCTACAACGTGCTGTGCCACATGGCCAGTTTCCTGGACAGTTTGTCCCTGTCCCAGCTGGCTCTGGTGTCCCATCTTATGAGGCAGGTGTGCTCCACTCAGCTGCAGGAGAGAGGGATGGTCACTCTCCGCTGGGAGAAGAAGACCAGCTCGCATGGACGAGCCCAATGGAAGGCCACGCCTGTGAGACATACTAAATCATCACTATTCATACCAACTGTGATCCACGTTTTCCTTTTCCCTCCTCCTGACTCTCCTCGTGTTTCTCTCCAGGTCTGGGAGTTCAGTCACCTCTTCTCCTCAGTGGATTCATGGCATATGGCAGATGTCCCTCCTATATCTGCTCATCTAAAAGTCTGTCCTTACTACGAGACATCTCTGCGCAATGAGCGTGTTCCCCTCCCAAGCATGAGTGGTAAAAAGGAGTGTAGCCAGGAAAGGATGAGCCTCGTCAACCATTTTGCAAAAAAGAGATATCAACAATGAAAAAACAAACAAAACTTTTGATTCTACCTGCTGTATTAGAATTTGTTTATGCATTATTGACACTGATGGCCAAATTACATTGCGCAAGTGTAGGGATGACGTCATATAACCAGTAGCCTATGTCACAAAGCAAATAAAATCAACCTGAGCTTGCAGAGTTCTTCCTCTTCTTCATGATCTACCAACTTATATTCAATATTATGGAATTAATGGTTTATGTGTATAGTTATGATTTTTTTCTGCAGCATTTTATCAAATTAAAAATGTTTATTATGATAGACTGTATGATTCTAATTGTGATTTTTTAAAAAGATATGACAGAATTAGACCTACAATGATTAATCAATTAATCAGTTAGTGGATAACAATGGATAACTATTTTAATAAATAATGGCTTTAGAATTCTTAAGCAAAAATGCCAAACATCTGCTTCTTACAGCTTCTCACATGTAAAGTTTTGATGCTTCTCTTCATCATACATGGTTGTAAACTGAGTATCTTTGGACTTTGGACTGTTGATCAATAAAACAAGACATTTGAAGACATTACCAGACATTTTGCACGAATTTCTGAAAATCTATGGACAATACGATTAATTGATAAAATATCCTGCAAATAATCGTAGTCCTAAACAAAATGTGAATATCTGTACCATCGTTTTAAATTTCTGACTGTGCCCTTTACTTTAGTGTTTCCATTTTATGCAACTTTATACAAACCTGTTTTACTCCACTGCATTTCAGAGGAAATGTTGTACTTTTTGTTCTACAACATTTATTTGACAGCTAGCACTTTTCAAATTATGGTTTTACATACAAAACATGTATTCACTTTATAAAATCGAGATCATCATGACTTATTTAACTACCAAACAGGATAATAAATAACTAAAACTGGCATCACCTCGACCAGCTATGAAATCACAATGCTGTTAATGCTTCAGTAATATAGCCTTATTTTAACACTGCACAGTGAATACTTTTACTTTTAATACTTAAAGTACATTTAGCCGATACCGATTTTTTTAAACATATTTCTCACTAACATTACATTAAGCTGCAGTGTAGGATTCAGAGCATCTATAGAGTGCTCCAGGGATGATGTTTTTCTGTAGGCTGGCACAGAAGTTAGTGTTACCCTGGTTCCCTTGTCAAAAAACAAATGGGATTTTTCCATTGGATTTTGGATTATTGCAGAAAATGAGCTCTGTGGCAAACAAAGGTTTATGATACACGTTTTGTTGAGCAAGATAATCTTCACAGATTAGACCAACAGATTCACAGATAAACACCACCTGAATGATTTTTGGAGTGTAAATGCAATCAGCAGAAGTAAAAAGCTAACGTTATAACGTTATATAGGCTATAAACAAACTACACCATGGTCAAATGACTAACATCGCCACATCAGCGAGGCTGTAAGCCACATCTGGTGTTATGACGTTCTGTAGTCTCATTTAGCCACTTGTAAGCAACTGCCTTTTTAAAGACACAGACATATTTTGTTATTTATTGTAGAACAAATCTCTATTAAGCTTTTGTTAATCACAGACCTTATGTCAGGCATCTAACTATAAACCCATTCAAAAAAAACATTGACTTCAAGAAGAGGGAGCTGGGAGTGGTAAAATGTTGACTCATTTCCAGGTTTAGGGACTCATTCCTGGGACACTCTATTGGTAGAAATAGTATATCATATCCATAACTAAGTTTTTATTAGTGTAAAGTCACCTGAAAATAAGAATTGTCTTTTCGTTACCACAGAATGAGACGTTTTTATCTATATATCAAGTGGGACAGTGTGTTGTTGTTTCTCAACAGCCATAAGGCATCCTACAAAAATGCACACATAGTGGTTTGTATGATATCCTAGAAATTAGCGCCTTACGAAAGACATTATGTACTTCATGTAAAGTCACACACTTAAAGTTGCTGTGGTTAGATTTGGGAAAAGAAAAGTAGTGAAGACGCTCCTTAAAAAGACTTAAAGTCCACTTAAAGTTCACATAGTTCCCAACACCAGTCTCCTAGAGAAGGTGTCAGGGGAAAGTCTACTGTTTTGTGACCCATCCACCACCAAATCGTGACCTCTTATTGGACTGCTTACCTCTATATTTTTTACACCCATCAGTGCATTGGCCATGTTATCGCAGCCCTTCGTGTTTCTATGGTAGCCCAGAACAGACAAACCAAACACTGGCTCTATAGGGTCGTTTGGCATGGGAGAGGTTTCAGTTCTGCAACCTCAGTATTAGATGCCACTAAATCCTACACACAAGAGCATGGACTCATATAATAAGCTTTTCCAAAAGACAAAAAATACAATCTTAATACACATTGTAGCCCAAAAGTGGGATGACACTTGAACTTGCAGTCATCTTAGCTTTTTTTTTTCTTCAATGAATCCTTTCTTGTTGGCTGGCAGCATCACCTCCATGGAGCTCCTCCTCCTCCTGCTCTGTGGCACTGATCACCCCTCATACCGGGCTGCTTTGTTGTGAGTACAGCAGCGGCACCGCACCGCACTGCACGTACAACCAGAAGGTTATGAGGAGGTTATTTCGGCTCAGACTGCAGCAGGATTCATTCACACTGTAAGAAAAACGTCGGCCTGCTGCAGCTGTGAAGCAGCTCACCTGGGAACACTCACAAAGTGCCGTTTTGCACGCGGAAGGTTTTTTTTTTGTTTGTTTTGCACGGGTCTTTTGTTTTCTCCCTCTGTGCTGCATCAAGGACAGAGATAGCAGGGCGATACGAGGATCCATGAGAGACGCTTTGAACAGGATACCGCTTCAGTATCACGGTAGGCCACGGTCAGAGTGATGATTGCACAGTTACAGGTAGACACTGAGCACTGTAGTGAGCAATGGTGCAGATACCAGAAAGCTTTTGTTGGCGAGAAATCAAACCGAATAAGATCAAATACGAGATTGTATGCATATCTTATGTGCTGCAGAAAATCACAGTAACATATAATACTTAGCCGCATAGTAGCTGGTTGATAAATTAAAGGGATGTTATTTGTGTACCGTGGAACTGACACATAATATCCAGCTCTATGTCAGAGCTGAAATCGGGACACTTAACATCTGTACTGAGAAATCCCCCATCCTAACACATCCAGCTACCTGCGTGTGTGCAGGTTGTGTGGGGGTGCAGCCATGGATGCTGGGAGGCTGGAGCAGCAGGTGGCCAGTGTGGAGAGAGGCATCGCCTTCCTGAAGCAGGAGCACCTGGCCATGCTGACCGGTCTGCAGCTGGAGATCACACACCTGAAGAGGCGCTGTCATGGTCAGTGTACCGGTGACCTGCTGCTCTTCATCTATCTACTGTCACTAAATCACTTGACCCCCTGTCTGTCTGTCACCCTGTCTTAACTTTTTCTGTCTGTCTGCACGCCGTGCTTCTACCCCTCCTGGCTGCAGAGCTGAGCTGTGAGCTGGACTCCAGGTTTCCTGACAGAAGCACAGAAGGTAAGACATTGCAAGTCACAGCTGATAAGGAGTGAAGGTGATACAATATGTGGGAGTTATGGAGAGGAAAGCAGGAGAGCTGTGCAGAGAAGGACTGGGGATTCACAAGGACTACATGAGAGAAGGGGGGACAGTGACAAGGCAACATTATTACAGTAAAGTGACATTAACCTTTTTAAAACAAAGATAGAACTAAAACATAATAGAACAAATGGCTAGTCACCTGTGCACTCATGCAAACATTACGGTAGAAATACGTGCAGATTCATACAGTAAAGAATCATTAATCATCTCAAGTTCACAAACACACTCCATTTTCTCAGCATTTTAAGAATGTATAAGCCCGTAGAAGTAACAAAAAAATGATTCACTCCATACTTTGAACATACATCACAATATCTAACCAGTCAGACTTTGTTGGAGGTTTGATCTGTAACCATTTTCATGTCACAGCTTTCTTGCTGGCTGCTAATAATAGATTTTTGTCTTGTACTGATAAATTAGCGATAATATTTCTGAAATAAATTGTAGAGGAAGAACAGTCAATTCTGTAATCTATCTGTGTTACCTCCTGCCAGTATGACTGAATAGCTATGCAGCTCCAAAATCCTGTTGAGAGATAGGGAATACAAAGCACTGCTTCCTACAACGTTGCAAATCTAGTCCAGCCAGTCCTTGGTAAGAGCAAAAATTGTGTATGATTTATTTATCCCGGCAGGTTGCACTGAGTAAGAAAGCAAGTACAAGAGCACAGATATGGAGCATAGAAAGACAGAATGACAAACCCTCATGGATACAATAATCTCAACACTATGTCTGTATTTTCTGTGTTTGTATACACTTCAGTCCATACTGTATGTGTTTATGTTTCTCAGAGGAGGAAGCAGAGCTGGCAGCACGCTGTGAGGCTGTAGAGCGTCTCCTAGAGGACCAGCAGTGCATGATGGTCGCTGCACGTGGGGAGCTGCGGGCCGGCCGGGCACGGGCATCAGCACTAGGAAGGAGCCTGAGGGACGAGGAACGACATTTCCTAGAGGAACTGAAACGCCGCAGCCACAAGATCACGCTGCTGAGTCGTGAGCTGCAACGCCAAAATGTCACCACCACGACCCTCTGCCACGAGCTCCACACTGCACGCTTAAAACTGTTCCAGCAACGGCCGAGCACAGAGGCTGGTGCAGAGGGAGAGGTGGCATCCAGAGGAAAGGAGGAAGAAGAGGATGATGATGATGAAGAAGGTGAGGAGGATGAAGATTATGAAGGGGAGGGCTCAGACTGGCTTCTGTCTCCACCTCCTCCAGCCTCTCCCAGCCAACCAGAGGCAAGGCATAGGAGGCGTGTCAGCGTGAGGGAGGAGAGGGTCAGAGCTTGCGTCCCGCAGGAGAGAGTGACATCACCGCAGAGGCCACACCCCATGCCTGACCCTGCCCTCTTCTTGGTGCCGCTCAGATACCGCCTCCTTCGCTTGAACAAACCAATCAGAACGCAGGATGAGGAGGGGATGGAGGATGAGTGGGAGGATATAGAGGACAGCAGGGTGCACAGGAGGGTGGACATGGGAGCAGGAGAGGGAGAAACCGCTCTGTGATGAAGATGAAAAAGAGAAAGTTGTCTTCCAGCAGGTCTCGGCCAAGATCAACTGATGCAGTTATGCTAGAAAAAGCTTAAGATGAGAGAGATGTAACCTTGTGATTGTCTGTAGATTTCAGGAAGTAAAGTTAGAGATTTAGAGATAGTTGCACAAGAATGTGATCAAACCTATACACAACAGCGTATTAACTGAATTCTTCACATTGATGGTACGACATGTACTGTGAGAATGTAAAGAAATGAAGACTGAATAGTGATACTGTTTCATAGGGATGCCTTTTGATTTTAACACTGTTGATCACGGCTTTTGCCTGTAATTAGTAGCCATGCCTCTGGGTCTGTCAACACCTACACCGTGCTGCTTAACGTGGCGGCAACCTGCTTTTTCACTGCACTAGCTGCATTCCAGGTTCAGACAGTCACTCCAGAAGGTTTAGGGACATTTTGTATGATTTGCACTTTATTAAATTCATGCAATGTGCCTGATGATGGCAGAGCAGTATCTCTGGTGTCTTGTGGTCTCTTTTCAACGTTTGAAAAAAGTTTTTAGTAGGTCTTCATCACAGCAGATACTGTCATTGTAGTAAAAGCACCAATAACATGAACAATGGCTCTGTTCAAGTGTCCCAGTAAGCTTGTCACAATACGACATTCAGACCATTAATATAGAAGCAAACCACTATGGAAAGATATAGTGGAGTAATGGTATCCTGAGCAGAGAATGAAGTCAGTAGTGCTTGTATGTTAGTGCATGTTAGTCCCTGTGTGTGTGTGTCCCACTGGCTAGCTAATCGCCACCGATCTGCACTGCGCTCATACGGTGGTTACAGCTGAAAATACCATCCCAACCCACAGTGTCATTGAGGAAGCATCACTCCCACCCTCCATTTCCTCCTCAAGTTAACATAAGCTCTGTCACCACTGTTGCAGTTGTTAGCACTGTTTGTGCTGTTAGCACCATTAGCTGCTAGCCACCTCCATGTTGAGAGCCATGTGCAGACAATCCCGGCTCAGACTCTGAATTATAGATATGCCCTAAATATCACACACAGCTTCTTTAATTGTAATATTTACATGTGCTTTTCCTACAATGAATATCAAGAGTCAAAATATCTGCTGTAAATAAGGTCTGTTACAAAGATGTTATAATGTATTTTTTTTGTATCAATACCCTACTTCTTAAAATTATTACTTAAATTATACATGAGCCAAAACAATAGTAATGAACAGAAATATAATCAGCAATCAATAAATCAGTCATTCAAGTTATTATTTAAGCAAAAACACCAGATATTCTCTGTCTGCAGCTTCTCTGATGTGAGAATTTGCCTCTATTGTGTCTTTTTTATCCTCATAGATTGAATATCTTTAGGGTTTGGACACTTTGGACACATTTGTGACAGGCATTACACTGGGTGGCAGTACAACCAAACCTTGACTGGGCTTAAAATATAACCAGATCTGTGTGCACTGCTGAAGGTGCCAAAGAAGTAAAGGGAAGGAAAACACCTACGCACAGAGTACAAAAATACATGCATCACTAAATTTCCTGCTTCTACAGTTGACCGAATGAAATATTAAAAGAGAGAGGGGGTGCAGAGTTCAGAGGACTCTGAGGAGGTGTGCAGGAAGATTGTGATGAGTCACAGTCTGACTGTCCATCATCTGCAATCTGCATCTTTTATACTATACAGGTTTATTTGCAATATGCCACAGCATGGTGAATGCACAAACACAAGGCCAAATAAAGCTGTAGGCTAATTATTATTGTTTTAGTATTAACATGGGCCATTAGTATTCCTGTGATCAAATGTGGTGGCATAAGATGAAAGTTGAAATGATACGGTGAATAAATGAAACAAATTAATTGGTGTTGGACTGTTCTTTACTCATCAGAGGGGGGAGGGTACTGGTGTGTGACTGCTCCCCAAAGCTACAAATATTTTTCCTTGAGCCTCCCTGAGTGAATGCAAGAAAAAAATGCATGATCTTCCCTCCACCATAAATTATTAGATTTTTAAAACTTACCCTTTAAAAGTTGAAAAAAGCCTCAGTTTTTCACTCTGTCCTACATGCTGGTTAGTTTGTGCTAATGGTTTATTTTTGGCCATATTTTAAATGAGACTTAAAATAAAGGGAGGCGCCTCCCATGTTCCAGCATGTCCCACTGGTAGGAGGCTCCGGGATACCTCGTCTGGCCTGGGAACACCTTGAGGTCCCCCAGGAGGAGCTGGGAAGCGTTGCTGTGGAGAGGGAAGTCTGGACTACTTTGCTCAGTCTGTCTCTTTTAAGCTCAGATTTGGTCTTTTTTTCTCTGACAGGAGCGTTTGGCGCACTTGATGTGTCCAAGGACTGTCGGAAATTTGAATATACAACAATAATTTCTGTTTTTACAGCTTCTGGCTATAATAAATGGTGTAATTATGTCAAGTTAAACACAACAACCCTGAAGGCTTGTTCTTTCAAAAATCAGTGGTAAAATAGATACACAAAAGAATACGTCACTCGTGAATTTTTAAGTTTTTATGTGTCTCAAATACAATGGTTGCGAAAAAGTGGCTAAATGAGACTATGGAACGGCATCATGCTGACCACACCTTTACAGCTGTGGTGTCAACATTAAATCATGTGACAATGGTGTTGTTCACTGATAGCCTAACGTTAGGTTTTCACTTATGGTGATTGCATTTAGGCTTCAAAAATGATAAAAGTGGTGTTAATCTGAGGAGACTATCTTCCCTAACAAAACGTAAGTATTAGTAACGTTTGTTTGCCACAATAATCTAAAATCCAGTGGGAAATCCTGTAGGGAACCACAGTGGTGCCAACTTCTGTGTCGGCTTACAAAAAACTATACTCAAAACAACCATTTGAATTTGTATGCCCCTCCCCTAAACTAAAATAAAAAACATAAGTCCCTCCCCAGTGCTTAGGAAATCAGCTGACATGCCTCCCCCTCGTTGCACCACCCACTCCCCCTCATAAATAATGAACAGTCTCTAATGTGAGTTGATAACTGAACAGGAAATTATATTGAATGACAGAAAAAAAAAATCAAGATTAATTTATTGTTATTGCACAACACAGGGTTGAACCTTTCAACCACAAACTACTGCATTACTCACATGTGGTGGTCAGTGTAACGGTACACGTGTAACTTGTCTCCTAGCAAACGTCCCATTCTAGAATGTTCCCACAGTTGTCTTGGAGACTGTGCTCCGAATGTTAATGTCTCTCTGCAGCGCTGCCATGGCAACCACAGAGCTGCATTTGGAGATCTCATGCCTAAAAGTGTGTACAGAGAAAGGGAGACAGAGAACTGGAGGGCTGTTTCCTGGACTTTGTGTTTGGGGAGAGGTTTGCTGTGTCATGCCCCGTGTATAGTTTTCATAACATTAAAGAGGCGCCAGACCTCCTGCTGCTGCTATTTATACACCTACTGCACATGCTCACATTCAAGGTTGATAGAGAGTGCATGGACCAGTCTGAATACAGGAAGTTACATCATGAACGGCAGGGAGGTTGCCCTCTTCTGGACTTGGATGGGTACTAGGTGTGTGGATGTGCATGTGTGTGTGAACAGAAGGGCCTGCATGCTCCTCTCACAGCTACTCTCCACCCATGAAGGGCAGACTCACACATGCACTGACACACAGTTTGTGTAATGTGGTTTCGCAGCAAAGACAGAGGAGCCTCCTGCTGTAGAGCAAATACTGGGGAACTCAGCTCTGTGATTTCAGCAGGATGGACAGCAGAGGAGTCTGGAGAAGATGACACAGACTGACAGCCTCTTCCTCTCTCCACACTGGCTGGTAGGGCCCATAGATTGATTACATTGATGTCATATTGATGCTGTTTTATGCTTCTGTTGTTTGAGCTACATGCGTTTCCTGCTGCACCTTTGTGTTCCCAGGAGCTTCAATAAGGTGTGTTACCTTTATATAAACTCCAATTATGATTCAAGACATTAAAATTGAGTCTATTCAGACCACCCTGCTGTTTTTATTTATATAGCCAAATAACTGTAACTTATAGGCATTTTTATACTCTAAAATTTTGCTCAGTGTTCCCTTTCATCTGTGTTCCAGGATTTCCACATATCCAACATCATTCCAGAGTCCATCTGATGTGATTTAGTTTCCAGTCCTTTCCTCAGTAAGGTGACACCTCTGCAGGAACACTTTATAATCTTACGGTCATCAGCTGTTGTCTAAGGCTCTTATCTGCTTGCATTCACACATGCCACACAAACAGACACGCACATGTGACAGTGACAAAGCCTTTTGTAGTTTATAATTAGCAGCTTAATTCAAACTAATCATGCATTTAAAGGAACACTTCACCCCCTAAATGACCATTTGTAAATCAATTACTCATTTCATGTGACGTTAAATTTGTGAAGAATAGGCCTACTTTGTTTTTTTCTCATGCCGTCAAGGTGAACCAAAAATCCTCCAAAAAAGGGAAAATTCTTGTTATATTGAAGTCATAGGGGTCTGAGTTTAACAAACAGAAAAATTAGAATGTGTGTTTACAAACTCTCACACAACTCGTGCATTATAGCCCACGTCTCATTTATTCAGCTGTATGCTCTGTACTTGTCAAACACATGCATTTTTACTAAAACATTACTATTTAACACTTTTGCATAAGCAGCGCTACTTGTCTGTGCCTGAGACTGTTAATGGGGAAGTGTTTAAAATCACTGGAGCACTGAATGACGCCTTCAGCTTAGTTTCATCCCTGATACCCAGGACTGCCCTGCTATAACCAACCTCAACCCAAGATGTGTTTCAAATATTGTGATTCATAAATAAAGGTAAAGTGGTATTTTTGTACTCAGTGGTGTGGTTGTCATTCTTCGGCCTTGTTTAAAGGTTTAATGTTAACTTACCTGTTGGCCTGCAAGTCCCCATGAAAACAAACTTTATAATGATACACCTGCATTTCAGGAGAAGTTGTGCTAAGTAGCGTTTGTAACACAGTCTATATTGGAAGTATTTGTTTTATTTGTTTATGTGATGTCATATGTGACTTAGGTGAAAACAACGCTTTTTTATACAGTCTGTGAGAATAGCACATAGCCTAGCTTCTTAGTCTACCTTGTTAGCCTTAGCTAGCTTCAAGCTAGGTGGGTATGCTTCAGCAACCAGACTTCATAGAGTGCCCCAGAAGTGAGTCTGAAAACCTGGAAATGAGTTAGCACTTTAGCACTCCTGGTTCCCTCATCTTAAAGTCAATACTTTCTTGATTCTGTTTTTAGTTTGATGACTGAAAAAAGGTCTGTGGTTAACACAAGCTTAAGAGACTTTGACGTTTTGGTCTACAATATAACATACATTGGTGTCTGGAGCACTCTGTTCTGCCTGCCTCAGCTTCACCCACGCTCAACCTCTTTGCCTATTTTGTGATTAGGTGGAGGTTAGGTAGGGTCAGGCACTGCCGAGATGACGACAGCCAGAAGTCTCCCTCTGAGCTTCAAAAAGGCTCTTTAGAAACCTAAGGGTGACGTCACAGAGACTGCACCCATTATTTGTACAGTCTGTGAACGGAAGGGATATTAATTGATATACAAATGGTCATTTGGGGGATGAAGTTTTCCTTTAAGGTTTAACAAGTTAATTAACATCATGCTGAAAAACATTTTTATTGCAAATCATTTGGCAAAACTGACAGTCTTATTTAACCAACCTTAAAGTTTTTTTCTTAATACTCTTTTCTCACTGGAGCTGTATAACTGTGCTTCTTTTCTCCCTCAGGCCACCTGCACAGTTCTATTGCTGTTTGGTGCACAAAGGCATCATGGGAAACATAGTCCAGTGCTGCTACACACTGTCAAACTTCTTCAAGTGTAAGGATACACCGATCCAGGGTGAGGCGGAAAGATCCCCTCTGCTCTCCAGTGAGGAGAGCGAATGTGAATCGCTGAGCCTGCCGGACGACTTGGAGGATGATCTGTTAACCGTCTCCACCGGGGTGACAAACCCAGCCCTCGAACCAGAGCACTTCCTGTTTCCTGACATCATCCTAAGCAGCAACTTGGGAGGGGACGTGACTCTGGTGGAGCCGATGGTGTGTCTGCTGGTGTCTGAGGAGGAGGAGGTGGTGAGGGTGGATGAGCCGGGAGATGATGGACAAGAGAGGAGCAGCAGGTGGAGAAACAGGGGGTTTTCTGAAGTTGAGACACAGACCGAAGTAGTGGAGACACAGATCGGAAAGGGGGTGCAGACTCAGACAGAGTCACAGGCAGAGGTTCAGGCTCAAAATCAAATGTGTAGTAATGAGATGGTGGAGAGAGAAGTAAACGCTCTAACAAACACTGACACTGCAAACGAGATGCTTGTGGAAGAACATGAAATACTGAGACAGTTGGATGTGTTCTTGGAGGCACAAACATCACAAGAGAGGCACTCAGATGCTTCAGAGAAACAACAGAGATGGATAGACTCTGGAAGCTGGGCTGACATGGACGTTTTTGTTGAGGTGCGAGGGAAGGAGGAGAGACAGGCAGAGAAAAACAAATGGGCCTTCGGAGACATAGGCAAGGAAGCTGAACAGGAAGAACTGAAACAGCATCACATCCATGAGGAACTGACCCCCACTTCAACAAAGCATACATTTCAAACAGGAAAAAAAGAAAAGTCAAACACAGATGAAGAGAATGTATTTAGGTTACAACAAGATATTGTTGCTGCTCAGGTAAATACAGACTTTTCCTGGACAGAGCCGACACAAGAGAGTGTTAAAGACAAAGAACAAATCATTGAATCAGAGTGCACCTCAGTGATGCCGGCTGAACACAACTATATGGATGAGTCACAGAAGGACGTTCAGCAGACAAAATACAGCAACAACAACACTGAAGTTGTGGAGAACTTTAACCCTGCTGAGTGTCGTGCAGACCTGGCTCAACAGAGTAATCAGGATAATGAACAGATGGGACAGAGTGTACATGAAAAGGAAACAAAAACAACAAATCTCTCTGAGGACCGTGCAGATCAGACTGCAGAGAAATCCATTTTAAATGCAGATCATATTCAATGTCAGGACCCAGCAAAGAGGGAGGAGGACGACAACAAGCCAGCTCCACCACAGGTGGAGGAGGAAGAGAAGCTAGCAACCTTGTTTTTAGTTGATGGGCTGTTTCTGGCAGCACCACTTGACAAAGGTGTGTGATTTTATTTGATTGTGTTTATCTTTGCTTGTCTTTTCTCTGTTTATGTACTGTGATATTGTTTGGCGGATAATTACACTATGTAGGATAATTTTACCTAGAATTAAAATTTAAAGCAAAAATGGCAAAACTCTTATAAACTATTACAATATTTTATTTCAGATATTCAGAACATAATTTTGATGGAAAATGAAATTGGATTTGTAAATGACAAATTGGTGTTGTGAAAAAGAAAGGTGAGAAGCCAAATGTTAAATAGCCTACTAGAGGGAAAAGAGCCAATTCCAAAAGGAGGGTGAAAAATGGAAAATTTAAAGGAAACTGTACCTTAATTTCTTAATTTTTCCTTTTTGTATACATGTTTTCATTTCCTATTCAATTACATGTTTCATTTCAAGCACCTAGGCTACATTAAAGCCACTGTATGTAAGAATGTGGCCAAAACGGTTACTGCACTCAAATTCATAATACTGCCGCGAGTCGTGTCCGCCCCCCCCTCCCCTACAGATTCGAGGTTGCTGGACAGCGACACGCTGGAGACTGATTTGTTTGCCCACGGGCAGCTGCCGTGGCAGGGCCGCATCACTGCGTCCTTGATCTTTGGTTTTCCAGTGGACTGTTCGAGCAAGTCCAGCTTCTCTGCTGCTAACGCTGCTGCCGGGATACAGCTGAGGAGAAGCCAGCTGCTAATGCTATGTACCGGGACACTGCTAACACTGCTGCAATGCTATGTACCGGGACACTGCTAATGCTGCTTGCCGTGCTGCTGTAGCTCAGTCGTAACTGTAACTGATGCTGAGACTCTACTGACTGCGTGACTGGTAGACGGTGGTGGGTGGCGCAACAGGCCAAAACACAAATTCAAAACATAAACATGATTTGCAGACCATAAAATCTTTTTTTTAAATGCAAATATTCTGGCCGTACTATTGTTGTCGGTGAGATCAGTATGTTATATGAACATTATTCCTTAGTCTCTGTGACATATTAGGATGCTTTTATGACTATTTGCTTTAGATTTCTTAAATATAGCTCCTTTAAGCTTCCAGTTTGAGCATTTAAATTTCAGCATTTTTTGTTTTCCATTTGAAGGGTAACTTTGGAATTTTTCCACCTGGACCATATTTTCCTATTCTATTGTGTCTAAATGACTAATGGAAACGAAAATCTTTGAAGTTGGTCCGTTATTGAGCGGGACATTCTGCAATGTCACCACTCTGGGCATGTGCGCACTATCAATTTACATTGAATAAAAGTGCTTGCTTTTTTCACTGAAAGGCCCAGATTATCATTCTAAGTGTCTGACAACATTATGGAAATGATCCCTACAGAGATAGACCTTTTTATTAAACAGTAAGATCCTTTTTTGTTTCCCCAGAAACAGCTCTGAAAGCGCTGTTGCCAAACCCAGTCATTTTAACATGTATAGAGCCAGCACATTGTCACATCTAACTGGGTGAATTAAGGATTTATTTCAACCAAACCTGAATAAGTGATCGATAAAACAGTGGAAAGATGAGCCAAGAGGTTTTTTGTTAGTTTTATTTTGTTTCTGTCAACTCTGAATCAAGTGTGTTTTACAATGATAAAATTGCTGTTTTTTAAATGGAGTCTGGTGGGGCTCTGGTGATAGCTTGGCTGTTTCTGGTTAAACAAAAAGGCTCTTTCTCTTGCTTCCATAATGTTGTCAACACACTCTTAATAAGAATCTGAGCCTGTCAGTGGCAAAAACAAACACGTTTAGTGGATGTAAATTGGTGGTACGCAACTGCACATTAACGTTAATGTAACGTGCTGCCCTATCACTCAAAAATGGACCAGTTTCAAAGACTGTTGTTCCCCTCAGTCAGGTAGACACAAAAACATGTGAAAATATGGTTCAGATTGAAAAATACAGAAGTTACCTGTTTGATTAACAGCAACCTCGTTTTCTTTATCAAATTGTCATTTTGTAATATGCATTTATTATTTTCCCTTTTCTTCTTAACATTTTATTATAACCCGATTATACTACATTAAAATATAATAATAGTTTATTTTCCAATCTCCCTTATAATTTCAATTCTGGGAAACATTATCTTCCAAACAAGCAGCCAGTTTTCATCCCCACACCTTTATTTTGTCTCTTCTGTTGTCAACAGCGCCTCCAAGTCAAACTGAAGAAAGCCCTGGGGATGATCAGCCATCTGATGCTGATAAAAGGAAACAACTCAGCATCCATGACATCGTTGATCTCCAAGAGACAAACCTAACTGTCAGAATTCAGCCTCCTGGAACAGAAAGTTTTGAGCTTCAGGTTCTGCTGTGCTACTGTCATTATTTTCTTACAGACACTGTAACACACTGTATCTTCACGTCTTTCTAAATCACTCCAATCCTCCTCTCTCAGGTTTCAGGCCAGATGGTGGTGGCGGAGCTACACCAGGTGCTGATGGAGCACGAGATAACCTGCCACCGCACATGCTTCTCCCTCCAGGTGGGGGGCACCACGCTTGACAACCTCACAGATTTACACTCCATCCAGGGCATCCAGGATGGAGCACTGATCAAGGTGGTGGAGGGTAACTGCCTCTTTCTTTTCTTTCTCCTTTATAGAAAATCATTTTGTGATAATTAATTCTGTAGTTCACTTCAAAGGGTGACATTGTTGGCCTCTGACTTCATTCTGACCTCACATCTGGAACCTGATAGAAAGGCCCTTTTTAGTCTGAAATATGTAGACCTCTCATCTAAACTGTTATCAGGTGTCAGACCACTGGTGGACTGGTTGCTGTGCCCTCTTGAATGCCCTAGTAGCTAAAACTACATGAAGTGCCCTCTAGGTTGGCCTAAAATCTGATGCAGTGCCATATAGACCGAATCACTGTGACAACAGTCACAACAACTGTCTTACACTAAAAACACGTTTTCCAAACAAATACAACATGCTAACGTTATTAGCTCCAGCCTGTGGCATTTTACATTGTATAAATTAGCCTAGCAGCTAGCGATCTTTTCCTCTTCTCATATAAAACCAGGGACAACAGCAACATATAACAAAGGTAACAGTACATAATTTGGGTCCATTACAACTCACAAGGTTCACAGACAAAACAACTGTCACACTAAAAACGTTTTCCAAACAAATACAGCATGCTAACGTTATTATCACAAGCCTATGGCATTTTACATTGTATAAATTAGCCTAGCAACGAGCGGACAAGACTTAAAATGCTATTTTTGTGGAGGCTTTATTTATTGTCGTCATAATTTATTGTTTCTTATCTGTGAAATTGAAGTAAAGCAAGGTGAAGTGGTGAAAATATTCTAGATATAGGCCTAGTGTAGCCTACACTTAAACTGATTTTGATTTTTTTAGGTGGCTAAAAACATACCAATTCAGGCAGCATTTGCTCAGCACTGTTTCAATTTTTGTACGTGATGTGGGGATTTTCTACCCTGAAGTTACTGTAAACAAACATTGTGATTTGGTCTATAGGCTGCCCTACATGCTAGAAAACTTTATGCATATTGGTGGCACGCTGCATACAGTTGGGGCCTTCTCTATTGTTTTTTTGCCCCTGAGCCTCGGACAGCCAGTCCACCACTGTGTCAGACAGATGCTCTCTCTTTATGTCTCAAAACTGCCCAGACTCAGATCAGCAGGCTGTGGTGAAACTAACATCACCCAGAAAGGTTTACAACATCATTTGTGACTCCACACAGCCAAACCACAGTTTAACTTTGCTATAATAAACATCACCACCACCAACTAAGAATCATGTCTTTTGAATGCATCACTCACTTTAAACCTCACTTAAAATGTTTCAGTCACTTGCAGCTGCATTTTGTGAAAAAAAAAATGCAATACTTAGACACTATGTATTGTTAATTTTCCATGGTTAAATGATATTGAATAATATACTGAAAGACACAAATTAGAAATATGTGAAATGAAGGAATGATACTCACTATATTGAATTGCATGACATGAGAGTATCACTGATTTTGAGAACTCATTTGGTATCATATGATCTTATAATTATATGATAAGTTCTTCTTCACTTGAGTCACTTTATGCTGCAGTGTTTCGTCTTACATTGTCTATATATGTATTGATTTGTTCGTCGTCTTTCATGAAATGCAACAAGAAAAGTCCTTCCATTCATCTTGTGTGAGATTGGATGAAACACATTATAAGCAGGTGTTCTGATGTTGCAGATGCTTACACAGTGCGTGATGCTCGTCTTCATCTCAGACATGTTCGTGATCTACTGAGGAGTCTTGACCCTGCAGATGCATTCAATGGAGTCAACTGCAGCTCGCTCTCTTACCTCACCTTTTTTACCAGAGGAGACAAAGGTAATTGCTCTCTCATTACCTCCTTACATCAGGGTTTTGTCTGAGAGTTCAGACAGCCCTTTCACCTCCATATTCATCCCTGCAGACTGTGACAGCGTGGGGAACAGGCGAGCTTCTGAAAAGGAGTCTGTTGACTGCAGCCCTCCAGAATACATCCTCCCTGGATGTAAGGAACGACCATTTACTCCCCTACAGCCACTCAGAGATGACTGGAAGGTGAGAGATCAGATATTGTGTTTGCAACTATGACTCGTTAAGATTCAATAAAGTATTCAGTTACAGTGAAGCGACAGTGGGACTTAATGAAAGTGTCATTGCAGCCATTACAGTGCCTGCGGGTTCTAACAATGAGCAGCTGGAACCCTCCTCCAGGAAACAGGAAGATGCACGGGGACTTAATGTACCTCAATGTCCTGACTGTGGAGGACAGAGAGCTCAACATTACATCCTCTACACGTGGTTTCTACCTCAACCAGTGAGTGTTAAACTGTTCAGCCATTTGTACGTTTACTAAGCTATGAAAAGTGAAGAGTTTTTAGCCATACTAGCAGCGTTGCTCCAGTGTTGGTCGGTCAGTCTACTACTTTTGTCAGACTGAAATATATAAACAAGTGGTTCCCAAATGGTGTGCCTCAATGCCGATCCAGGTGTGCTGTGGGATTTTGTGATAACCACACATTAGCCTGTTATTCCAATATTCAACTGGGCCTATATACAAAAAGTTATGAGTGAATTTTAAATTGACTGTATCAGCATGTTGTGCGCACCTGTTTTCTAATAAAGAGGCAAATTCTAGCTAAATTAAATTCAATTTAAGCCGTAATAAGAGTGATAACACACATTACAAAAGCTATTGTGCACAATTATAAATTCAGGTGTGCCTTGTAACTTGTAACTTGGCCACAAAAAGTATGAAAACCTTCTAGCATTTAGCTGAGTACAGCCTCACAGAGCTGCTAGCATGGCTGTGGACTCAAAGTCCCACAACTAAGAAAGTATTTAAGAGCAACATCGACCCCAGATAGCAGTAAACCAACCAAGGACAGTAAAGACTTACCTGGATTTAACATCTTCTCTGACTGTTTCAGGTCAACTGCCTTCAACTTCAATCCTAAACCTGCAGCTCCCAAAATCCTCTGCCACTCTCTCGTTGAGCTGCTGAGTCAAGTCAGCCCTGCTTTCAGGAAAAACTTCAGTGCCCTGCAGAAGAAGAGGTGAGCAAACTGTCTGTAGTCAAGCTGGAAACTTCATGCAATACAAGAACAAGTGACTGCTCATATCAATGGCAGTCATTTACATTTCCAGAGCTTACATGAGGCTCTGTTAGACAGTAACGTGAAACACTTTCATTAAAGTAAAACAGAAATCCTCACATCTGTTCTAACCTCACTGACAGAAAAATGTTTTCTGTCACTTTCTGTGAACCAGAGTTCAGCAGCACCCTTATGAGCGAATCGCTGCACCTTTCCAGGTGTTCACCTGGATCGCTCGTCAGGGAGATCACACCCTTGACTGTGTCAGAGCAGAGGAGACACACACCAGTCGCATGGGCCAGGACGAGCACACAGCTGGGCAGGTTGCAGACATAAAATAGGGGAAACAGGCTACATTTGGAAATGCTGAGAAATAGAACAATGCTGTAAAGTGCAGAACTTATGGCAGATGCATGTACACACATAAACACAAAAACAAATGTTTCATAGTGCATCTGAGGATGATGATGTTGTGTGTTATGACCACAGAGTCGGGATTGGAATGAGGAGCTGCAGGGATGCAGGGAACTCCCCAGGACCTCCCTTCAGGAGCGGCTGCACAGAGAGAGGAGCATATTCAAGGTGACGCCAAAGATTTTTTTAACATCTTCTTTCAAAGTGTTGCTCTGATTAATGGTCAGAGAAACACAGTTGTGAATGTGAGATCTTCCCTGAAACAGCAGTACAGGTGTATAAGGGCTCTTGTCCTTCTATATTTCCTCTGTGCTGTTCATCTTTTTAATAGAATAACGTGAAATAATGTTAGATTATTTCCTCCTGCTCTGGGATTAGATTTTGTTGCGTTTATAATAAAATCAAGGAAGAGAAACTGTCTTAACCAAGATTTTAATCCCTGCATCCAGACCAACAGTGACTTTGTTGCCGCTGCAACACGAGGTGCTGTAGCTGTTGTCGACGGTAACGTCATGCCATTAAACCCAGGGGAGGCACCTCACATGCAGATGTTCATCTGGAACAACCTGTTCTTCAGCCTGGGGTTCGACATATCTGAGCACTACCTCCCACTAGGGGGCAACACTGCTGCTCACGCTGCTGCCATCTGTGACCTGAGGGGAGCGCAGGTAGATCCACACAACACCACTTGCGGGAGTAGTGAGTGTGTCATGTGTGCTGTATATTTATCCTAGAAAGGACAGTATTCATTTCAGTACTTCTGCAAAGGCACAGTTGTGTCGATTTTAAAAGGAAGGAAATATTAAACAGTCATACACCAAAAAAAAGTTTCACCTGCAGTTGCATGGACTACTTTCTTCCTATATATTTCCACTTTAAAATAAATTAATCCATCCCTTCATGCTCTCAACATTAAAACAAAATTACTGTTGCTTTGCTGCAGGCATACGCATCTGTGGACATAGAGGGGCTTCACACACTTGGAACAGCTGTCGTAGATTATCGTGGCATCCGTGTTATCGCTCAGACAATCGTCCCAGGGATACTGGAGAAAAATCAGGACCAGAGTGTCGTCTACGGCTCTAATGACTATGGAAAAACTGTGTTTACACACCCCAGGTAACACACACGAACACACAAAAAAACAATAAAGTCATATTTTTGGTATTAAGAACATCATTAAAGGAGCAGTTTGTAGGATTTAGTGGCATCTAGCGGTGAGGATTGCAGCTTACAACAAAGTGGCAGCCTCTTGAGCTGAAAAATGAAGCTTTCACTGAAGTGCCAAAAACTGCAGTTCTTTGAACGGCCACTTGAGGCTGGCTCCAGACGGATTTAATCCTCATTGACACCTATGTTAAAAATTCCCAACTTTACAGCTGACATAAGCCTGGTACAACAAAGGTAATTTCTCCGTTCATGACAACTGTACAGGGGGTTACATTTTTATATAACTTACCTGTTTACTTTTTATTAAGTCTTAATGTTATGAATTATTAAGGGCGGGCTGCGACAGTGAGTGACAGGCTGTCTGCTGATAGTCCTCAGATTCTCAGTCAGATCCACCCCTCCTCCACAATGCCAGCCTGTTATGGTCACCCAAGATGGAAACAGATGAAATACTGAACTTGAAGCTTCAAAACTGGAGTCCAGAAACAAACGGGTGATGTCAGATTGGCTACAGCCATTATTTTTACAGTCCATGATTGCAACCAGCTGAAACTTCTCCCGTGTGCCAAACGTGTATTCCCGGCTGGAGTTCCTTCGGTGTTCATTGCCCAGGAGGTTTTTACTGGTAGCCAAATTATCCACAAATTATTTTCCTCTGCAAAACAAAACTGACCAGGTGATGAAAATCAGTAAAAACACTGCATAGAGCAGTTACATGTCCTGAAGATGTCTCTTTGATATAAACCAGTAAAAACACTAAATAAAGCAGTTTCACGTTAAAAATGAGTGACTTTCCAGCACTGTTTTGCTCGTTGCAGAGGGGCTGCTAACTACGCTGGCCTACACAAAAACACGATAACGAGAATGGCGATACAGTCGGTGTTTGGTTTGTCTGTTTTGGGCTACTGTAGAAACATGGTGTACTCCATGGATGAGAACTTGCTCCTATGTAGATATAAAAAGCTTGTTCTGAGGTAATGAAAACACAATGATTCTTATTTTCAGGGGATTATACACGAAAGAAAACAGACTTATTATATTATATTATATTTTGTCAATTGATCCCCCTAAATCCTACACACTGGACCTTTAACTATGAGTTAAAACATGCAACCTTTCATTTTCATTATTTCAGGTTTCTTGAGCTTCTGGATAAAACCAGTAAACCACTAAGAATCCAGCGCCACTGGGTGCTTGACCACAGTGACAGCCCAGTGGAGCTTTGCTCTGGCATTGAGACCAAAGGCATCCTGGGTAATGACGGAAGAGCCTACATCTTAGACCTTCTCCGGACCTTCCCCCCTGACCTTAACTTCCAGCACTCAGAGACAGAGGAGAGGATGGAGGTGCCGAAAGAGTGTCAGAGCTTTGGTTACCCACGGCGACATCCTCATGGGTTGGCCAGTCTGAGACCAGAGCTGATAGAGGCCTTTGTCCAGCACAGGTGAGGAAGAGGAGATGTGGAACCATTTGCTGAATGTTTGAACACAAATGCAGCCACCATGTATCTATTCAATTAACAGGATAAACTGAGCTTCAGAAATGAAGTTTGTTATCCCCCTTATCTTGTGTTTTCTGTTGCAGGAATGAACTCAGTATCAAGATGGTGTCCCAGGGGCTCATCCAACCAGAAGAACAAGATAAAGCCACAGAGCAAAGTGAAGAGACGATAACTGGAGATATAGCCACAGCCGGTGCTGACATGGGTGAATAAGACCAGCTAAATGAAGTGAAATGATAAAACATATTAATAAACCAGGGGAAATCGTGTTACTGCAAAGAGAATTAGGCTGAGAAACAGACTGAGTAGGTACAATTATAGTATATGTAATATCACAAGTTTATATTTGACTTGGAAGTAAAAGGTGGGGAAACAAACTACTCACACGGTCCATTTAGTAGTGGTTCTGGAGCTTTCAGTCACATTGCATGATCTTTATCAGCAGATAGAATTTGCTCATCTTGGAATACAAATATTCAAATATTACATTTTTGTAAGCACTTTAAGAATGTGTTATTCCTGCTGGCTTAAAAGCAGAGAAGTTGATTTGAAGAACTACACCACAACATAAAGACAAACTCCACCTGCTGATTTCAAATTAATATTCAAGATTATAGAACAATTTTTTTTTACTATACTAGATATTATTTTCTTATCAGTATGTGACTTTTTGTTAAAGAATAATGACTTATTCCAAATTGCATTCAGTTAAAGTTTCTTATACTTGATTGTCAAAATTAAGAGAGACTTTTAAAGCTTTTTGCCTCCCTTGTATATTCTGTTATTACCCATATTGTTTTGTTGTTGGTAATGTTTGGTTTTTATGTGCTAGTAAAGAATTCAGTCAGTCAAATAATAAACTTACATCAAACCTAACAGACCCTGAAAATGTGCAAATGTTCATCGTTAACTAACAACTGAGGAGAAGTAAAATGGTGAGGATTGTTTGATTAATAATGCATTCATATTTTACTTTTGCAGAACTTCAAAGAAGAAGTGTGACTATGAAAGCTTGTGAGGCTGTTGGATCAATGAGTGACTCCTGCTTTGACATCCGCTTTAATCCTGATGTTTGCTCTCCAGGTACTGAACACACTTGTGCGCACACACACGGCCATGTATGTATATATAAAGGTTTTATTTTTTAATCAGATTTGACTGTGGGTCTGTCTTTGCTGCAGGTGTTCGTTTCCTCTCTGAGTGTGTCGAGGAGGTTCAGAGGCAGAGACAGTTGTTGTGGGATGCGGCTGCTTTTCTACTGTCCAATCAGATTCCAGCAGTGGTGAGTCTTTGTGTGGAGCAGTAATGGTCACATCTGGCATGTGCAATAAGTTTAAGATGATAGCTACAGTTCTGCTCCTGTGTGTGTGTATGTGTGTGTGGCAGCTGAGGGACTGTCTTGACCAAATAGTCGTGCCGATGGATGGAGCAACCCTGACCTCAGTGCTACACCAGCGGGGTGTGAACGTACGATATCTGGGCACCTTACTGAGGGAGCTGGACAGAGTCGAGGAGAGAGATAGACTCAGCCACATACAGGTACCTGCTTTTATTAACCATATGACTTGTATGTAAAGTCATCGTAGCTGCATACCTCTTGCTCTTGAGTTTACTTTTACATTGTTAAGATTTCACATCACTTGAATGACAATCTTTTTCTGGTGTAGGACTGAGTAAGATATTTATAAATGTAGCCTGACGTTAGCAGCAGTTCTTTAGTTCCAGGCAGAAGATGAGGATATACTGTAGATGTTAAAACAGTCAGTTGCACAATTGTTTTCCTGTCCTTCTACCCTTGAGGTACACTACTCGAATGTTTGGTAGATGAGGAAATTAAGCTATAAAAGAATACCAGCAAACCACTAAAAATAAACCCTTGTAGGCCACATCATTATTAATATTTCCAGTGAACTGAACAGTAAATAAAAAGAACAAGAAATGCAGACTGTGGACTGCTGTAGTCGGGTTCATAATGTCCTGATTGCAACCTTTGTTCTTTATCTTTAGGGAGTTGATGAACTGTATATTTTTTGGAAAGTTTAGAGTGTGAAGAACACCAAAACCAACCTTTTTTTATTCAGATTCTCTGTGGTGTGCATCTTGGACTTTCAGAAAAGCACAACCTGTAACTTGTGTTGAGCTGGATCTCACAATGATAAGTCAACTTGGCCTCTGAGTTAGTGGCTAATTGTATACTTTTAAAGGATGTTAACAGTCTGTGAGGATGCTGAATCACGTGACACATCAAATGTTCCCTACACAGAGAATTTCCATCAGTGAAGTCATCATTAGGAGTGCAAAACACATCTTCAGGACCTACCTACAGGTAAAGAGCTCAATAACAAGTCAAATATTACCATAACATTTAGTAGTCTAGCCTACATTTTCTAATATCAATATTTTATTTTCTCCCAGGATGTGGAACCTGCAGCTTTCTCTGCCGCCGTCAGTCACTTCCTAAACTGCCTCTTGAGCTCCTCCTCCTGTTTCCCCGACTCCTGCTCAGATGAGCTGCTCTCTCGCCGCAGGAGCCGACGGCGGCGGAGCCACGGGAGTCGAGTCGCCTCATTGACAGACAGTGTGTGGGCTAGACTGACCCCCAGTGAGCTGTGGGGCCGGATCAGGACTGAGGCTGAAGATTATTACCACTACACAATAGATAGGTGTGTGTGAATGTGTTTGTGCATGTGTGTGTCTTTGGTTGGATATGTGCTACAAGATTTTACACTGCTATCCTCTCTGTGTTCAGTGAAAGTATAGATGAAGTGATAGAAAAGTACAGCCTTCAGAGGATCTCCCTACTGAGAGAGATTGCCATCAAGACGGGCATCCAGGTCAGACATCTGTCTCTCTTCTCTCCATAATACGTTTACCTATGAATTTACTGCAAGAGTTTTGGTTGGTGAAATCCAACAAGCAGCTATAAAACACAACTGCTACCCTTCTTCCTTTTCTCTGTGTCTATAGGTGCAGCTGAGGGAGTATATGTTTGAGTCCAGACACAGGCCGGTGTTTGGTGAGGAAGATGTTGTCAACATGTTCCCTGTGGTCAAACATCTCAAACCTACAGCAACTGATGCCACACAGCTTGTGCGACTCGCAGAGGTGGCAGTGCAGCAGGGTGAGATACAAACACATACACAGCATATGATTACTTTTCGCCTAACATGGCAGAGTTGCCTGTGTGTTTTTATACTGACTCACAATTAACTGGAGGGCCCATATGGAAAAGTATCTGCCCTGCTGATGTGCTATGGAGCACAACATTATATCCTTAAGAGTAACACAGGTACCACAAGGATGTATTGAAAGTAAGTATTGACACAAAGCCTACACCCTTGCCTACAAGCATCAATACACAGCATTATACATTATGCAGCATAATGTCACCTGATACACAAAAATGTCATAGAGCTAAAAATGTCTCACATAATGATATTTCTGGTGCCTTCAAGTAAAACTCAGAAGTTCATATTTTTGATGTAAAACACGGTTGCTAAGCAACTGACAACATAAATAGGCACTGTATTGTCCCCATTTGGATCAATTGTAAATAATTTGGTGTTTTTTGCATTTTAAATTCATGTTTAGGAAGGAGAAAAGAAAACATAACTTCCTCATCTGAATTCAGTGTTCGTCATGTCAAGAGCACATGTTTATAATCTTTGTACATTCAAGGCTCATCTGTGGATTTTATGTTTGCTTTTAGGTCTTCTCAAAGAGGGTTACGAACTCATTAGCCAGGCCCTGACTCTGTTCAGCAGCGTGTGCGGGGTTCTGCATGAGGACGTGTGCATGTGCCTGCGTCTGCTGGGACGCATCTGCTACATCCTGGGAGAATATGCAGATGTAAATATTCATTACAGTTCAATTTCTACCATGACCTTTTACTTAGCCTGGCTCCAGACTTATGAATCATCATCCAGAACAATTTGTGAGCTTTCATTGAGTATTGTTTCCATCATTTCTCCACATGTCACAGGCCCTCAGCCACCAGGAAAAGGCTGTTATGAGTAGTGAGAGAATACAAGGTATAGACCATCCACAGACCATACAAGACTATGTGAGTTCCTTTATCTTCTCATTTATCCACAGACAGATTGTTAGACATGTTAATCCTATTCATCTAATATTATAGTTGACATGGAAGTATTCTCCCATCTGTGTTTAGACTTACCTGGCCTTGTACTGCTTTGCTGGAGGACGGCATTCGACCTCCCTTCAGCTGCTGTATCGTGCTCGGTACCTCACCCTGCTGGTGAGTGGAGAGGACCATCCACAAGTCGCGCTGCTGGATGTAAGTGTGACCTCACCAGCAAAGTGTTACTTTCTGTCTTTGTGCTTTGTTTTGAACTAAAATCTAAATGTGATCTATACATTTTAGATATTAAAGGTAGGTTTAGTCAGTGTACTATGGTAAGGATATGTGTAAGGATATAGTTGATTATGAAAGTCATAATAATCATAAATAAGTATAACTAACAGCTACTCAACCCAAAAAAACCCCAAAAAACAAGACACAAGAAGGAACAAATGGGAACTTTTTGTAATCAAGGTAAGTAAAATGATTTTTACTGTGCAACTCAAATGTACACTGAAAACAGAATAAAGATTAACAGTATTTTTCTTAATTGTTTGTTGTTTCTTTGTTGTACAAAGAAGATATGTTGTTTTTTATTACTCAGAACATTTAAACAACATGTTGATAACAGTTTGAAGCTTTATACAGTAATACCACAATACAAATTACATGTGAACAAAAAATTGACATGCAATATGTAAATTAATAAAAAGTTTTATACCATCAACTGAACATTTAGTTTTGTCTGCCATCTTTTTGCATATATGACATTGTTGTTATGATTTGTGAGGGTGTTTACATGAATTTCTACAGTTGGAACAGTTTTTTCTGATTATTCTGACACCAGAGGAATGCAGGGTGAAATTTTAGGAAAGATATTTTTTTACAAATAAACAAACAAAATGTTCAAGTACACAGTGTAAACATATTTGTGCTCCACATGTGTTAATATTCCTGTTATCCTCCACTACTTCAGAGTATGCTTGGTCTAGTACTTCATGGACTGATGGAGTATGAGCTTTCCCTGAAGTTCCTACAGAATGCCTTAATTTCAACCTCAAAATACCACGGTGCCACATCACTGAAGCATGCACACAGGTAAGACTGTTTGTTGTCATGTTCCTCTGTTTTCTTGTACTTTTACACACACAAAAAAAACACCAACTGCAACACATTATGCTCACAGACAATCTGAGAAAATTATATACATTTCCGTGATCATCCTGTCCATATACTGCTCCCGTCTTTCATTTCCTTTATATAAAACTTTACATTACCTCTCTGCCTCTCTGTGTCTGTCTTCTGTGCAGTCATCATCTGCTCGCCACTGTGTACGAGAGTAAAGGAGAGTTTCGATCAGCTCTGCAACACGAGAAAGAGGCTTATTCAATATATACGAGCCAGGTGGGCTTAAAATTGCTCGGATACCATGTTTGCTGTTGGTATATTTATGTCATATGCTCATAATTTTAACTGAGAGCCTTTATTGTTACACACATGTAGGTTGGGGAGAACCATGGCAGTGTGAAGGAGAGCTCAGAGTACCTGCAGAGCCTCACTCAGCAGGCTGTGATCCTTCAGAAAGCCATCAACCACATCTACAGTAACACACCTAGTGCCTGTATTCCACCTCCAAAGGTTTGTGCAGATGATGCAAGCAAGTTTATACACCTGCCCACATGCATTTCTGGTTGTGTTATACTTAATCGCATCTGTGTTTTTCTGCAGTTTACCACACCAAGCCTTCCCACCATCCTTCAGCAGCTCAACCTGACGTGTGGAATCATTCTCATTCCCCTCAGGTGAACACAGAAACAGCCCCAGCTATGAAATAAAAGATAATGTGCCAGTTGTGCTGTTCATGATGAAGGGTTAATGTAAGTGAATATTTTCTCACACAGACTGTATGTATTATGCCTCTCTCTGTAGTGCAAAAGAAATTGCAAACTTGAGGACTGAACTGAAAGGAAAGGAAATGGTTCAAGAGGAAGAACTGGAAAAAAGCTGCGGACAACAACCCTGAACTACGGACCAAAGAAAGAGTGACAATAAAACATCTGTGAATTCAGTCAGACCCCTGAAAATGACTGCAGACAATGATGGCAAATGAAAGCCTTGCAAATTACTGGTGTTAACATGTGGGTTAGCCTGCTTTGGACAACTATATCCAAGTAACAGGCAGGTGCAGCCATCTCCTTTTGGAAGAGGAGTTTGTTCGGCTGTTGTCTGTGGAGGACTGGACACTGAAGAGAGCCTTATCTAATGATAAAGCTTTTGTCTAAATATATGGGATCCATTAACTAACTCTGTGAGCTATAATTTAGGCATATAAGCCCATGGATAACTCCCCTCCTTTCTGTCAGATAAATGTAGAAACCCTACACACTAAATACAGTTGTACTGCTGGATGAATGGACAAGCTCGGTGTGTTTAGGCCTCCTATTGTGAAAGTGAAAATGCAGCAACATTGTAAAAAAATGTTTTATTTTAAATGTTGTGCTGTCATCTTGCAGTCCCTTGTGTGTCCACTGGGTTTCACACTTGTGCCATGAAGACTTCTCAAATCATGATATTCCTGAATATTGAAATAATAATAGTAGTAGATGTGATTAGCTGCCATTTAACTCATGTTGTTGTAAGTAATATTTAGGTAACTAATAAACATCTGAACATCTTATGTCTTCATTCCACAACAAGAAGTCACATGAGTGGTTTCTAAATGGCTCCCTAAGATGGAAGTAACAGCATTACACTTTAAACTGATATTATTATCAAATGAAATTTTGTTGGTTGGTCTGCAGGGATCAAGTTCCTAAATGACTGTGAGATTAGTGAAATTGTTTTGAGATATTACCACAAATAATTGTGATTTTAATATATGTTTTACAACTGTCAATCAAAAAAATGTAAGTTTATTACAGGTTTTGTTCCCGTAGTTTCCTGGAGTTGTTTCATTACTCAGCATCTATGGAGCAGCTGCATGATTTGTCTCTAAGCGACATCTTAACTACAGCCTGTCTTTCTGCTGCTCACCTCAATGACACACTTGTTTACGATTAAAATTGTTCAAATTAAAACTTGTCTGTGCAATAAAAAAGCCGTATAAGTAATTTATGGTGTGTTTTCCCTTTAATTCCATGAGTGAAAGCTGTGCACGCTGCGCGCCTCCGCTCACCTCAACGTGCGCGCAGCCGATGTCCAATCGCGACCGTTAGCTGGGGCCGGGCGAATGCGGTGGTACCAAAGAGGAGAAAAAATCTGACCGACCGTGCCGGGTGATGTGAAAAGTCACAGTACCACCTCAGAACCAGGGCTTACCATCGCAGGCTTAGACCAGTCAAGGGGATACGAGAATGGCCATTTGTCAGAGGGTAAGTTAGCTGTTTTTACACGCGGCTACATTTTTGTTTTGGCACTTGGAAAGACTTGTTATTTTTGACGACGAATTGCCTGCAGTGTCTGCGCTTCCCAGTTCCGATCTCAAAATGGCGGAGAGGCCGAAAGCTAGGCTAAGCTAAGTGGCAAAGTTGACATTCACAGGAGCATCGATTTCGAGAGTGAACATCAAGATAATCCAACGACGATATAATTCAACTATGCTGAATGTAGTTGTCATCTCAAGACCAGTTTGGTGCTTCTAGGTCAAGGCGTGATTTGTATCGAGGCACTTGTTGTGAAACCTAGCTAAACATTCGGCTAACGTTAGCTACGTCTATTTATGGAAGTTCTTTGGGGATGAGCTAACGTGGTACATTAGCCGGCTAAGCTAACTCAGGTGTTGTCAGCTTGCTGCCATATTTTCAACAGCCCGGTGCAAATACTCTGATGTTGCTAACAAATGCATAAATTAAATGCTGACTATTGACCTCATTTATTGTGGAAGCATCGTGATTTTTGTGAATAACATTGTACTACAATGCAAACAGTTAAACCAGGTTTGTCTTGTAACGCAACTGGGGAATAACGTTAGCTCTGTAATTACACTTGGGATACAAATAATTCCACGTTAATTGTAACTGGTAACTGATATTTTATTTTCAGCAAAGGTCTGTGTTGCTCAGCTACTTGTTGGCGTAGACCAACGCCCTTTGTGTGTTTTGGCTGTGTGGTAGTGTAAATCCAGTCTGCTCGAACTGACAGCTCCTGTTAACGTCTACGTTATCGTGCTAAGCTAACGTTAGCTAGAAAGGGCGTTGCTGAGCCACTGCTGCAACTTTGCCCTTGTGGCCATCGAAGCTTGGAAAGACGTCACTCGAGCCATTCTCCAATATATTAAAGCAGTATTTACCCGATTTGGATTGTTTTAATGCATTCTGCATGCGCCCCTAAGGTAATCTACCAAGGTTTGAGGCATCACCATCAGGGTGGAGACTAAACAACGATCTGTACGACATACTGATAATTAAATAGGCTGTACAGATTTTACTTGGAATATACAAAACTGCTTCATGAGCTAAGTTTGCTAGCGAATTGGATGACTAGTGATTGCCCAGTAGCTGCTATTGCACAGCATTAAATATGAGGGCCTATGTCTACAGAAATGGTTATGAACCTTTCAGGCTGCAAAGATCTATCTTTATTTGTAGATATTTTATCTTTATCGATATATATTTTCTCCTGTATCTCTAGGTTTTGACCTATTTCATGCTTTAAGTTCAATAAGATGTTGATAAAAGGGCAGCGAATAATTAATTTCTGCTACATTTCATCCTGCATCCCCATTTAGTATTTTACTCCTCTATATAAGCAGAACTACAATTATAAAAGTGCAATACCTATTAATTTGAAAATAGAAAATTATTGGTATTGTGTTTTGAAATCCTGCCAAAGCAGTTTCAACATTATGTCACTGTCTTGTCACATTGAAATCTTGTATGCTACCTTTGATAACACATGCAGTATGTTCTAGATTAAGGCTGAGTAACTTTTAAACATGAGTGTTTTATTGTTGAGTAGACTGATATCATAATATCTTGCCATGGGGAGACATCATTAGATCAAACAAGTGTAATGAAGTAGTTGAGGCTGCCAATTACCGGGGAAAATAATGATATAATGATGTGCCTTGATGTTTGATTTGTAATCAAATGTTGCCTTTATGGTTCAGTTTGTGCCAGCAGAGACCTGTTTGGCCTGAAGGTCACCCATAAGGAGTGGCATTGTACAACAGCTTGACACAAACAGAGCATGATGACTGAAAGCTGGATGTGCAGCCAGATTTAATGCCTGTGGCTGGTTTCATTGCTTATTTGTTTTGTTAGACTGACTTTAATTCGTTTCTAAATTCAGTGCTACTTCTTTGGTAATCATACCTGCTTTTAGAAGAAATACTGCAATTGGAAACGATTGTAATTCATTAAGGCAATTTTGACTTGAGACTTGATAATCGATTCTTAACAGTGAGTCAGGACATGTATACCTCATGGGCAGGGCAGGAAATAAAGCAGCAACAGTTTTTATTAATTGATGGTTTGAGTCAGTTATCAAGTGAGAATGACAATCTGTTATTGCAGCTTCTCCAGTGTGAGGATTTGCTGATTTTCATTTTTGTTATGTTTTGTTTTGATTTATAAGGTGTCATCGAATCGTGAATAGCTTTGAATTCTGGACTGTTACTGGGACATAACAAAAAATGTGAAGATTTCATTTTTGGCTTTAGGAAGCTGATGGACCTTTTTGACAGTTATAAAATTATTAAAATTATTGATAGATTAAATAAAGATGAAAGCGATCATATCCTGGAGCAGTGTTGCTCCACTTACTTACTCTATTTAACTAACAGTCAAACAACCTAAAGCCATACAGTTTATAATGATATGTAACTCAGAAAGCAAATCTTCACAGTCCACCATCATGATCAGAAATCCTGAGGAGAGCCCTGTAGATGGAGTCAAAATGCCTTCATGTCATATGAGGATCACACCATTATATTTACAAACAAATTTCTGCATAATTTTAGAGAATGTTGCTGCATTTATACAGGATTGATAACTGTTGTTCATGTGGGGGAAGAGTGGTTTCGTCTGTGTCACATCACAGTTGAACATGCTGCTTGTCTGACTGAACAGGGCTCAAAATTTCTGTGCTCTGAGAAAGACAGATGAGGCATTGTTGATGTCATAGTCTGATATTTTATTGTAGCCTACTGGGAGCTTAATCAGGTGATCTGTTCACCTTTTTACAATTTCATCATATCACAGTTTAAACCAAGAACATTTGATGGTTCTTAAGAGAGCAGGTGAGGCATTGAAGTTGTTAGCTGTGTTGTGATTATGAGTGGACGCAGAGACATGGAGGCTGCGCCGTCTCCCAGTGATGCTTATGTTTTCTTCAGTTTCAGGAAATGAAATGTGTTGGTCATGCTGCCTATGCTCTTATTGGCCTTCACATGGACACATGTAGTCTGTCACATTATTGAGATAGGCTTGTTTTCTGTCTTAAATGCATTATTGTGGCTTAAATGTGAATTTGATAATATTTTTCTCCAGGATGCCCCTATCAAGTTTTTTTTTTTACCCTAATCTAGTTCAGAGGGCTTAATATTGGGTTTCTGTATCCGATGTGATGCTTTTATTTACCTAAATCATATTACTATAAGAACAGAAAGTTGATTAACAGTCATATTTAGTTTTTGCCCAGCCCTGTTTGGAGGTTGCCATCCCAATATTGGTAGAGTATTTTGCTGAGTGTCAGTGGCTTTTCATCTGCTGTACATAATAGGAACTGCAGGTTTCTACTGGTATTTCCATAGAATGAGTTCCTGTTATACTTTATGTCAGTGTTGTCAAATATATTGATTCGTCAATACATATCGATTCTTAGCATTTCTGTTGGTTTGGTTTCAAGACTCATTTTCCACAGTACTGATACACCAGTACCAGCTGCGCTTTCTTACTCCCTTATTATTTATGTATAGTACAGTCATTTTGCTGTTCTCTGCTACGAACTAAGAAAAGAAAAGTTGTCATTGTCATGATAAAGCCTTGTTAAATTAATCTTTTAATACAAATTTTAAATTGTATGCCCCCAATGTCAATTTTCCCCGTGGTATTAAAATGGAGTTGAATACTGATATTTTTCAAGATACTGTATCAAAGTTAGAAATTCCAGTATCGTGAAAATGCTACTTTATACAGAAGTTCTCTAGCTCAAAAATGAGGACAGAGATGCATCATGTGTTGAATTATTTTTTTTTCTTTTTGAAGAATGATTTGTCATGTACTGCAGAAGAAAAACTGTATTTTCCCTTTGTTACCCTGGTCATGGTCCAGTTCTTGCTGAACGAACTGCTTTATCAGATGACCATACTAGAGATCAAACTGAGGCCCTTCAGGTGGGGGTATACTCTCCCTGCCACTAGGCTATAATTTTATAGCTGCTGTATTTTGGAAACACTTGTCAGGCATTTGTGATTAGTTTTAATCCCATGAAAACCTTAAAACTCTGTGTTGTTATTGGCTATTATAAAGCAGATAAAAATCGGATCCTTTCTTTAATGTACTCTACTATGATTTGTCAATTTCAGCCGACCATTATGCTCTATATGTGAGTGAAAATACAGTTTCTAACTATGAAAGTTATTTGGTGACACTGGTGATAGACTCTCCTGACACTCGGAATGGCAGTACACACCTCTAATATAATTCTTCTCTGTACATTCATGATATAACTACATGGATTTGTTACAATCTGATGCTAACAAAGCTGTTATCTCTCTTCTCTGATTAGCAATGATCAAGGTACAAAAGATTCAGGTGGTAACTTCCCACTTTAGCCAGCACTGATCATTACTTTCACTAGTTGAAATGACATACCATGCTGTTAATGCCATCATGTTAGGCCAAAATTAAACTTGTCTGTTATTGGGTTTGTGTGCTCTCTGCAAGCCGTCTGTACTCAACCAAAGATTGTTAAGAGGTCAAACACTCATCACTCAGTAACACCACAGTGCAAATGTGTGTTTCCATAGTTCCCAACTCTAACACAGAATCTCTATAGCTGATCGTATTACATCAGTTTCTGGAGTTGCATTCTCACAGTTTAATTTTCATTCATATCACATTGACAATAAAAGCTGATTTGCTTTATAATCTTGAACAGGATCTTTGGGGTTTGAATGAAGTAGCCTAACTGCTGTAAAATTAGTTGGGCTGATTATAAAAGGCTACAGCATTTATTTCAGTGTGTCAGATACATTATCAACATGTAGGTAAATGTAAGTGTCAGGTTGGACTGTGTATCAGCAGATCTCCAGTAATAAAGGTTTCAGTACCAGAAGGACTTCACACGGTCATCCCCACTTTAAACTGACTTAAAAGGTTATTTAGTTATCATCGGCAGTTATTTTTCAGAGCTACTGTCTTTCAAAGCCAAACTCCTGACCATCTCATCTGTGATGTTGTCAAAAGGCTTCTTGTGTGACAGAGAGGTGAAATTTCCGACTTAATACTGAAATAATAAAGCTTATCTAGAGGTTGAAGTCCTAAGTCAAAATATTCCACCAGGAAGTGACCACACACAGTGTCTATACATGAGCAGATGCATATTGTATGATAACATTGCAAACCTTTTGGCTTTCCTCTTCCTTTGGTAGAATCTGTGCGCAATTCATTCAGAGCAATCGTTGTATTTTAGGAGGAATGAACTGGGTGTTATGATGATCATGCATGTTGTAAACAAACCCCTCTACATTACATCATTTTGATAAGCCTGATACATAGACGGCACCTTGAACCTTTCCTCTTGATTTATGACTCTGACCATGTTTTCACTGTTGAGCACAGAGCCTAGATAACTGTGCCTTCGTCTTTCAGTGTAATAACTGGACGACTCTTGCAAGACTTGAATATTTTGTACAGACTTAGACCAGGTCTCGCACTGTTACTTGTTAATTATCTATGTTTTCCTTTAAAACATCTCTCTCAAACAGTTGCGTGTGAAGCTCAGCAGTCTCGGGCAGGTGCAGAAGCTACCGAGATTGTCTTGGTTACGTAATAGTTGGGAGGTTGGTCTGTTTGGTCAAATGGCTATTTTTGAACCACGCTGAGAGTGCTGTTCAGCTAAAATCATTAGCTCTGTCCTGTCAGCTCAGTGCGCTCATCATGTTTGCAGGCAGGAGTGAACAGGGTTCTTTCTAGGACACTTCAGATGCGTCCCTGGGTAAATGTTTTGTTGTCTGCTGCGGCTGCCGGGCTTTCACTGAGAGGAACTGCTCAGGTGCTCCTCTGAAGTAGGGAGATACGAGAGGAAAAATTGTAAATGTTATGACCGGTTTCCAATTGAGTATCATTCTTTTGTTTATTTTGTTGAAGGAGTCTTTTGTGTTTGGAATTAGCAGCTGGACACGGACTGTAAAACAGACCAGAACGATGCACCAGACAATATAGACAAGGACGGCTTGCTGTCAAGGTCCTCTCGCTGTGTCGGGGGTTAATCCTGTTAGCCACCGTCCCGTCCCTTCTTTACATTGCACTGTCAGCTGTATGGAGGACTTGTGGTCTCTATCACTTAGAAACACACACACACACACACACACACACACACACACTCTAGGTTGTCTGGTCTAGCCGCTAAGCAGCTTAGTGCTATTGTGGCCCCAGGTGCCAGCAGTGTTGAAGCTCAGGAAGTGAGTAGTCTTATTAGCTTTACAATCATCGAATGGGGGTGCTTTGATTTGTCAGCATGTGCTGTTGATGATCTGTGCTCTTTTATTGAGATGGTCATATTGTCCCAAAATTCAGATTAAAAGCATGAACAAGAAAATGTGTTTTAAACTTCTATTGGTATACTTGATGAAGCCTAAAGATTACACCTTTGATACGATAATGAGAACCAAGGATCAGCTGCTAGCCTGCTATCTTAAAAATTGTCTTTTGCTTATGCAACATCCAGAGGTTCAGATCATTTGTGCAGGAGGAAGAGAGTTGGTAGTCCAGTCTTAAGTTGTACATCAAATATTTCTTAATATACATGATACTAAGATAGATGCATCAGTGCATAAATGAACAGGAGGATGACAAAAAGCCTCTAAGACGGCTTTTTTCATACTTCCTAGTATTGTTAATTATACGTTAATCTACGTCTCTATTTTCTGCCTCATCCAGTTGTCATTTTTCCTGTTTTTCTTTTACTCACTTTTCTCTCCCTTCTCTCTTCATCAGGTGCTGGGCACGCCTGATCAGTGAGTAACACTTGGGCCAGTGAATGCTCGTGGAGCTTCGTCCCAACAGTTGATTGACAGCTGCATCTCCAGTTCACCTCCCTCTGCGTGGCACACTTTTCGCCACCCCCCCAGTCTCTGAAGGAAGAACATCACAGAGGGATCGGACACCTACCCACCACAAACTTCCCAGACAGACTCCCTCAGCACCTCACCTCATCTTCACCTCCCCCAAGAGGGAGAGAACAGCAGCCACCATGGTGCTGTCACAGAGACAAAGAGATGAACTGTGAGTGCCTGGATGTAAATATGTGTGTGTGCAGGCTCATTACACATGCAAACAAGAACAGACATGCAGACGAACACACATGCAGTGCTCATGAAAAAGTGCATGTGCGTTTTAGAGTGTGTTTATAAAGGCTTTTCAGCAATACCTCGAAGTTTGAGAGGCACAGATGTACATCACATGCTTTCCCCTCTTGATAGAAAGCAGTGGAATATGTTTAGCTGTTTGGGCTAGGTCATTCAGAAGAGGATAATGCAGGTGTTGCGCAAAAGTGCATAGCTTTACAAGAATGTGTGATTATTGAGGAAATGTGAAGAGGTGCAAGCTTTTAGGTGCTTCATTTGATAGCTACTTAGTAAATATTTCATAACCCACATGACAGGGCAAAGTAGTGAGGGGGATGGGGAAGGAGGAGAAACTTAAAATGATGGCTGGTTAATGTGAGAGGCTCTGTGCCTGGCTGATTGTACGGTATGCACCACAGTTCACTACACCGCAGTGCAGATAGCACAAAACATCAGATATTTCACGATATTATCATGAAGGTTACCCCTGTTGCCTAAAAAGATCTGGACGGCTTATTGTCTGATGAGTTTTAAAAAGGATTTGATTGGGAAAATTAAGGGAAATCCTGCTGCCAGTGCCACCCTAATGTTCAAAGTCTATAACAGACAGGACTACAATTATCAGACATTCAAAGTGGCCTTGAGGCTGCAGCCTAAATTTAGCACAGTTACTCATGAAATATTCACTCTTCATCTCGTACAAGAGCTGTCCCGGTCATTTATTTAACTCTGTGTGTACGTCTTTGTGTATTTGTGTGTAAGTCCATACGTGTGTTTTAAATTTTTCTTTCCATGTGCTTGTGGCTGCCCTGTCCTTTCATCGTCCACACTCTCTCTTTGTGGCAGTCTTTGGTTTCCATAGCAGCACAAAACACAGTTTCCCAGTGATTCGGTCCTCATGTTTCGTTTTCTTCACTGACGGATTGTGATTTTTTTTTTTTATGGCACTTACTCAAATTTGCTGACATTTGAGGTGGAACTGTGAAATTTGAATCCCATTGCTCCCATCTGTTAGACAGGGTGTGGTCTCCTCTCTTTAAGGAGGAACCAGCATTTCTGTTAAGGTGGAGCTGATATCTAATAAATGACATTCCCACTTTGACTTAATTGACATGTAATCAGTTCATCACAAATTTGGGCCTAATCAAATGAAATTACAGTTATACTGACCACTTATTGACAGATATATTGACAGAGGTTGTATGCTACCATCTGTGAGGACCAAACCTGTGATTAATGTCGAGGTAACACTTGAAATCTTTTAAAAAAAAAAATCTGTTTAATTCCACTTTTTGTCAGAAACCGAGCTATAGCTGACTATCTCCGTTCCAATGGATATGAGGAGGCCTATTCCACCTTCAAGAAAGAGGCAGAGATAGATATGGTAAGATGAGACCGGTGCACACAAATGTCAAAAAAAAGAATATGGACCCCTTTCTCAGTGTCTTGTCTTTTCTCCATTCATAGAATGAAGAGGTAGATAAAAAGTATGCAGGGCTTTTGGAAAAGAAATGGACTTCAGTCATCAGATTACAGAAGAAGGTAAGGCTTGTCTGGTGCTTGCTCATAGTGTATTTTAAATTTGCCTGGGATGTTTGATAAATGCTGAACATTTCACATGTGTCAGGCAGACTAATTTTGTTGGCGTGTAGGTGTCATATAGACAATAACCTGTAAAAGTGCACCTAATGAATGGTCCAGTTCCAAAAATAGCTGCAGATATTTTAATCTTTGGGTGGCTGCCATAAATACATGAATGAGGGGGAAACCCTGTAAAAGTAGATACAAAAACACCTTTATATCAGCTTTTTAGAAAGCTAAGCTGCCAGATGGACGGCATGATAACATAAAATTGTTACCTGTCTTCTGACTCTTCTTCTTAACTTCCCGGTCTGCCTCAGGTGATGGAGCTGGAGTCAAAGTTGAATGAGGCGAAGGAGGAGATGACACATGGAGGACCTGTGGGTCAGAAGAGAGACCCCAAGGAGTGGATCCCCCGTCCTCCAGAGCGATATGCCCTGAGCGGGCACCGCGCTCCGGTCACACGTGTTATATTCCACCCTGTCTTCTCTGTCATGGTCACAGCCTCCGAGGATGCTACCATCAAGGTGTGTGTGTGTGTGTTTATAAACAGGGTTTACGCACTAAGATGTCAGTTTATACAGCCAGCTACGTCTGATGCAATCCAATACAACATCCCTGCCACAAATCTTCACTTTATACATCGTATCATATTCATTTTTGTCCATCTGATTAAATACAGTTGACATCACTGCAGCCTCTAGAAGGATCAATATCTTTTTGACAGTTTCCACAGACACAGGAGTGTATTGTGGGGCTTTTTTTTAGGGATGCACCGAAATGAAAATTTGTGGCTGAAGCCGAATAATATTAAGCGCTTGGCTGAATACCGAATATGGTTGTTTAGTTTTTCATTTTCGTTTTTGCAGATGAACCACCTCCAGATTAGTGTCGTCACAGTACCAAAATTGGGACCCTTTGTGCGATACCAATGAAAATATCATGGTTCTGAGTAGTATCACGATACCACAGCGAAAATGAGGCAGATGTGCCTTTTGTCATTTATAAATAGATAAATCACTTTTCTATTATAGGCTAAATCAATGATATTTCAATGGAATAAATTACTTACTGACTTATTCATACTTCAAAAACACCATCAATCAGTGATGAACATAGGGGGGATCAAAATAAAATAAATAAATATAATAAGAATCAACCAGCCACCCTCCTCCCCTGACAAGTTCCTTCATAAGTAAAGAACAGTCCCTAAAGTGTGGTGAGGTTTGTGGGCCGTGAACAGCTCGTTTCTCCTCTGACACATCACGTACGGTCTGTGTTCGGCTGGCTCGGCTGTTCAGGTACTTCTGGGCAGTCCACACGCCAACAAGAGGATATTATTGGAGCCGACTTCTCTGTCGCCGGTAAGCCGATGGCCACCGTAATTGACAGGAATACATTACTGTCTGTGTCTGTGACCCCCGTTCAACCCACAATCGGTGGGATTCGCCTTTAGTTTCTGCTGATGGTTGAAATCTGTAGGCTGCTAGCACAGCGTGCTGAATGATTTAAGCCTATTTTGCTCGCTCAAAACTATTTTTAGTTGCAAATGCGAGTGCCGTGACGGACGGATCGCCACACTGCCGACATTTTACTCGTCCCGTCACAGCACGCTGTTTGATTGCGTTATCAAAACACACCACTATTATTCGGCCTTGCTTTTAACTTATTCCACCAAATACCGAATGTGTGTTTTTTTGCAATATTCGGCCGAATATATTCGGTTACCGAATAGTCGGTGCATCCCTACTTTTTTTATTAGATTGTGAAGAGAAACAGAGACACAAGTTTAAGAAAACTAAGGGGGCAGCACAGTCTTGACCTACTATAACAGTGCTCTAAAACATCTGTCAATGTTGAGAAGCAACAGCATCATTACATTAATGTATTATACATCAATTTATCCATTAAGAGGTCCCATGTGTACTCCCTGGAGCTATCAAACCCCTTTTGCTTTTCTTGTGTTCACATAATGTAATATCTTTGACATGTCGTTTCTAGGGGGTTCACTGCTTTGAAAATGTGTCTCTAGCAGGAATATTAAATCGATGGCCGCGTGCAGCAGAATTTAGAAGCTAAATCAGAGAGCGTTTCAGCACGCCACAACATAGCCTCTGCAGCTCTGACCCTTCAGATCAAAGCTGTACTGCAGATCTGAGGCTGCTCTCCCTTTTTATCCTCAGTGCTTTTGCTTCAACACGCTTTTCACCCCCTCTGCCTCCTCCCTTTATTCTCCTCCTCCCTCCCTCTCCGCTTCCTTTCCTTCCTCACTGTTTCTTTTTTCTGCTTTGTCACTGCTCATCTATGTGGAGATGGGCTGATGCTCGTGTTGTCAGAGGCAACACTCCCAGAGCAGAGCACCTTGGGAAACATGCAAATCTCTTTCTCTTTTAACTCATCCTTCTTCTCTCCTTATCAGCCCTTTTATTGATTAAACACTGTCAGCAGATTGTTTAATTTGTACAACCTGATTTTATTTGAAAGGAGATTCTCAACAATTTAAACTTTGTTTAAACAGTTTAACCTACATGTCTTTAATGTCACAACACATTATTTAACCTGCACCCCATCCTGCCTGCTGAATGTGGGAAATAAAAGTAATCTGATTTTACAGTCATAATAACGTGACCCTTAAAAGGACGTGAATATGTCAATATAGGAATTTTTGCTGTTAGGCTACTAGACTTCCTTAAGTTGACCAAAATCAGCAATGTTGTAGTCACATTTGATTTTGAGTCAAGATAAACATCTGTGTTTGATAATTAGGTCAGACTGAATTGCCTCCCTGACTGACTAGTGCTTTCTGTGTCTGTGATTTTAGGTGTGGGACTATGAGGCAGGAGACTTTGAGCGAACCCTGAAGGGCCACACAGACTCTGTGCAGGACATCTCCTTTGACCAGACAGGAAAGCTTCTGGCTTCCTGTTCAGCTGACATGAGCATCAAACTTTGGGACTTTCAGGGGTTCGAGTGCATCCGAACAATGCATGGTAAGAGATATTTCCAGAGATAACATTAGTTACAGCACAAGAGCACCTGTGTAGTGAATACACAAAACAACTTATGCTATATGCAGTCTTATTTAGAAATATTACAATTTCTTAAGTACTTAATTATTTTTTTATATGGTCTATTTATGCTAAATAAATGTGTTTATAAATGGATGCAGGAAATTAATATAATTGGGTTCACAAGTATTTTAGTTTGTAGAGACTGTTTCAGTGCTACAGGCCTGCAGATTTATCAGGGGCTCATGATAAGAGGATTCACAATAAAATTAGGGAAAACATCTATGTAGCTGCTAGGATTAGGTGTATATATATATTTTTTTCCTGATGCCAGTGTTAAAATAATACTTTTAAACAGTTCTGGATGGTGTCAGATTTAATAATGATTAACGATACCACCTCACATTAAGTGAGCCTTGTCAGTTTCCATTGGGAGACTATCTTCACTTGCTAACGTCGGGGCTAACCCCCTTCACTTTAATCAGGAAGTAACAAGCAAGAGAGGGGAACTTGGCTTGGGTCTTGAGGAGTTGTAGCATTTATTCACTGACAATTCGCCTAAACTCTACACACATTGCACTGCTACAATTGGTTTCATACTCTCTGCTCAGGTCGCCGCCGTGTCACTGTCACGCATCACCATCACACACTTGCTTTCTCTCTCTTTCAACTGCACACTTGCTATGCACACAATCTGGCTCCAAAATCTGTGTTGTGATTCGGTCCAGTAGGCACTGGTCATATAGGAACTGGTGCCGTAGTGGTGCTGGGTTTCGGTCCCCAAACCTATAAGCTACATTTCAGTGGAAATGAGTTTAAATGACTTTTCTGATTGTGGGTTTTAGTCATTTTTAGAAACTGAACACCAAGTGTTTTCTAATGAAGGGTTAGCTTTATTTTAGAAATCTCAAATGCTTTTGGGCACTGTGACTTTGGGCACATCTGGCTTGGTGGTTTAAGTATTGACATGAACTCAGACCATTTACACAACTGAACTCTTGACTGTGTCGTCCAGGCCACGATCACAACGTGTCGTCTGTAGCCATCATGCCAAATGGTGACCACATAGTGTCTGCCTCCAGAGACAAGACCATCAAGATGTGGGAGGTGGCCACTGGGTAAGTGAGGAAGAGTCGTTTCAACTCTTACAGCCACAAGCTCTTAAAGACATTTGGATTCATGTAATTTTACATTTTAGCATGTTTTTTCTTTGTTTTCCATACTCTAATATCTGTATCTTCCATCCTCCTTCCCATTGTCTTAGTTTAATCCCTGACAATATTTCATTGTTCATAATTAATTTATGCTAAAAGCAGCTCTTTCATGATTTAATTCAATTCCAATGTGTCCATCTACAGGTACTGTGTGAAGACATTTACAGGGCACAGGGAGTGGGTGAGGATGGTGCGTCCCAACCAGGACGGTTCGTTGATCGCCAGTTGCTCCAACGACCAGACGGTGCGTGTCTGGGTGGTCGCCTCGAAGGAGTGCAAAGCTGAGTTGCGGGAGCATGAACATGTGGTAGAGTGTATCGCTTGGGCCCCTGACAGTGCTCACCCCACCATCCTGGAGGCCACAGGCTCAGAGGTATGTACAGCTGCTGCAGGATCTACTTTTACCTACAGAGGATGTTCGTGTATATTTGGGTTCAGCCGGAGGGTTTCCCACAATTGTGTAGAGCAAAGGCGAACCATGTGTGCTGAAGTAATGACTTCCTCATAAGACATTAATGCACTTTTATTAAACTGCAACAGAAAAAGCACTATTTCAATGAAGCCAGTGAGCCTTTTGTGAAGATGGTAATCTTAACTAGTAATTTAGTTTGTCACCAATGATTAGATGCAGTCAGGGGCTTTCAAACTTAGCTCAGCAGATTACAGTGATTGGTCAGGTTTTCACGTCATGTTTGTTTGCTCTGCAATAATTAAAACCGAACCTGGCAAAGTTGGGGAAAAAGACGTTTTTACTGTCTGGAAATTCGGAGGCAAACTAATCTGTTTGTTACTAACAGCTGATGTGTGAAGAAGAATTAAATATACTTATATTTACCTTATGTGAGCTTTTTAATAACATCACATTTACATATCTGCATCTATGTTTATAGCCCAGTCTGTTCACATGCTAACGGCCCTGTGAGGCTGTTCTTAGCTTTTAGCTTATAGCACCTTTTGTGCCATGAGCTGAAAGCTAATGTCAGTATGCTAACATGCTTTTCAGCAGGTATAATGTTTACCATCTTCACTATCTTTTAGTTTGTTGGCATGCTAATGTTTGCTAATTAGCAGTAAACCTCAAAGCACAGCTGAGGCTGATGGTAATGTGATTCGTTTTGTAATTATTTAGTTACAAAGTAAAGTATTTTACAAAGTAAGATTTGAATGTGATATTGGTGCTACATTAAAAGTCAGAATTAATTCAGACCGACTGGCATTGCCACGCCTCTAGAGTATGAAAATAACTAAACTGCTGTATTGTCTTTTATGTAGTCAGTTGGTTTCTTACATCTTCCCTGTGTCTCTGTTTTGCAGAGCAAGAAGAGTGGAAAATCTGGCCCCTTCCTTCTCTCTGGATCCAGAGATAAAACAATCAAGATGTGGGATGTCAGCATTGGCATCTGCCTTATGACTCTGGTGAGCAGTCTCAGTGATGATTTCTATGCCTGTCTCTGTTGCTGCTTATGAATGAGGGGAGTGGTGGGTAATTATTCTTGTCTCTCCAGGTGGGACACGACAACTGGGTGCGTGGGGTATTGTTTCATCCTGGAGGAAGATTCATAGTGAGCTGTGCTGATGACAAAACCATTAGGATCTGGGACTACAAGAACAAACGCTGCATGAAGACCCTGTGTGCCCATGAACACTTTGTTACCTCTCTGGGTAAGACACAGTGATTATTGAGATTAATAGCATTTAACATTAACCTGCTCTGAACTTAAACCCACGCTGAGAAGCTCACTTTGTACATCCCATTTAACTAATTTCAACCGTGTGGTTTAAATTATCGAGCTTATCTGTAATGGAGTGTACCTGAACAAATGTTTTCTCTCTTGCAGATTTCCACAAGACTGCTCCCTACGTGGTGACAGGCAGCGTCGATCAGACAGTCAAAGTCTGGGAGTGCCGCTGAGACTGCCTCCATCTCTTACCCTGTCCTGTCCTGACTTACCCCCCCCCCCCCCCCCCCCCCCCCCCCCCCCCCCCCCCCCCCCCAAGCCCACTCTACCCCACCCCTCTCCTGCACCTCAGCCCTCTTCCCTCTATCCTAACACCCAGCCCAGCCCTTCACCTCTCGCACTCCAAACCATAGTTGACCATGGCGCTTTACCTTCTCCCCCGTCCACTCCCCTCTCCCTCCCTCCTCCCCTACATCGGTCCAGCCCTATTAAGATGACTATTGTCCTTTTATGTAAATTATTCTGGATGTAGGGTACGCTTAATAAATGTCACGCAATCTCTGACACATAAACACACTCAAAAGATAAGAAGTATTCCTTGCATGGTGAATCAAACAAAAAAAAATTGTATACTGTTAAATTTGCCGAATTTGCATACTGTTGTCATGACTTCCTGTCAGGTCAAAGGGTGAATATCCTTGTGTGCTGGCACAGGTGGATTCCAGTTAACTGACAGTGCACGAAAACCAATGGCACCCCTTGTTGAGGGGGTTTAGGTTTTGTTTTGTTTAGTTTTACTCCATGCCTCCATTGTTGTGGTCTGTCACTGCGTGGATGGTGATAGAGAAGGTGTGAGGGAAGTAAGCATAAAAGAGAATGAGTGGAAGCTGTCCAGGAGAAGATGAAAACAAGTGGAAGAAAAGATTAAGCAAGATGCAGCTCCCTAGTTGAATCACATGAGGTTCTGTGGGCGAGTGCACGTGTACATGTGTGTATACATTGTGTGAGTGTGTGTGTGTTTGTATATTACGACAGGAGAATCTCTCCACCGTCTCTGCTCTGATGGTCAGAGGAGAGAGAGGAGGCAAGGCTTCTCACCCACTGTGTTCATTCATACTACTTCATCTCTTTTAACAAACTTGCTTTCTAGTAGACACTCACAGGACCTTAATGATCCCTACGCTGCTGAGAGCACAGGCACACGCCCCATAGCAAAAGTGTGTTGTACAGAGGAAAAAGTCTGCTCACCTTTTATGAGGTTTGTGTGTGTGTATGTCGCCCCAGAGAAATCGCCCAGTGCCCTCTTGCTCGCTATCTCTGCCTTGTTAACCCATTGAGGGCTCCCTCACACGGGATTTTCATTCTGCTTTCTGTGGTCTCACTGCTCTCTTTACACACACATACACATACACTCACAAATGCACATACACGCACAGTAAAAGTTGTGTATCAATATATCTGGATGTCATTGTTTGCAACATAATGAAATAAAATTCTGTAAATATAAGTGATCTGTTTGTCTGCTTTCTTTGAGGAAAGGTGGTGAGATGCAGGAAAACTTCAGGGAGTCTGACAGAGTTTACCACGGCAAAGTTTCATAGAGAGGTCGGATACCGCAGCACACCTCCCAGTTCATCTCATGTTAAATACATCAAGTGCACCTACGCCTGCAAGGGCTGTGTAACCACGGAAACCAGAGTATCTGCAGGTTATTTAAAAGGTCTTAATGTCTTAAATATAATTATATAAACAGTAGCCCTTAAATTGGCTTACATTTAGATTTATGAAGTTCTAATTGCCACAAATGTTTCATCTAATTTGATTTATCCATCTTTCAACTTATGTTTGTTAAAATGAGTCAAGCTCCTCTACATTGAAGTCCACATCTCTGATGTTACAAATGATTTAACCTACCACTGAACCTCATACTGCCTTTTACTTTATACTTGCACTTACCTGTTGGCAACATGTAGATTGACCTAACTCACTCTAATAACCATACACCCTACATAAAACCCACCTCTGCACAGAACTAAATAGACACACCACTTACCTGCAATACAGATTAAGAAAACAGTTTGGTTAAAATTTATCTTGAAAGGGTCATGATAAGCATTGCATTTAAGTGTCACATGCCTGTAGATGCAGTGGACATAGAAATCAAGCAAACTTTCTATATCTAAAAAAAATGTATCTAAATACATTTTTTATTCTTACTAGGACACATTTAATTGCCACCCTGATATGGTATGCTTTTCTGTTTTTCTTTAGCTGTAAGCATATTCTCAAGCATTACTGTCACTGTAAAGACTCTTTGGTTGCGGTGCTGTGACAGGTAATGATACTAAATGTTGCCATTCTGGTTCATTCAGGCCAGTGAAGACCAATGACAGCCTGTAGCCTACAAACTTAAGTGTTGAATTTAATAAAACAGTCGGGTCTGACAGTGTAAAATCAAAATAATGTGGGTCACAAGACAAAAACTAAAAAAACTGCTGCTCTAGATACGGAATATAATTTATGTAAAACTATCAGGCTGTGGAGCTACGCTGTGGCCTCTTGGCATCTTTGGGTAACTTTAGTGTGAGTAGGGTCAGAGGCTGACTCACTCTTACTGATTCAGATAAAGGAAGAACAGATCAGTCCTGACCTAGTAGTATTTTTTTTAAATGAAAGATGAGTGGGGGATAGACAGGTGTGGTGCCAGGACTTAAAATGTCAAGTGTAATATGGGGAGAACAGTGTAATAAGTTTTGACATTTATTCCTCAGGTACAGCCCAGTTACTTACTACTATAGCTCACACTGGAGAGGCAAAGACATCAGGAGGCAACAGGGACGGTTCAGCCCCCCTTATCAATTATGTACAGTACCCCAGCCTAATTCTGAGCTCGCGCACACACCTGCTCACTCACCCACACAGCAATTACTCTCTCCCTGTGCTCGGTAGTATCCTGGCAACAGTTGCCAGGATGGCAAGCTTGCAAGCACCACACCTTGCTCTGTCCTGCAGGTTCTTTGAGGGTGGAGAAACGGGGAGTGGTGCAGTAAAGCGCATTGGCAAATGCAGGTGCCAAAAAGGAGTCCAAGGTACAACACAAGGTTCATGTAGTAAAAGGACGTTGGCAATGGGTGCACAGTACGATGGAGTGAAAGCTGTGTGCTAAATGTGTGTGCAGAGATGTGAGAAGTGGCTTCATGGGACTTGATGAAAGGATAATAAACCTGTCTCAGTCTGAAACTCCTGTTTCTCAACAGAGGCAGTGGAGTAGAAACATTGGCCTACATCCACCAGCCACCACTCTCTCATGCCTTGCACACACTTTTCCCCTCATGTAAGCTAGAGACATCAAAACAGGGCAGAAACAGAGGAAGCTCACTTTCTTGTTTTTATCTCTTCTAGGTCACCCATTTCTCCCCATCTGACAAAACTATCACTGATTCAGATTTATAGCAAAGAAGGTGAAAGGAGCAGCAGGGAGGTATGAGCCAGCATTGATTCCCGATAAGCTTGGCATGATATGGAAGTGTCGAGAGATTTCAAGGTCAGTGTGAACAACAGGCCTGTCTCTGTGAGATGCAGCACTATTGATTCTCTCAGAGGTGATTGAACTATTTCACATAGCAGGTTGGATTTTCTTTATTAACATATCCAAACATACTAGTAGTTTCAAGTGCAGACCGAGGCACAGATGACTGCAGGGCCTGCGTTGATATATAGGTTTGTGTGTCATCCCAGTATAGCTTACGTGAGTCCCACTATAGTTTACGTGACCAGTGTTCTAATCCCTGCAAAGCCTGAGGAGGACGATGGGATGAGGTGCTCTGGATGAGATATGTTACAGGATGTGGCGCTCTCTAGTGGTAGCTTGTGTTGAGAGGTCCATGTCCCTATAAGGAAAAAAACACTGCCACTTTCTTGCATTGAGTTCAAGTTGGCAGTGGTCACATGGGTGTCATGGAAAAGATACTATAACTGACCATCTTCTTTTTTCAGAGGAGAAACATTCATCATGACTTCACAATGACTTAAAGATCGAATAAAAAACTCAGTTCTGTTTGATGCAAGTCATGTTTTCCAAGTTAAGGATTGGGGTTGTAATTTAGGATCTGATCATGCGTTAATATCCAAGAGGTTTATATAACTTTTCACCCATGGAAACTGAACAAAGAATCAGACATTGTACACCACCTTTGTTGAAGTTTAGTGTTTGGGTTATGGAAATAAGTTTTGATTGTAAATTACATGTGCATGAGAAATGTTAGAACCACCTGCTATTGACAGACACTGAAACAAATCCTCAAGTCTTTACTTTAATCACAGCCAAACAGTGATGTCTGTGATTCACACACTCTTTGCTAAGTCCATTTGATCTTTGAACACTTTCCCTGTGTAAAGTCTCCTGTGTTGCACAGCTTCCTCTTTGTCTCTGCTCTGTAGATCCAATAGTGATGCAGCACTTCTAACTGGGTCAGCCCCGTCCCAGCTTCACATCCCTCCCGCCCTCTGTGTCTCTCCAAGCCAACCCCCTCATCCTCCTCCCTTTTTTCCCCTCTATATACGCATAACATCCGTAAAGACTTTTTTTTCGTGCAGCTCATGTGCTTACCATGTGCAGCAGCTCTCCCTTCCCTATTCTCTCCCTCCTCCCCCTTTCCTGCCTGATTCATTTTCTGTCATCCGTCCTGCCATACAGCCTGTTGCAAAATGACTCACACCCCCCCTCACACCCACACATGCATTTGTTTCCCATTATTGGAAGTTTTAGGATTTTTTTTCCCCAGGCGAACTGGACAAGATAATATGTGGCCTGATAGTCAACATAGTATTGGTGTTAGTAGGTTTGTATGTGCAGGCAAGGCGCATGGCGTGGAGGAGGCAGCTCTTATGTACCCCTGGGCTGCTGCTTTGATTGGCTGAGAGAGTGAGACCCTGTGATGTGGTAAAGGATATATATGACTGAGCGGCATCCAATCAAAGACTGTTACCATGCAGCAACGCACACACCACATACATGCATCTGTATACAGTATATAGACAGGCACAACACTGTAATATAAACCATTAATCATAACACTAAAATAAGATTTACTTTTCCCCAGAGGGAGATATACTGCATAATCCAGCACAGCTGTCACATGTTACATATGATCAAATAACACAACACATCCAACATAAGTCACAGCATTAAAGACACAAAATGCAACAGAAGAAGTACCACATGGAAATAATGAGCAACTGCGGAGAAGGAGAAAATCCTTGTGATGCAACATATTTTTCCATGCATGAGATAAACAGTGGGTGTGAAATGAAAAAAATCTGGAAAAGAGGCGGTTAACTGGCAACAAGGGAAGTTTTTTTTTTATTAAAAAAAGAACAAAATGAACACTGATGAAATAATTAATAAAAAAACAACTCTGTAGACACATTTTTGTGAAAGACTAGAATTATCAGGTAATAAATTGATCAGACATGTCCTTAAGGTCTTTTGGCTGCTGCTTGATATTATAAATTATTTTTTCTGTGGAAAAGAAAATTGCTTATAGGTTCCCCCCCCCCCCCCCACAAAGTGACACAAAGTGACAATGTTACAATTAGGGGAAACAAAAAATATAAATTACAGTAGCCTACATCACATAATAGTTGTTCATCTAAATGTTAACCTCAGTATGGACCTCCAAAACACAACAATTTAATAAAAATTACTGTCTTGTCATTATCCCACACACCATCTTAATTGTAAATATGCAATACCTATGGTGTATAATTAATCCTCATATGTATTTATTTGGTAAAAACCTTTTAATTTAGTATTACTGATTAGGATTTGAGGCTTAAACATCAGGATATTTGATAATAATCATATTAATAGTACATTCTGGTCAGCCGCCTCTCATCACTGCTCACCCACAGACACTACAGTAAACTCCGCCCCTTGTCGTTTGATTGACAGCTCTGATCTCGAGACAGCAGGGTGGCCAGTCACGCTCTCGCCATGCAAATGAGCCGCGCTCGGGCCGGGCGGGTGCCCATGTGGACCAGCACCATGCCTTGTTGTTCTGAGCGCTGATTGGCTCGCTGGCGCCTGATTGTTCTTCATGCGCTGCGGGCCAACGGTCGGGAAGAAAACATGGCGGACCTGTGACTTTGACGGGACTTCCCTTTCTCGATTCCCACGAAAATAGGCGAGTACACCGTGAGTCTGCTTTGCTCCAGGAGCTTCTAGATATTACTAAATATTAGTTTTGAGAGGGGTAATGCCAGTGTTGTGATTTGGGGAGGGCTAACGGTTAGCGGCTAACGACAGCGCGGAGTAGGATGGCGTGATGCGGTCGCCGGGTTTTGTCGGAGGCCGTAGTAACAGGGCGGGGCAGGAATCCGGGAGGGGCGGGCCTTAACGAGAACACGACTCGCCTTGTTGTGTGTATTCCCGTGCTCGCATCGCCATCTTGTTGCAATCCTATTTTTTACGTATGCGAGGATCTACTTTGCGTTCGCCCGGATTAAAAATTGACCGTCTGCTTTCAGGAGAAACACAGCGGACGAGGAGCTCGGGCCTGCGGGTGTGAACCGTGCACACGGCGCTTCCTACCGGGACACCATCTACCCCCCCTCGGTCTTTTTCCTCCTTTCGTCCCGGGCCACCGGGTCGCCTGCCGTGAGGGTTTACGCGCAATGAGCATCGATACACTTTTGGAGGCGGCCAGATATCTGGAATGGCAAGCCCAGCAACAACAGATCACACGTGGTGAGTTCAACAGCAGTCTGGTGCATTGTGCTCAGCTTACATGACACTAAATAACACTGTGTGCTACATCCTAAACTGATTTTTGTGCGGACCGTATCCAGTTACTTCCAACGACTGGGCTTATATTTTTCAACCGACCCGCCTATGATGAACGGAAGCGTTTGTAGTTTTTGTTTGTCGTTCTGGGTTAACGCCAAAAAAGAGGCTGAAGTCACTGCAAAGTCTCGGTGATTCCTGAGTCGTCAGTTGTTGCACACATTTGTCTGCCGTTAATGCGGAAACGGCTAAAGTTGTTTTCCGAACTACTTTGCGCGCTCTCGGCGTGTGTGTGTGTGTGTGTGTGTGTGACAGTTTCAACACTCCAGTGACTCACCGTACATGTGTGTGCGTGTATGTGTGTGTGAAAGGTATGGCAGAGGAGTTCCTGTCAGTAAACTGTGGTGCGTTTAAGTGTAGTATCTTTGTTATAAAGCAACTGTCTGCAGAGTGTGCACTTTATTGCTTTTATACTTTATTAATACAATAAAAATAATTAGGTTTAAAATAGTGATTATTTTCACCAGAGCTCCACATATCTGTCCTGAAAAGAGCTTTTCAAATCGATTTGCCCCAGTTTATTGTCCGTCGAGCACCGGCAGGGCGGTGGCGAGCAGAGGCTGCTCTTTACATAATACCCTGACATTGCTCAGCTATCTTATGACACACACTGGGGCGGGCCCTCACGCGCTCACCCCGTCCCTTTTGCATATCTGCGCGCGTGCATATGCTATACATTATTTATTTTCCTCATTTAATAATTATGTGAAACCGATGAGCTGTCAATCGACACAATGATCAATGAGTTGATAAAGGGAGACAAGGGGCTGCTTTTTGTGTTTCTCCCCTCTGATGACGTGTCAGACAAATCAACCCCCTCCCCCCCGCATACTTGCCCTACCGCGTGCTAGGATCCGCCCACAAAGACCACGTGCACACTGCCCCCCTCCTCTCTCAGATACACACCTACGCGCACATACACACGCACTCCTCGTCCCCGCCCTTCCCATTCAGTCGACTGACAGTGGCGGGTCAGAGAGAGAGAAAGGGGGGTAAGTAGGGCAGCCTCCCTCCTCACCCCCACCCAGCCCCAGCCTCTTTCAATGCAGAAGTTATGTAATTTACGTTTGCATGCACTTGACAATCTGGAGCATGGTGTGTGTGGAGTATACTATAAAAGCTAGAAGAACAGACTGGGTCACACAAATATTTCCATGTGCTCTCACTTTCTGTTTTATTTGCACAGTATATCAGACATTATTTTTACTTCTGCACTTTGGCCCCTTTGTGGAATTTATATGGTTGTCATCATAATCATTATATCATAGAGGACATTTTCCAATATCAGTGTGTATCACCATAAGGCAGGAGCATGCAAAATCTAAAGCAGTGATCAGTGTTTGTCTGATATACATAACAGGAGACCAAAACGTTCATGATTTATAAACACTTTGATAAATATTTTAGTTTTTGTCTCAGAGACTGGATAAAATAAATGTCTGGAATGATGTGATTAGGGCTGCAACTAGTTATTGTTTTCACAATTCATTGATCAGTTCTTTTTTATACTGTAACATTTCAGACAATAATGTGTGTATGTATGTGTTCACTATTTATCAGAGCTCAAAGTGAGTCTCTAAATGCCTTGCTTTGTTGGCTATCACATATGACACACATACTCACACTGGAGAATCTGAAACCACAGAATGACCAATTCAGGCAGATTATTATTATTTTTGTTTCACTCCTATTTAGGGCTAAACATAATGCTCACAGAAAGAGGGAGTTGCAGGTCTGACTCCCTCTGCTCAGCAGGAGTTAAAAGAGATGTGAGCACATGAATAATTGAGGAATAACACTGTTACTCTGTGGCAGCACTATTAATAGACCGCTGGATTGTTGTCAGATTCCCAAATTAAATAAAAGTATATGATTCCCAAAAAAGTGCAGAGAAATTGTTGTGGTCGTACACCATCAGATTTAACAGTGCAGGCTTTTTCTGAGGTGAACTGTTGCCCTAGGTGAGAGAGGATTGCGTCATCATGGGGTTTGCAGTTTCACGCAGAGAAGAAATGAAAGTGTTACTTAACAGGCAGCCGGGCATGTTGGCATGCGGTGTTTTTATTTTTTTATAATGTTGGTGATAGCTGCGCCGTGTGTTGGCGTCGTGCAGGTTAGAGGAATCCCTGGGATCTTCTGTTTCTAATGTTGCTGTTTCCATGGTAACGGAGGGCTTTCCACACTGCTTTGAGTCTGTCTGCTACAGTGTGCAATAACTACTCACTCATACCATTAAATGTGTGTGTGTGTGTGTGTGTGTGTGTGTGTATGTGTATATGTGTGCTGGCACGAGTCTGTATACGCAACACGAGCAAAGCGTGGGAACGCTCCGTCCCACGATGTGATTTCTAAATTTTATTTTTGTGGCTTTTTTGTTTCGTCCTTCATTTACATGTTGTCATGGTGCCAACTCCAGTTGACCCAGCAGAGTGGCTCCTTGACAACAGTCCGCTGCTGTTGGTCAGACGGCCCTGACGAAACCCAGCGTGCCCAGTGCTGGAGCGGTCCAATCACAGTACAGACAGAGGGGGGTTCTCTGCAGTCAGGAAACGGATGCAGACATGATTTCTGTGATTATTCCCCCCCCTAACAATCTGATTCCCAGATGACATCATGCTTTTTCTGTGTTTGTGTGCACATAGTATTGAGATTTTCACTAATCAAACAAAGTGACATCACTCTGACAAAGGGAGCTGTAGCAAAACAAAGAAACAGCTTAGATTTCCTGAATGGAATTTATATTATTTGTTTTGGGTTTGGTTCAAGAATTAGGAGTCATTAATGATTTCCAAACTGGAAGTGTGTAGAGCACTCACTACACACAGTATTAATGTACCTGTGTCAATGCATCAATGAGGTCATGAAAGGCAGATTTAACCACAGGAACTGGTCAGTCATAGTTGTTTTAAATCTGAACCAAGGGCAGGTTGTCAGGTGATCTTTCCTGTTTGTCTCCCCTTACGTCCATCTTCTGTTCTCCTAACTTGTTTGTTGTTATCTGTTATTTTCCAATGTTCACTCACAGAGGAGGAGCAGCGCAACGACAAGGAGCTCCTCAAAAGGGAGGAGGAGTCAAGGCGAGTGGAACTTGTGACCTCGTCGTCTCAGCCAGTCAGAGCCAACCACATCACTTGGGGCGATGACGCTCACCGCCAACAGTCGCATCACCTTCCCGCCCCTCCGCCCCCCCCTCTCCCACCTCCTCAAGTCCCCATCGCTGTCATCCCAATGGTTCCAGTTGTCACCGCAACGCCCTCGGTCCCACGCCTTCCCCTCACAACGCAGATTGCTGCGGCGGCAACTTCCCTCAACGGCTCGCCACCAGCCAAGAACGCTTCCTCCCCTCCACAGCAGCAGCAGCCGGCCTCTCCTCACCTGTTGTGCACCCCCCAGATAAAGGTAGAGACTGCCCAACTAAAGGTAGAGACTGCCCAGGTTAAGTTGGAGACTACCCCGATTAAGGTAGAAACTGCCCCCATTAAGTTAGAGACTAGTCCGCAGCTGATTGATGCAAAGCCCAGCCAATCACAGCCTCAGGTTCAGATTCAGTACTCAACCTCCATCAGCACTAATGGCTCTGGCTCTCAACATGCACTGGTTCCCCATCAAGCTCCACCTTCATCTCAGCCGCGGCCTAATGGAGTGACGATGGAGGACCTGAGGGGGATGGAAGGAAAGAGGAGACCAGGAGGGTCAGTTTGTGTGTGTGTGTGTGTTAGAGTTGATATATGAGTGAAGATGGGTTAATAGTTGTATTTGATTATTTATTTTTTGTTTCCAGAGCGGGGACTAGAGAGGTGCATAATAAACTGGAGAAGAACAGGTTAGTCATACTCAATTTCTCATTGTTGGAATTAGTGTCATCTCATTGGGAATTAAGGAAAGCAGCCCTGTTTTTTATAGCTTCACCACCACACACCAAATTTTGTGTTTTTGTGTTTATATACAAAACCATTAATGCTTCTGAAGCTTGCAAATTGAAGCCACGAGGTCTCTATATATGACTAGAACTTGGTTAACCTCTTAAACAAATGACTGACTGAATAAATGGTAAATGTTCTCCTGTAAGCTAATGACAGCTGTATTTAAAAGTGTGTCCCTTTCTCATTTCTGACTCTTCAGACGAGCGCACCTCAAAGAGTGTTTTGAGACGCTGAAGAAGAACGTTCCAAATGTCGATGAGAAGAAAACCTCCAACCTCAGTGTTCTCCGCAGTGCTTTGCGTTACATACAGGTAGAGTTTTATTATATTTTCTCAACTTTCCCAGCATGGTGAGGCTAAGCCTAAAAGGAATACTGATTTACAAACAGCTTTGTATCATAACTATATCATAACTAAACCAGATCTCCTTGCTCATTTGCCAGCTCAAATCATCAGTGTCATCCAGTGGATTTTTGCTGGCTTTAGGGCTGTAGCTCGAACATCAGATTGTACTTCGGCATATGGACACAAAGTGTATAAAGGCAGATCAAGAGAGACCCCCACCCCAAACTCAGACCAAACAGTAAAACCAGGCAGTGCTGGTGAAATATAAACTAGCCAAGATTCTGTTTGTCGCCCAAAATGTCTTCAGAAACATATTTTAGTACACTGTTTAGCTGTAATATGAGGATTTTGTGAACAGGAAGTGGACGTCATACTGTTACTGCATTGTAAAGCGAAGGCTGAAAAACAAACAGTAAAACTAAGCAGTGCTGATATAATACGAACCAAGGTTGTATTACTGCCTTGCCTTTTGTCTCAAATATTTTCCTAAATATATTTTAGCTTACCATTTAACTGTGATGTGAGATTGTTAGCTAACATCCCGCTGCCATAATAGTTTCAAATGGGCAGCTCGCATCATGTCACCCACCAGGGAGAGCATTTATCGGTTCAGTTTGGCGCAATGCATTCTGTTAGCTGTAGGTTTTCTACCTCTTGAGGAAAAGCAAATACCACAGCCCTTTTTCTTTTTTCTCTGGTCATGTAACGTAAGTTTCAAAAGTATAAATGTCTTTCTGCAGTTTTATACAAACATCATCTTCCCACAAGTGGAACACTTCTTAAACATACTGATGCGGTCCAACACAATATTTTGGGTCCTACTCACGTCTTGTTTTTCATCTTATTGTTTTCATCTTTCTCCGGTCTTGAAGTAATTGGTTCAGCTCTGGGAACAGCACAGGCTTTGGTCCATTATAATTGATATACAATGCCTGTTTTGTTATCCGTTAAGCTGTTTTGTGTTGGTTAGCCTCTTGTGACTATGATATGGCATCTGCCAAATAATGGGGAATCAGCCTGTAAGAAAGTGGTGAGTAACTCCAATGTAACGACTATTTTTGTAACATACTTTGGTGAGATTCTTATCCAGTGGAAGCGTTGTGTAAAGGATGAACAAGCATAAACATTTTTGTTGAAGCATATTGTAGTTGTGTAGAGAAATAACATTGCATTGCTGAGGGTGGTGTGGGGGAGGGACTGGTGTAGCTTGAAGAGGTGAGTTTTCAGTCTTCAAAAGAAGACGATTGAGGATGTCTGCACTGTGGCAGAAATGAATTGTAGCCTGGAGCTAGATGCAGTGGTTCCTGTTTTGTGGAGTAGAAGCTTCATGATTTTGAGTTCAGTGGAATATGCAATGTAGAGTCAGTGGAAAAGAACTAAATTAGGCTGCGAGATGGAAGAACTTGTTCAAAGCAAGACTAGCTGCAAGATCTTGGGCCAGCCTTCAGCAACATACTGGGATTTGCGTCAGTCTTTGACACAAGATGATGATGGTTTTGAGGCAGAGCCAAGCTGCTGGTGAGGAAATTGAGACTGCACAGCTTACTTTAAGTTTCCATGTTTTTAAAGAAAGTTACACATGGCAGGTCACTATTCATCAGCCACAAAAACAAATACCAACAGTGTACATAATGGCAATAGCCACTAACACTGAAACAGTTGGTGAATCAAGTAGTCAATTGAAAGATTTATCAAGCATCAATGTCAAATCAGTAACAGCTAGTTTAATGTGAGGATTTGCTGCTTTTCTCTATTTTATATTACTGCAAATCACACATTTTGGGATTTTTATACACAGTAAGCAATCAACAATATTGTTTATTCAAAAAAATTACCAGCAGAATAATCAATAGTGTAAATAATCACTCATCAGTCTTAGTAACCACACACCAGAAGATACTCACAGTTGCTGACAGTATTTTTCTCCAGCCCACACTGTCGTGCAGAGACTGGTTAACAGGGTGATGCACAGTGCACACAATATTAAAAAGAATATTTTTCTTATTATTAAGATGTGGCTAAAATGTGGGAAATGATATAAGTAAAATTATTAGTGTTAAAGTAAAGTGTAGCTGGAATCTTTAATTTAGTTAACGTACATTTTGAAAGATAATGACACAATTTGTTGATATCAACACAATGTGATTCTTCCAAAGTCCATAACAACGGTATTGAATTATTCACCAAGGCAACCTAACACGGCTGCACTAATCCCAAGCTACTCTGTATATTCCACCACCTTCTCCTCTGGTCTATAATGTAATTAGCTGGTTTTATTGTCGATGAATGACTCCCTCCTTTCCCCCCCTGTAAACCTCAGCCTCTCTCTCCCCCTCCCTGAGCCATGTGAGATCTGAGCACATGGCTAGCGCAAGCCCAGTGACGTCACCGCAGCTCACCCACTCCGCTCTGCACCTCTAGACTGCAGAGAGATGCTGGTAGTTAGCGGGTACAGCAGTGTTTCCATGGTTATAACAGGGGAAGAGATACAGATCTGCAACAGATGCATCACATGTTCTTTGTCTTTTAACCCCTGTTTGCCTCAGCCTTTTTGTCCATCCGGTCTGGTGTCTCCCTGCTGTCTCTCGGTAACCATGGCAACAGGCGGCAGGTGGCCAGGGCACTGTAGTCTGTTCCTCCCATGTTTGTCTGCATAGGAGAGTGTGTATGAGTGTGTTTGTTTGATGTAAAGACTAAACCAGTCAAATCCTGGTTACACTGGTGTTTTTGTCGGTGGTTATGGATGATGGAGCGCCAAAGCTTTTCCATTCTCTTCTATCGGACACTTTTTTTTTATGCCTTGTCCTCATGTCAACCTTGTGAAGATCACATGTCCATTGTCCACACGATGCATTTGTGAGGAAGGCACTGACGCCTGTCAGGCCAAATATTATCACACTGGAGTCATTTTCACCTTTTCTTTTAGAGAGAACGTCTTGAAAGAGGAAGGATAAAGGAGGCATAGATGAAGCAGAGGAGGAGGGGGAAAAGGGGGGAAGGGTGTCAAGGGAGCGATGGATGGGGGAGTAGAAGGAGAGGGGGTGTGGGATGGAAGTGTAGAGGAGGAAGGCTGGGAGTGATCTGAAGCACCCGACTGGCAACCGTCCAGTCACATCACTCCTTATATGTAATTACCTCCGTGCTTCACCCAATTAGATTGCTCCTTATGTTTTTTACAAACTGCTGCTCGAGCAGCCAAATCCTCACGGATGAGGTTGCCAAGGAAACTGCTATGGGTGACAGCTGTTTCCTTGGTGATTTGCTGCAGGCCTAATGGTGTCTGGGTTTGAAGACCTTGAAGTGATGTTCATGGTTGCACATGCGCATATACACAAGTAACTGTAGCTCCTCGGTGGCCAGACGGGGCTAGGAAATGTCTGTGTTTCAAAGAATATCTGTCGGCTGTGTGACCATATGTGTGTCAGTAGTGTCATGCTTTGTCTTGAAGTCTTGTCGAGGGAGGATATATCCAGGGAGGGTGTGTATGCAGCAGATGCACAATAAAGTCAGACATGAAATAACAGACATGAAGCAACTGGAATAACTTCTTGTAAATACAGAAATGAACAGGAGTGTCACCAATATCTATTTTGTCATACCTTTTATACCTTTCTGAAATTTCTCCCAGGAATATTGAATATGGCGGTATTTGTGCATGGTGCTACCTAACCACCCCACGCCCTGACTGGCAAGTTTGCTACGTTCCGCGAGCTCAAGTAGCTTTCTCAGTCTAATAAATAGAAAATAAACTCACAACATGTCAAGAAAGTTAATATTCTTACACCAGTTTTCCTTATTAAACAGAGAAATACAATGGCACACCTTCTGACACCAAGTTTATCTCTTTCATTGAACTAAGACTAGCTTAATTGCCTTGCTAATTCATCGTAAAACACACTTCATTCAAATTTGACAGTAACAAAATAAGACTCACCAAAACTGTATTAGTTGGTCTTATTAGTTGTTTAATTAGTTAGTCCTCTGTTCCAGCAAACACCAACTCTGGTTTGGTCAAAATAAACCCTTACTTTTCTAAGTTGCATGTAAAAAGATGCTTTTTTCCCTCCGTTATATCTCTGCCGTTGCTTGCTGGTTGTTTACAGTCCCATAATGTTATCCCCATTACTGGCAGTCGCCATCTTTGTCAGTTCAGCTTCCTGTTCCACCAGTAGAGACTGACTTCTGGTGGAACGTGATGTGCACCTGTTACAACCCAGTATGTGTCTAGGGGTAAGGGAAGCAACATAAAACCAAACAATGAAGTGAATAAGGCAAGCTGCTGTTTATTCATACACAAAATAAACAACACAAGCTACGCTTTTGTAAAAAGTGGCACACAAAAAGAAAACGCGCTCGCAGGCTCTGCAACACAACCCGAAAATCGGGCTTCACGGAAGGAGCCTCGGCGGTGAATTACATTTAAGAATAACAAACTCAGGGAAAGGAGGCGGGTGACAGCAAACCATAAAACAATTAAAACAAAACTCTGACCTGTCACCAACAAAATAAACACCCCAACTAACTAACTGTGGTGGAAGGCCACCCAGAATAACAAAACTAAAACATAGGCTATCTGCTCTACCACTTACCTGTCAAACAAAACAACACTGAAACCGACACCCATAAAGCTACACACAATACATCCTTAGTACAGAATCTCCATATGAGTTTAATAGATGGATGAGCATTTGTATTTTACTGTACTGAAAATCACACTGTCTGGAGTTTTAAATACGCCGGTTTATCATAATACCATGATGCTGTCTCCTCTAAAACCACCTTCTCTTCACGTACGACCCCTTAAAGCTGTCCCTACAATTATGGTAAAAGGCTTTATGTGTTGGGGCACATGGGGGTAGGGTAAAACTAACCTGTATCATGTTCCCTGTTAGTGGTAGAACAATACAGCGCTTGGTGAATTCTGCTTCACAATGATAGCAAGGGCCGACATCGAAGGATCAAAAAGCGACGTTGCTGTGAATGCTTGGCTGCCACAAGCCAGTTATCTTTTTGGTAACTTTTCTGACACCTCCTGCTAAAAACCTAAACAGTCAGATGGATCAGTTACTTTTAAGTAATTACTTGTCAATTGTTACATTAAGCGCAAACTAATTTGATCAACATTTTTTTTATGAAAGTATACTGTATATCTTTGGGTTTTGGACAAACAAGTAATTTATGGACGTTATCTTAAAGACCAAACAACTAATAGATTAATCGCAGAGTTGGAAATGAACTTTTTAGGCCACCTGCCACTGTGGCAGGTGGATTCTAAAATCTACCAGCCACTCAGTTGTTGTTTTAGGCTGGTGAGTGATGTCAATCTAGCAACCACTTACATGTTTTACCAATGTTTGGCTGGTGGCTGGTGCTAATTTCCAACCCTGAAATCGAGAAAGTTATCCGTAGATAAATCTACAATTAAAATAATCATTAGTTGCAGCCCAAGTTGCATAAGAAATGTTGAGCTGTTACAAGATGGCAAAGTTCACCTGGTCAGGACTGGTATTAAAGAGGGCTGTGAATCTGGCTGTGAGGAGAGTGAACCTGTGCGTGGCCATCACATGCCCACAGAGAGTACACAGCTTTTTTTCCTGTAGTAGGATCATGTGCTTACTTTATGTCCTCTGTCTTGTAATTTCCATCATTATTTTCTCTTTGGTTGCACCAGTAGGACAGAGAACAGTTTGTCTTTCTCCCAGAATTCATGTCGACTCTGCAACAAGTCAACTGGATATTTAGTTATCCAGTAATGTAATGACATAACCAGCAACACACAGCCAAAATGTACCAGCATTTGACTGATTTCTGTCTCTGGTCGCTAACATAATCCCTGAGCCCCTTCCTTTCCCACCCCTCCATGCCCCTCTTTACCCACTCCTTTCCCTCCTGTACCTTCCTCCTCCCCCACTCTCCCTCATTCCTCCCTAGTAATCTGTTAATGTCCTTAGCCTGTCGTACTGTTTGGTGTTCACGCGTCAGCTGACCTAAACAGAAACTGGGTCACAGAGACGGCATGGTGGGGCTGGAAACGCTCCTTCTAAATCTTTCTGTTTAGTTTTCTTTCCTTCAGTGTCTCTTGCTGCGTTTGTACTTCTTGCTTCATTACTACCAAATCTACTAACACACATGCAGCTGAGCGCATGACAGTGACTGTGCTCAGTATTAATGCTTCCATTCAGTCTTAACAGTCAGGCTGCAGTAATCCAGTGACATCAGAATTGTAGGGATGATGAAGAACTCGAGTGATTGGTGGAATTAAAACATAGCAGGATGTTTACTCTCGCTCTGACCTCAAAAAAACAAGCAGGATATCCAGGAAATGGGAGGAGCTTAAATAGATGACAACATCAACAAAAGCAGTGTGAACATGCTTGAATTTGCGTGCCGTCCTGCTCGTGTGTGAAACTGAGAGAGCATGGGGAACGTTGTGTTTCAGGATTGTGCAAGATGGGAAACATGGGAGTGGCTAAGACTGCACAGAGAAAGAAGGTTGTTTTTTATTTCCCTTTCTGTTGCAATACCAGTTCTCTTAATTATTTCAAACTAACTCATAGCCTGAAGATACATTTTTGTAGTAATAGTCACCTCAGACAGAACAAGCTCTTTGTTTCTGTTTCCCCCCATATTTAAAAGTATGTTTTATTACCCTGTTTCCCCATTTTATGATCTGCTCCTGTTTTCCGTGTTAATTTGCAGGTGCAAACTCACAGTGATATTCAAACACTTCCTCCATCTGTTTCATATTAACACATGTCCAGTATTCAGGGGGCATAAACCCTCTACTTCCCTTAAAAGCTTTTATTGAAAACTTCTGCAAACTTCTTTAAAAGCAGCTTAACACAGAAGGAAAAACAACAAAGCAGTACTGATCAGAACTGAGGCCGTTATTTATTGCTGAAGAGGAACTCAAAGTGACCGAGGTTGATCATTGAATGACTGTTGTACTGATTAAAAATAATGCTGTGGAAATCAATATTATGCAAAATGTAACAACTACTGTAACAGATCTATGTTTCACGTTTTCTTCTGGCCTTATAATTGATGTGTCAACCACAAACCACTTTCTGAACTATAGAGTGACAGTCCATAAGAAGTATGTCATGGTGTTTGTCTATGTCCCAATGATCCTCATCTACTCTGCCGTCTGTGTCTCCCCTGCAAGACTCTGAAGCGTAAGGAGAAGGAGTTTGAGCACGAGATGGAGCGTTTGGCCAGAGAGAAGATCGCCACACAGCAGCGGCTGGCCGAGCTGAAGAACGAGCTCAGCCAGTGCATGGACGCCATCGAGATCGACAGAGTCCTCCGACAGACCATCCAGCCGGAGGACGACCAGGCCTCCACGTCCACAGCCTCAGGTACAGACACACATGCATACCTGATACTCCTCTACAGAACCAATCACAAGAAGTGTAAAAGCACTTTTTTATAGAAGGGAGTAGGGATGCTCCTAACAACTTACTTCCCTGGCATTTATTAAATAGAAGTTTACACACACACCCTCACATGGTAACTCTCATGCACACACATACGTCCAGGCTTCTCAGGATCTCCTGTGTGCCCAAAAGCACTTCTCTCATTCAGCCTAGTGAGAAGTCATCCAGCCGCACGAGTTCATGTGACGCTCTGACATACTGTACACATTGAACATCTGCGCACAGGTGTGGGTTTCCACGGGATGCGTATGCAGTTCCATCCATGAGAGCGCATGTGGGTGTTTGTGTGTGTGTGTGTGTGTGTGTGTGTGAGAAAGAGGGAGAGAGGGAGAGAGGGAGGGAGAGAGAGACGATGATCATAGCTGCTGTTTAGTCTCGCACGTTGATCCAAAGTCCTCATGTTTTCCTCTGGGTGTAGTTAGATACAGTTTGAATGTCAGTTAACATTTTGTGTCTCAGCAGACTTTATGTTTACATAAACATTCACGTAAACACACACGCACACGGTACTGTTTCTTGGATTGTATCATGATGACTAACAGTTTCCTCTCTGACCCACAGAAGGAGAAGACAACTTTGAGCAGGACATTGACGAGGATGTTCCCGCTCCCCCTGCTACGACGTCCCTCCCCAAACCAACACCTGCCATCTTACAAGCCCAGCCGCTCCTCACCCCCCACCTATCAATCCAGCACGCCACCCTGCCTCTCTCTGGAGTCCTGACCACGCCCTCCCCCTCTGCTCCCCCTCAAGCCATCGCGCCTGCTCCGGCTCCAGGTCCGCCCCCTCCGCAGCCTTCCCATCCTATTCAGCAACCAGCAATGCAGGTCCAGCCCACCGTCATTGCTCATGCCGCCGTCTCCCACCCTTCAGTCATCCAGGCTGTCAATCATGGCCTTCCAGCTAATCACCTCAAACACCTAACGCACATTGCCCCGTCACCCGGCCCCACCACCTCCATTCCCCAGCCAATTGCAGCAGCACCAGCTGCCGCCACCCACCAGCCGATAGCCGCCCAGCCCATCGGACACATCACCGTCCACCCGGTGGCTCACCTGGGAGGTCCACTGCCATCCCACCTCCCGACTCTCTACCCCCAGGGCGTGTCTGTCTCCCAGCCCACCATGGTGGGCCACATCACCCACACTTTTGCCCATCACACCTTGCCGCACGTCCAGGCGAATCCTCAAGCTAACACTAATGGAGCCCAGGTGAACAGCGCAGCCGTGATCAGCCAGGGCAGCCCGTCGTTAGGAAAGCCCACAGCAGTGCTGGCCCCCCACCCCCAGCTGGTTGGACAGGCTGCCGTCCTCAACCCTGTCACCATGGTTACAGTCCCAACGTTCCCTGTCAGCACACTCAAACTGGCCTGAAAGAGTAAAAAAACAAAACAAAAGTGGAACGGATGGAATTCAGTTGAAGGAGAGAAAGATTCAGAACTTGGATGAGTTTATACACTCCTATCAATAATCAATAGCAGAGAGTCTCTGATCGACACCTGAAAATTTACAAAACATCAACTGTTGTTTTGGACAACAGCTCTGTTAGTTTGTGAACAATAACGTGAAAGCGGAGTCAGTGGGTCAGGCCATTGTTCGTGAAAGTAAGACTGTGACATTTGTCTGCGCTGCAAAGACAGGAACTCTGTTTTACCTTCCTTCCTTGCCTTCTTCCCTCCTTCCTCTCCTTCCTTCCTTCCTTCCTCCTCTCCTTCCTTTACAACCAGAAGCACTAACATAATAAGCTCAGTTCACACTCAGGCATCAAGGACTTACCTTAACAATTCATTCACTCATAGAGGGAAAACGCACGAGAGAAAGAGAGAGTTGTTTGTCGTTCGGCTGTTGCCATGGTGATACAGTATGTGCCCGTTTTTGTATTCATATAATCATGATGTCACCTAGGACCTTGTGGTGGAATAATGTCACTGATGTGGTTGAGAGCAGGAGGAGGGAGCTTGGTCGTCTCACTGATCTGAATCAGTTACAGACTGGCGTGATGGAGTGTGACGTAGACCACATTACATCGTCAGCTCAAGAGTCTCAGTTTCTGATGCAGTTCTTTATTGTTTGACGTCAGGAAACTGTACCATGACAGGAAAGTTACTAATTTATATTGCCGTCATTTTTTCCTTTTGCTTTTGTTTTCGATTTTACTCCAAGTGATTGTTTGGCCATCTATCTACCTTTAAATGAAGGTTCCTCACTGCTGCACCTGCCACTTCACACCTTGCAGATAGTTTAAGAAAAAAAAATGAGCAGTGCAATAATAAACCCGAGATTCAATCTGAAGATATAAATAACAATAATTTATACAATTTACTTCTGGTTTGAGTGTCTGATGATGTCCCATTCAACAGTGGATTTATTTTTCCACTTCCTCTTATGGCCTTCTTTTTGAAAGGCGACTTGAAAACAGTGGAGTATCCCTCTCTTTGAAATTGGAGGAACTCCAGAAAAGAGGAGCGGGGTCAAAGGCGGCTGTTTGGATTGCTCAACATACAGAAGCATCTGTTTTTACTGGCCCTGAGGAGAAGTCTAGAGACAACATGACCTTTGCCTGCTGGTTATTGTAGAGTGGATTTCCTTGTAGGAAGTTCAACAACTACAGAGTCAAAGGTAGAGCAGCAAGCGTGAGATAAACAGTAAGAAAGTGATGTGGTCAGTTTAATGTATAACGGCAGTAAACTCCAGTTTTGACACGATGAGCTGCCCCACAGTCAGAATTAAATGTCAAGTTTTCAAATCAATCAAGGACTGTGTGGACGTAATGCCGAACAAGAATCCACACGTAAAGATGTCTGCTTGTCACGAATGCCTGAAATTTGTGTGTGGAATTGAATTTCAAAGACGGAAACGATCCCACACAACTGCTCTCGAAACATTCAGTGCCAGGTTTCCCTCTGTAGGGCTATACAGATTCTCATCTTCCTCACTCTGATGCAACAGCTCCCTCTGCTGCCTCGTCCCATTCACGCCTCATTCTGATGTCGCACACAACACTTGGGGCACAACACAAACTTCCTGCAGAGACTTGGAAAATGATGAGACATGCTGAGTGGAAAAGTTCACTTTTGACATTGACAACTCGAGAAAGACTCAAGTGTTGTACTGCTTTTTTTTACGTACAGTACGAAAATGTGGTGATATCTCCAGAAAAACTACAAGTTAGCGGTCCAGTTTGTAGGATTTAGGGGGACATATTGGCAAAAATGGAATATAATGTAATAACTGTATTTTCTTTAGTGTATTATCAACTAAAAAAAAGGCCTGTTGCACCACCATGTTTCTACAGTAGCCTATTACAGACAAACCAAACACTGACTTCTTTTTTCAGTGTTTTTGTGGTTTTAATTGCTGCGTCTGTTAGTTCTGGCAAGGAGGAGACCTCTGTGGATAATTTAGCTCCTGGTTAAAACTTCCTGAACAATGAACACTGAAGGAATTCTAATCAGGAGACGTTCCAGCTGGTTGCAATCTCTGATCCTCACCGATAAATAAATCCCCCTAAATCTTACACACTGCTCCTTTTTGAAACAAGGAGAAGTACATTTTTATCATTTGTAAGTTTCGAAAAGTTTGGATATAGCACAAAAATATCAAAAAGACTGGAAATAATATTTTTTAGGTTGAAGATTGGTTTACATGTATTGCAGGTTTGTGAAAAATTTGGAAGCAGCGTGATCTTTTTTCGACAGCAATTACCGAACATCAGAAAATCAGTTTCAGAATATTTTCATGTTAAAATGGAAAGTGTGTTGTGACACCCACCTCTTGATGTGTGTCTTTTGTACGTGTTTGTCTACGTGTGTTTACGTGTGCACACTCAAAACGTTCATGGCTTCACAGCCGTCTTGCCAGCCTATACATGTCACACCATGAAGTCTCCCATCAGTGTATGTAGTCAACGTGGCGTGGATGTGCTCCTCGCCTCCTCTGCTGTGTCTGTATGTTCTGTCTGTACATGTGACTGTATTCAGTATGTTTTATATTCTGTACTATAGTTAATCCTACTGTACCTGTAGCATGGCTCTGTTTTTTGGTTCTACAGTTTGCCCTGTGCATGATGGAGTGTGTGTGCGTGTGCGTGTGTGTGTAGCAAGCAAGCTATTTTTTTACACAGAGGTGATTTACGGTATGAGCCTGTTTGGGTGCTATCGTGTGTGCCTATACTCAGTTTTCCTGAACACTGTGACAACTCTGGCAAAACACGAACACATTGAGTGAATGGAAGAGACAAAGATTTATCGTCATGATTGTTTTTTGTTGTTTTTTAAAAATTGTTTTTAAGTTTTCCATTTTGTGAATTGGACTGAGACGTGGAGACATGGTGGAGTGGAAAAAAGTAACAAAAAAAAAGTTAATGCTCTTTTCTTCATAACATAATAATGTCTAATATTCAATTTGAGTTTTGTAATATTTGTATGTACGTATGAAAGTTTTGTAAATTTGTGATCGTATGCACGTTTTGGCATATGAGTGTATGTATCTAAAAAATTTATGCTTGTTTCTTTTCGGTTTTGTGTTGCATGTAGATTGCTGTTTAGTTTCTTTTGTTTAAACGTTTTGTTTTTCCTGTTTATTTTTGGGACCATGTACAATACTGTATAACGTGGGCAGGATCTTGGACCTCATGCTACATTGATATTATATATGAATATAAAAACATGTTTTCCCTATGGAGAAAGTTTTAAGTTATATATCGCCTGTACACTTTGGGCTGCCTTTTAGATCTAACTGTCCACTGTTTAAGATAACAATGATGATAACGGATAAAACATATTAATGATGAAGAATTATGCTGATGAAATAATAAAGATTCTTAATAAATCTTATTACATTTACAACACATCTTGCTCCTGTGTTTATTGGGCTTGTGTAAAAAAATACAGACATTAATTAGTTAGAGCTTTTTTATTGAGATTTTCTTGACTTTCTCGCCCTCACGAAACAGTAAATTAAAAATGAAAAAATACAAAAAGACACAAGAATCGAATACAATTGACTCAAGTAATGAAACAAAAAATGCAGGTTACAAACCAAACTTTGACATCACTACAAAGACCCCTAGATGGCAGTGTTACATCTTTCTCAAGGTAACTAATGGAATTAAAGTAATTTTAGCAGCAGCGCAACTCAAAAATTGGGTGAAGGTGAATTGGTCTTCAGTGAGTTGGTGGTAGGTGAAGTGCATTAAAAGGGGTGTCACGCCCAGCACTGACCAAAACGTTTTCTCTCTGTCACATTTTAATTCTTTGCCTTGAGTTTTGAGGAATGCTTCTTCACCTCGTTGGTCAGTGGTCTGAAAACTTAAGGTTTTTTTTTTTTCTCTCTGCTGTTCTTGTGCCGACTGTGTTCTTGGTACAACAGCAAAATTTAGATTTGTCACATAAATAATTGCAATGAGATGTGTATATAAAAAAAAGGGCAAATTGCAATCAGCTGCAAAACTTAAAAGGCATGTTTTCCCTGGAGTATCTTTAGCGCAATATCTTGTGTGAATCGACACCATGAGATGGGGCAGATAGTGGCTGCAAATGATGCACAATTTCCAGTGCTATCAGCAGCTGCAATTGATTCTGTGAACTCGCCTGTGAGTATGTGATGACTTAAGGCTGGAACATGCATCTCCTGGCTGCATGTGAACACACAAGCATGGGAGTTTGGGGTTGGGGGGGGGGGGGGGGGGGGGGGGGGGGGGGGGGGGGGGGGGTCAGAAGCCACCTCTCTGGTTGTGCTGCATGTGCTCCTGAACCCTCTCCAACACCTCCTGCATCCTCCGCAGCTACAGGGGGGAATACATGAAGTGAGTGGTGATCGCCTCTTTGACCGAGTGAATGAACAAGTGAGTCGGTGCGATAAACGTACCTCTTCGTCTTTTTCAAAGATGAGTCGCTCTGTCTCTGTGTCACAGGCAGCCAGGGGCAGAGGAAAATCTGCTTCGCTCCGGTCACGATGCTTCTCACGCAAACTAAAACCCAGATTCACACCCACAGACACACAAAGACAAACACAACCTGTGTGAGCATCTCAGTTATCACAGTTAATATCAGAGTGCATGGATTTATTGTTCTGTATTGTATTTAAACCTGTGAACTGTATTGAACTTATGGGTACTCACAAATACAGCAACTAAAGAGACAAAATTTTAGTGAGTCATGGAGAGATTAAACCAATCAATCAAAGCCAAACACTGTAGGTAAGAAGTGGATGTAGCCACCATGACATCGCTCTTTGGTTTGTAAGCTACAGTTTTGAAGCCTTGAGGATGGCATTTTGGACATCGCCATCTTGTTTTTTGGGGGTTAGAGGTGACCATATTTGGATGCCAGGGTGGAGCTGTGGAGGATACACATTACTACGACTGTATCCTGAGTAAAAGGTTTTCATGATAGCTTTGCCGTATAAATTACTCTGACTCTCTGACTCCATTATTGTACAAAAAATGAACATCATGCTGTGCTGAAGAACACTTTAAACTTGAGACCATAAACTCATAAGGAGAATGTGTCCTGAGGTAATAAATCAAGTGAGGAGTAGGGTCATTTTCTTACATACTTCATCCCCTGCTGGTGGTTACAAGGGATGCAGGTTTAAGGCACGTCTGCATTGGCTTCACTTTTCAGAGGCAGAAGCTACATCAATTATTTTATACGGTCCATGAACAAAGCATGTGGGTGTGCATCCTGACTCCACCCACCTGCGTTTCCTCTCCTGCACCACCATGCGCGTCATGTTCTGGATGCACTGGGCCCTGAAGTTTTCGTAGTGTGTCTCTGCCGTCACGTCCTTCAGATCCTGCATGTATGTTCTCACCAGCATGTTCCTCAGCAGCAGGAAGTCAGAGTGAGCCGGGTTTTCCACTGACCATGCAACGACAATGTGTTACCGGATCAGACTATTTTTTTCTTTATCAAATAGCACAAAAGTAATGCATAAAACTGATACAAAATCAAGGTGCTACCAAAGTAAAAAAAATATACAAAGACACAATACAAGCTCTTTAAAAATAAGTAAAATTACAAATAGAACTGGAAAACAAACAAAAAATGTATTTTGTGTGTAATACCTTCTACAAAACCCCAGGGATAGAAACGACCCCTGAACTTGCGACCTTCACTCTCCATCTGAACATTACTCCCAATCACTGCAAACGGGATGCTGTCCTGCAGAGAGAAGCAAAAACAATATACTGTCAGTCTTTATGTAGATGAGACGGCACATTTCAACCAGAAGAAACTAACTTCTGAACCTTGAGTAGCTGGTCGTGATTTTTAAAGTCTTCGTCTTCATCTGAGTCACACTCAGGAAACTGGTAGATGTTGATCCCAAACTGCTTGATCTCCTCTCTGATCTAGAGTGCATGAACACGTCGAAACAATCAAGTTTGAGATAAAAAGGCAGAAAAAAACAATACAAATCTTGTGTAGAATGTTTAGGATCTCATACCTTCTGCTTCTTTCTGTAGACCTCTGCTTGCGTCAGGCTGTCAGCTTTGGCCACTACAGGAACTATGTTGACTTTTTCATGCAAGGCCTTCATACACGCCACATCCAGAGGTCGCAGACTGATGTGTGATAGATATTGGACAACATTTAGGTGAGGCTGTTACAGTACTGCTTCACTGGTTTAGCTTCATGTGCAGAAGTTAAACATGTCAGCGTACCCGTGGCCAAATGGAGAGATGAAGTAGAGGCAGCAGTGGACTCTGTTGTCCTGGATGTTCCTTCTGTTCAACCCGCTCTCATCTCTGAAGTACTGTTCAAACTGCTGGTCGATGTAGTCTTCTATTGGCTTCCAGCTGATGCAAACATACAATCTCTGTGAGTTAAACAACAACCTTGGCGGACAAATGACAGTTTATAATGTGAGCTACTTAAAAAAAAAGCGTATTCAGTGTGCTTGTGATGCCATGAGTTGAAGTCTGTTTTATGACTTCAGAGCTTGACTATGCTCAGACCAGTCACCAGAGGAAAATGTCGACATTGTATGTTTCTGCAAATCATCAATGTGTTAGATTTGTACGTTTCATACATATCACATATCAACATTTTTAAGGTATCCAAACGTGAGTTTTTTGTAGTGAACCAGTGCTGTTTTTCCAGCTGCTTTCCAGGCATGAAAAGCAGTTGTTTTTTAACAAGACATCACTGCTTTTCTTGCCTGGACTGTGCCACCAAAACCAGGCATTTTAAGCTGAAACATGATCTTTTCCTAACCATAACCAATTGTTTTTTGTGCCCAAATCTTAACCACAGCGTTGTTCAAACATATATTTCAACATTTCCAAAACATAATAACATATGTAACATATTTGTGGTTTGCAGGAGCCTACAATGCTAACATTTTTTCTGGCATTTGGGTTACTATGCTTAACTTCCAACCATGTCCAATAGAGCAGCAGCACATGTTGACAACCTCACCTTTCTGTGTTGTTGACAGCGTCCCCAAACCCTGGTGTGTCTATGATGGTGAGCCTCAATTTGATTCCTTTCTCTTCGATGCTAATTGTGTGTTTGATGATGTCGACTGTTTGATTGATCCGTTCTGCAGACACACACATGCGCAAAGTCATTAAATCTACACAGGCAACAAGTTAACAGTGTGTGAGTAAAGGGGTCAGAAAGTCATGACAGCATCAAATTTTGCACTAGTTTAATGACAACTAATAATGTTATTTTTTAGAGAGACCATTCAATTGCATCGTCTGGTTCCACCTACTTCCCCATTTCATTTACATGGGCCACATGTAAATAAATAACAGAACTAATCTCACCTTGTGCATTGGGAACCTTCCTGTCTTTGTACAGGTCAGTGAGGAACAAGCTGTTGATTAATGTGGATTTACCCAGGCCAGACTCCCCTACGGAGAAAAAGAGACAATTTCGACTCTTGAAGTAGCATGAGCAAAACATAACACCCAACTGTGCAATATTTGTATTCCTCTAAGTAATTTACTCAAACATTTAGTTGCACAACAATTACACAAAAAAAGAGTACTTCTTCACATATAAAACAAGATGACACAACACTATACCCCTAGTTCATTTTAAATCATGATTGACAAATATAGATTTGAGGGCAGGTATGTCTCTAATCTTCACTGATGAAGGCATTTCTTAGCATTGTGTCTGATGTTATCAGCTAAAACTTTCCAGACCTTTGTATATGACGTGTCTTAAGAAAATCTTGCCTGCTATACAATCCCCTTTTAGGAGAGATATTACATTCAGTTATGACAACAGCCTGTAAAAGTATCCTAATTAGCCGACATATGGGAGGACTCACCTGCCACCATAAGCGTAAACGTGAAACCTTTTTTCACTGTCTTTCTGTGAACCTGGTTGGGCAATGTGGCAAAACCCACATACTCCTTGTCCAGATCCTGCAGAAAGAAAACACAAACATTACATCTCTGTATGTACATATAGAGTATTTTATGTTACAGAACAAAACAGAAAAGTCTCTTGAGCTTATGTTAAATACAGGCATCTTCAGGCATCTAACCAAAAAACAATTTAAAAACCCTTGACTTTGAGACAAGAGAAAGGGGCATGCTAATATGTTAACTCATTTTCAGGTTTAAGGACTCATCCCTGCACCACTCTATTGCTTATAAGTAAGGATTGTGGGTGTAATTATTGAATTGTTAATAAAGTGAGTAATAATACTACATTACGTTACAATCATGGTGACGCATGATAGTCATAGTAACAGCCATCTCTGTTGTGATGTGACCTTGACACGTCACACTCTGACCCTCATCATGATCTGCATCCTCTGCTTCACAGGTCTATGAACATTAGTGCAAGGCATCACAGGGCTTGAACCCATGTTCCCTCTACAGCAAACATTAAACTTTCATCTTCAGACCTCATCAAAGGTTCAGTGAACACTTGCTTAACCATATTGACATGCAGCTCTGTTTTAATCTTTTAAGTTAATGTCTGACCTCCATATTAACTAGCTCTGTTTTTGCTTACAATGATAGTGTACATAAAGCAGCTGCAAACATTTCTAAGGATATTTGGCATTACAGTTAAGGATTTAGAAATTTACTAGTTAATAACGAAACAGGCCATTTCTTGAAAATTTAGATGCTGAAACATAACGTAGTAATTTAGAGTATCTTAGTGGCTTCTCCTGACACAGGCTCTGGCACACAGAAACACACCTCTGGAGAGACATAGGGGTCAAAGCGTCCCCAAGGGCTGTGTGGACGTGAGGCCGGACTAAGTGGACAATCCACAGACACCTGAGAGACGAGCTGCCTCCTCAGAGGCGGTGGGTGAAACTCTCTTTCTGTTCCCGCACGACTTGGTCTATGAGGGACTGTTGGAGAGCCAGGAGGGTGGCAGGGGATGGGACGGGGCAGGGAGGGAGTCCCAGGGAGGCTGGGCAGTCTTCCGTTGGTTGCTGTCCCAGGTTCCTCTGCCTCTTGGTGGACTGGTGCCTGGTGCTGTTCGCCAGGCTGAGAGACGGGAGGGAGATCCCTCATGGCGTATGGAAAGTGAGTGTCCTCTTGGTCCTCAATGGACAGACTGGACAACTATGACAGGAGGCAGCAGAGTTACACATGCTTTTATACATTCAGAAGTCTCAAAAATATAAATCACTATCAAAAACACATTGTTTCATCAGAAATAAGTCAGTTTCTTATTTGGAGATTACTAAATCCTGATCTGTTTCTCCTAAACCCCTAAAGCTCCCCTACTATCATGTCAAAATTTTTTAGTGACATAAAAGATTTCCGCTGCATTTATGCAGTGTTTCATTTTTTGTTTCAGAAGTGAAACACGGCGTAGATGTATGTGTATGGAAATCTTTTCTGCTAGTTAGGAATCATTGATGAATCCAAGATTAGCAGTGGGTGTCTTGCAAGTGATTGTTCTTTCCTATTTACTGATATGCTTAGAAAAATGATGGCACAGTAAAAGCCGATTACTTTGGTCTTGAGTCCAAACTTAAGGACAGACAGAAAGATAAAAACAGCACAGAAAACTTAAAATCCACAGTAGATCAAACCAATAAACTAATCACAGAAAACCATTACATTTTATCTTCCTTTATGAGTAGTTTAATTACAGGATTGTTCTTCTATGCAGGGCAATACAAAGTCCAGATTTTGGCAATTCCTTTTCCCCTCAATTAAATTCTAGTATTCCTTCATTTATTGTATGTTTACTATAATTTATATCAAACATAGATTGTTGACATGTCATGTAACACTGCAGGTATAAAGACAAATACTAACTAAGTGGTTCTCAATCTTTGTCATATCAAGATCCCCTAAACTGATAAAAAAGTTACCTCAGAGACCTCCATCTCAAAAGAGATGTTAGATATTATTAACACCAGAACTCTTTAGTTTTCAGCTACAGCTGAGGAGATGCATGGGAATGTGCAACCAATAATCAGCATAGTCACTCTTATGACTCTTACTCACATTGGGCTCATTGATACAGTGAATTAAATTGTGAAATACTAACTGGCTGCTGGTGGCCACAGTCAGGATTACGCTCTCTAATTACAATACATGATAAGTCTTCTGTGTCTTCCATTTGTAGTGGCTACCCTTTCTTTGCTGATTAGCCCTGACCTGTGATCCCATTATACCATTACAGAAGCCTTCATCCATCTGTCCAGGCAAGGTGGGGAGATGAACAACAGACAGTCTGATGCTGGACATTAAACACTAGGGGCAAACTGGATCTACTAACAAGACTGAAGTAATAATTTCTAAAATGATTTTTAAGGAGCATCTTTCAGTATGGAGCTAGGGGATGAAAATATTCATCAGGGCCATGTGACTGACCATGCCATCCACAACTGCTTTGGTTTCCTCACTGGTCATTTCCTCACAGAGGGCCTCCATTTGCTACCCTGTGCACTTTGGACAACCAGGCCTCCACACCTGGCTTACAGGAGATACACTACAAATGTCTTCAGTGCTCACACCGTCCTGTTGACCTGGTCTGAAAACAGCAGAAAGAACAACAAAGCCCACAGTGCTGCTGGCCTGATCAGGGTTCATATGGTGTCCCTCTACCTGTCAGATCTCATTACCCACAAAGCTTTGCAACAGGCTTAACCCAGCTTCTAAGGCTCTGACAGAGTGGGGGGTTGGTGATTAACTCTTAACACACACACACACACACACACACACACACACACACAAGCTATAAACACTATAATTAAAGACTATCCTACAAACATGTCTTACCTTGTTCTCTGAGAAAGTAGCAGCTTTTTGAGCAAAGGATGGCATTTATGAATGAGGGGAAAAATAGTTTGTAAAAAACGATGATGAAAATGTGTAACAAAACTTGAAAATAAAATGCAGCACTAACTAGTAGGGAAAATAACACTAAATGGCCTATAATATCAATTTTTCGTCCATAGTTTGTATCACACACGTGTACAAGTCAATACTGACAGAGGTCAGGTGATAAAAATACAATAAATAAGATGCAAAGGGGTCAGCATAAATACAAGAACACGAGTGCTATACAAAAACATTAACCCCTATATTATTATTATGATATGTTACAGTGATGTTTCAATTGGCTGAGCAATTTCTAAACATGAACGACTGGTTATTACAATAAATCGGTGTGTTGAAAGTTGTATATAAATTAAGTATTCAGTGTTTCAGACGTACCTCTCTTACCGCTGCGGAACCGAACCGGAGACGACATGTGCTCCATGATGCCGACAAACTTAGAGGCGGACAGTGGATAAACTACAATATGAGTGATGCCGAAAAGCCAAACTATACAAAACCTAATAACATGTGATGTATTGCATGTCAGTCCATGTATTGACTGAACTCTGATGGGGTGCAGTCTGCTCAGTCTTGCCGGTCTGACGAGGCTTTAATTACACTGAGAGCAGAGTGGAAGCAGGCAGAGTGATAATAGCCTGACAGCTAAGTGTTGTAACTCCACTGCAAGATAATAACATCTAAAGTTACTACTACCACTACTACTAATAACAATAATGATATTAAATATAAAAGAATGAATAATAAAATAAAATAAAATGTGAAATTTCAAAAACGGCTATCTTACCACTGCATTTATCATAATAATTAACATTATGCTATAATGGTTACTTGAAGTTGGCGCTAGTTTTTGTCTCTCACTAGGTTCAGCTAGCTAGCGTTAGCCCCGAGCTCCCGTAGAAAAGTTAACGTTAAAGCCAGCTGCTGTAAGTTAAGCGGCTCTCTTTCCCATGTAGTTAGATCAGAGGCACATCTTCAAGTACCCTTTATCAAGCAAAACCTTAATTACATTTTAAAACTCTTCCAATAAGCCACAGTAATAATTAACCTCACCTTAGTGTAGCACGGAGTAACGTCAACGGTTAACGTTTTCTGAAACACAAACGGCTAACGTTAGCTGACCTACAGTTGATTACAGCCTAACAGCACAGTGTTACAAATCAACTGCAAGATGATAACAACATCTAATGGTACTAATTATAATATTAAAAAAAAACATTTCCCAAAACTGCTAACTCACTGTTGCATTTTTTATGATATTAATGAACATTATGCTATACCAAATTTAAGCTAGTTTTTGTCTCATGTAGCTTTAGCTAACCAACGGTAGCCCCATTCGGGACTGTAACGTTAACTTACAAATAGCTCAAATAGAAAAATTCAAGGAAGCGGCTGTATGAGGCTCTCCTTCTCCAGTAGTTTTATCAGAGGCATATCTTCAAGGTCCTTTCACTTGTAAAACCGAAATGAAATTGTAAAAACACTTTCGATAAGCCTTAATAATAATAAACCTCACCTTAGTGTAGTTTCTCGACGTTTTAGGTTGAGTTTACCACGGAGTTATGTTAACGGTTAACATTAACGTTTCCTGGCAGACACAAACGGCTGTTAGCTAACCTCCAGTTGACTAACGTTACACTCTAACAGCTAGAGATGGGATTTATGGCTCTTTGAGGGGAGCCGGATCTTGGTGAGCCGTTCCTTTCAAAGAGCCGTTCAAAAAACTGGCTCATTTGCCTGATTTTTATATTTATTAAGTTTTAAGAAGCCAGCCTGGTGGTAACTCATTTTATCTTGGAAATAATCACTGGGAGGTATGATGGGGTAAGATTTGGAACAAAATAATACAAAATAAGATATCCCACCAATATCTGAGTTTGAATTATTCTGAAATATTGATTATAACCTCATTTGGCATGTGTGGACTAGATTTTAAAGTCTGATCTGGATTCATTGTAAATATTCCACAAGGTTGCGCCATATCACTCTGCTTTGACAGTGACATCACTATTTTGGATTTACCCTTTATACAAACTGTTTGTATGTGTGTAAAGCTACCATGACTTGTTATTCATGCAACACTGTGACCTTAACACTTACAAATAAACATTAAAAAACAAAGCAGGCTACAATGAATTTTGCTCAGGGGAGGAGCAAAGGAGGAGCACACAGTGATATTAAAAAAAAAAAAAAAAAGAACGGTTCCCAGCTGCGACTCGGTTCCCATCGTTCATTTTAACGAGCCGTTCAATAGAATCGGTTCGTTCGTGAACGTCACAACACTACTAACAGCACACTGTTACAACTCCACCACAAGAAGATAACAACGTCTAATATTAAAACTATTACTAAGTAGAATAAATATGTTAATAATAATAGTAATATCCAAAACTGCAAACTCACTAACGTTACTGCATTTTCATGACTGCAAGGATAAATATGCTATACCAAATTTAAAGTTTTAGTCTCATGCAGCTTTAGCTAGCTAACGTTAGCCTTTTCCGTATTAGCTCCCATTTAAAGGTTGAAGGAAGCGGCTGTACGCGGCTCTCTTTGTCGTTCCCGCAGGTAGGACGGTTGAATCAGAAGAACATCCTCGAAATCATTTCTCTTGTAACACCGGAATGAAATGGTAAAAACACTTTCCAGAAGCTGTAATAATAATAAACCTCACCTTAGTGTAGCTCCTTGAAGTTTCGGATGGAGTTTAGCACAGAGCAACGTCAAAGGTTAGTGTTTCCTGAGACACAAACGGCTAACGTTAGCTAACCTTAACCTAAAGTTGATTAACACAGCTTTACAGTTAAATGTTACAACTCCACTATAAGATGATAACAACATCTAATGTTACTACAACTAATAATAATTATAAAATAATAATAATGACAATTTACAAAAACTGACACACTACAGCATTTATTATTAACGTTATATTAATTAGCAGTAACTTATGCTATATCAAATTTTATCTAGTTTTTGTGTCATGAAGCTCTAACTTAGCTAGCCATCGTTAGCCGGTCGGGACTGGAAGAATCTCCCACAGTAACGTTAAAAGTTCAAGGAAGTGGCTGTACGCGGCTCTTTCCTTAAGGTAGGATGGTTAACGTTAAACAAGATGCACATCCTTGAAGTCGTTTTTCTTGTAAAACCGAAATGAAATTGTAAAACACTTCCGCAAAGCTGTAATAGTGATAAACCTCACCTTATTGTAACTGTTAGCTTCTCGAAGTTTCGGACAGAGCTTAGCATGTAGTAACAGTAACGTTAACGTTAACGGTTAACAGTTTCATTAGAGACACAAACGGCTAATGTTAGCTAACAGCTGCTTTTCTTTTAAAAACAGCTGTTTCATCATGCTAGCTACATTTTCCTCAGAGCCAGCCATCAAGCCTACGTGAGGTGAGTATTTGATACTTTGTTATTTCATATGTTTTCTGGTAAGTTTCCTCTCCTGGTAATGATTAAACCCCTAAAAACGAATGTCTGTGTTCATCAGTATTGCATGTATTTTTTCCATGAAAAAAAAAATCAAACTTCATGCCTTAAAATGGCTTATATGTAACTCTACACCTTTGCCTGATTTAATATGCAGGGATCTATAAATACGCAAATTACTGCTCCAGGTAGGATGTTTTTCTGTATGCAAAAGCTAACATTAACATCGTCCTAGTTTTCTCTTAAAAAGCAAATGCGATTTTTGCATTGGAAGAAAATAACCTCTGTGGCAATCAAAAGTTTATGATACTTACATGTTTGGTTCAGCAAGAAAATCCTCACAAATGAACACCAATTAACCACACCATGGTTGCATGACTTCAACATTGCCACCACAGCAAGACTGTTAAGCTGTCTGATATGATCAAGTTCTGTATTCCATTTGGTAGCAACCGCCTTTTTTAAGACACATGAGAGCTTAAAAATTAAGGAGTGTGGTATTTACTTATGTATTTTATGTTGTAGAACAAGACGTGACAGTCTCTAAACACATTCAAAAAATCCATTGACTTTGAGATGAGGGAACCAGGAGTGCTAAAATGCCAACTCATTTCCTGGGTCACTCATTACTGGCCTGTCAGACTTTGTACACATACTTCCATTTAAAAAATGGAAGTGGTTTCAAGTTATATAATACATTATAATACAGTGTTTGTTCAACAACAAAAAACAACTTCTGTTTTTTTATTCCTTTAAAGGTAATTGTGACTGATAGTAATAATTGTGTAATACTGTGCATACCGTGAGACTCTGATCTTTTCTAAGATGGTTATCTTACTGTGAAAATTTCCTACTGTTGCAACCCTAGGTACACTGCAGGTCCAAGGTGGAAATGCTCAGCCATGGTGTTGACTGCTTAGTTCAATCATGATAAGCCTTGTAGCCTATAAATATCACCATATGGACCAATTGTCAAAAAGATCTAAAATTAGAAACACTTATATCCATTGATGAATTTCAGGACATCACAAAGAATGTGGTGACAGAGACACGTGCTTGTTTTTCTTGAGAGGCCACTATGTTTGAATATTTGTCGTTTTACTGTGGATTTTTTTTTGTATTACATGTTGTATTCATTGCATTTTAAATGTGTTCTGATTAGCTGCTACCTTGGCCAGGTCTCTCTTGTAAAACAGATTTTCAGTCTCAGTGGGACTTCCTGGTTAAATAAAAACTAAATAAATAACTGGATATGTTAACAAGGTTTAAAGCTTGATTTGTCATTGAAGGGGGTCAACTGTTGGCAATCTTCCATATTAAATTATAAAGAACTGCCCTAGAAGAGGACTCCATTTGATTATAAAGTAGGAGAGTATTCTTATAAAAAATGCTTCAATGCTAAGTAGTGATTTAAATTTAGACACATTAGTTTATATTTCTCTTTATTAATTTACAGTTGTACTTGTATGTTCACAGCTCAGTATGTTAGAGGTGCTCTGAAACATTTCAACAGAAAATATGCAAGGCATTCAGATAAATAATTTACCCATGCAGTGTAGCTTAAAGTATAAAGTGCCATATGATTCACAGATTCTAGACTAAGCTGACACTAGACCTCAATTGATAAATTGGCCGGCCAATTTTAGCTTATCACCGATATACTAATATCATCATAGATGTTGACTGATAAGTAAAGAGAAATTGTAGCACAGAAATGCCAAAGACATGTCAGGTAATTTAGGAACAGTGTTGCCATTACAAAATCTGTCCACCTGAAAGCACTGACAAACTTTGTGGAATTTAAAGAATCCTTATCAAAAATGTTTGTTTCTGTCATGTGCTATTTTAAAAAAACAATTTCCGGTCAACACAATTGAAACTTAACTCTGAAATATCAACATGTGTGGGGCTCTTATTGAAACTACATAAATACTGGTTCACAGAGCAATATGAGGCTAATCTTATGTGCTAGGCAGCTGTCATTAAATGACATACAGATCATGTAAAATGTCTCTGCAGGTTTTCCATTTATTAGTCCTCCACATACACTTTAATGACTCTTTAACTTCTCTCTCACTTGTTTGAAAAGGCACAGAAGTCTTTAGAAAGTGTTTTTATCCCTGAAAACTGTGCTTTGTCGATGTACCCTGACTTGGCCATCAGATTAAAGCAGTCAGAGAAAAGAGCTGTCCTCTGTGGAGCTGTCCCACAGTGCTCTGCACGTCCTTCTGAGCCTGTTAGACCGGCCTGGCTGTGAGTTGTTTAGCTGCAGCTGTTATGATGGCTCATCCTGGGCCTCCTGCCCCGAGGAGTTATTACATTCATAGGTTTCAGACCCAGTCTCACTTGAGTCTGTGTTCATAGACCTGCAACTTGTCTGGCTTTTGTCTTGTGAGTGGTCGTTACATTCTCTGCTCAAACAGGAGTGGTTGTGTTCAGTCCTCATGTCATGGTTGTCATGTGGGTGCTGCTCTTTGTCCAAATGGCTATCAGGTGAGGTGAGGTGATCAGATTCTATGTGGTTATTTGCATCGTCCAAATGTTGCTCGGGTTCGGGGCTCTGTGGTGAACAGTGTGTTTGTTCATGAGAATCACAGGTCTTGTCTTGGTTGTGACAGTGGTTTTGGTGGTTGTGATTCTGCCAAAAGGCTCTGCGGAGTTGCTCTATCTCAGAGAGCAGAGGCAGGCCGATGTCCAGGTGCATTAGCAGGTTCTCCAGCCACTCCTCCAGCTTTGAAAAGGAAGGACTGAAAGACAGAAAGTGGCAGTGTTACGTGCTTTACTGCAGTAGTGCATTGATTAGATATTAAGTCGGCCATTTGCACTGTATGTGGGCTCATACATCTGTTACGGTACAGTCAATTTGTACACCATACAACTGGCTAGAAAATAACCTTTAAGATTCCCTGATTATAGTAGTAATGGTAACAGATGAATAAAATATTGTTAGAAATTTCCTTTAAATATTATACAGGATTCAACGGTAACGTTTTTTTTGTCACTTGCCCGTGTGGGCATGCAGTTCAGAGATCTACTCACTTTGTCAATTTTTACTTGCCCCTATAACATTTTTTTATTTATTAGGGGCCATCCAGTAACAACAAGAACTAAAGTTAACTGTCGTGTTTAACAATTTTTTTTAAAGTAAATGTCAAAAACAACCCTGTTTTATTATCCTTGCTCTCAGATATGTTGCAAACTGTGCAATACATAGTTGGAGTTTCGCCCACTTTGTGTAATGCCACTCAAATAAACCTCCGTTTCCAGTATAATTGAAATGCTCTCTGGGGCTTAAGCTCATTAACTTTGTCTTTACCTGCCAGTATTTTCTCACAAGTGCCTGAACAGTACTGCGCATTTGCAACTCTCAACAGAGATGAGAATGAAGCGAGATGACTCATTTTTTTAGCTTCTCCCATCGTGAGCTCCAGGAAAATGAAACGTTTCATTTTTTTACCACTTAACCAATTGAGCAAGTTAAGTGATGGTGGTTGCTAGATGTACTAGCCCGACATGACATTTTTCTGGTCAGTCAGTTAATCCTCATTGTTGAGTCCTGTTATACAACCAAAGCACTAACCCTTAAATGAAATGTTATTAGTTACATTTTAAGTAGTGGTGGTGGCATGGTTGTTCTGTTAATTGAAGCGGAACTGGAACGAACTGAATAATTAAAAAATATATGAAACAAAATATGAGAGGTGCTTGGTCTCAGTCTAATTTATCAAAATGTTCATACATATTGCTCATATTTTCCTTTATTGAAATTAAGGCCAACACCTGTGTTGGATTTGTGCAATCATACCGTTTATCAGCATCCATGTCACAGCAGAGGACACTCAGTGGCAGGAAGGCCGAGGGGCACTGTGGAGGGTGGTACTGCTGCAGGAAACCAGCTACATTCAGCCCAAAGTCGTTCGTCCGGGGAAGGTAGTCAGGGTCAGCATTCACTCTACCTATTACCTTAGGAGAGATAGAGATAGATACATTGCTTAAAAATTGAAAAGATGTTTGATTAATAAAAAAGTAGGAATAAAATTGGTTGTTTGTGACATTTACACAACATTTTAACTCAGGAGTTCTAAAAGTGCTAAATATGTTTTAGGAATATCTTGCTCTGCCCATATGATGTTCTTACCTCACATATCATGATACCAAATGAAAAGATGTCCACCCGTTCGTCATAGCTTTTCCCTGAGAGGAACAGAGGAAAGATTGGAAAATGTGAACCACAGCTTTACTGTCCATACTGACTCATGCTGGAGATGTAGCACATTTTCAGGGCGTTGATACTAGATCTGTTGTAAGACCTTGTATTAGGTCTCCCACACATTCACACATACCCCCACCCTTCCTTTTTTTGTGCATATTTTACAATATTGCAGCACTTATGGTATCAAGATGCACATGAGGTTAGTTAAAACAGTTCAGAAACTTCACATAGAGTATTAATACCTGTGTTAAAGCAGCATGGTGTACGGCATGTGAGAAAGCTATTCTCAGCAAACGGTCTCTCACTGGAAATTATTTAATTAACAAAAAAGAATGAAAATAAAGAAACATTTTTTTTGTATGAATGCATGTATAAATCCAACGTGAATCTTCACACCTCTGCTGCAAGGTCTCACATGACTCAAACAGCCTGAACACATGATTAGAAATACAGAAATGAGCCTGTACAATTTGTATATCTCGTTGCCTTTACTACTGGCAGTGCTGGAAACAAATAATGGGCTATGGGCTCCCAGAGAAACATAAACACTCTGTCAAATGGGGTTTAGGTGCCCTGGTCCTGATACATTCAGAGATTTGAGATCCCCTGCTATTACTGAACCTGAAACCTTATGTACCCACCATTAATCATCTCAGGAGCCATCCAGTAGGGGTTTCCTACCACGGTGTAGCGCTTCCTCCGGTCAGGCCTGCGGAGCTCTGACAGTGTCCCCTTTGGAGGTCTTTCCAGAGAGGATGTTCTGCTCTGATTTCTCTCCTCCCTCACCAACCGGGCGAGTCCAAAATCTGCCACCACCACAGACTGGTTCTTAACAATAAGAGATAGAAAAAAAACACATTTCCCATAAACGTAATAGCTTATTTGGTGGCCTTGAAATTTCTAATGTATGCAACAAGGAAAAGTTAACATTAAATTTAAACTATATAATTAGAAGAGTTTGATTTTAGTTTTAGTTCTGTAATTTTAAAACAATGAAATACAGACACTGGCTATAGCTAAAGGATGGCCTTGTTTATGAAGACTTCAAAAGTATTAATAATTTTGATATGTTTAAACAACTTTAACAAACAAAAGATGTATATAGGTTTAAAGCAATAGATAATACCACCACAGTCAGGGTTTTCCTGGGTATATAAATGTGTTTTTGCTTGTTCACTAGCTGTTTTGTTCATTGGTCTTTTCTAGGTAAAAACTATAGATATATAACACTATATAACTAGATAAAAGATTTCATAGACTTGGAGACAGTTGTCGAAAGCTGACCGTAGTCTTATTTTTCACAGTAATTCCACAAATTTCTGACTTTTAATTAAGTAATTAATAATTGATGTAACACATTCTGGAAATAGTCACTTTTGATGCGTGTGTGTGTTGTACAGTGAGGAATATCTGGTGTGTGTGATGTGACTACTTGTTTACCTCTTTGACCAGGCAGTTGTGTGAGTTCAGATCTCGGTGGATAACATTCATGGAGTGCAGATAGGCCTTAGAGGGAGAGATGTTATATACGTCAGGGAAAGTTGGTGCCAGGTTAAAGAAGGATTTTGGATATTAACCCTGAAAGACTCACCATTCCAGCTGCAATGTCTTTGGCATAACCCACTCTTATATTCCATGGAAAATCCTTGTCCTACAACAACAATAGTGTGATGACCAAACTGTACTCTGACAGTACTCACAGTCTGAGAATCATGAAGAGCTTTTTTAATGTACCATTTTTGCGATGGTCTCTCGTAGAGTTCCCCCTTGGATGTATTCAGAGACAAAGTTTATTCGTTTGTCTTTATAAAACAGACCGATGAACTTTAGAACATTGGGGTGGTCCAGACAGCGCATCACTTTCACCTGTGCAGTGGGAGAGGAAACGTAGTTATACAAATGCCTCATGTCAGTTTAGCAACATGAAAATAGCTCATGGGTAAGACAGTGACCTAGTAACCCTCTTGGTGAGGTAAAATGGGTTTAAAAGTGAATACAATAAAATACAGCTTACTTACCAAATTGCAACTTAAAGTTGGCTTCAAATGTGAAGAGCACCAATCCTACTTTAACTTAAGCCCTATTTGCAGGGTACCAGTATCACCTGGTGAACTCTGGTAATTTGTAATTTGTTTGTGATCTGAATGCTGTGCGAATCTGCCATGTCTTTAATTCAACTTTACTAGTCCATACCCATTGAGTGCACAGTTTCACACGGTGTGTGTTTGGGATACAGGTCATAGGAAATTGCAGATTAAATAATCAACTGAACCCATTAAGAAGAGCAATGTATTCAGACAGAGTTTTTGTGAATTTGATAGTACGATTGTTTTATTGAAAGTACAGTAGTACCATTGCCAATAGTGGGATAGTTAGTGGGCTAAAACTGTACATTAGTAGTTGAGGTAGCACATTGAAAGGCACATAGTTGAAGTGTTTATATGTTGTATTGACTTAAAAGTGGGGCGCACTGGTAGAATGACTGACAGAATGACACACTGACAGTTAACGTGATTATGTACAGCATACCATACCATGACTTAGTCATACCAAAAATTTGGAAAAAAACCAAAACATTCAGCCACAGGGGGAGCCACAGCGATCGGTCGCATTTTAGCCATTTTTAAGCATTTTTCTGTTGTTATAGCGCCACCCAGTTGCCAATTACAGTTAAATTTCTCCAGTCACCTTGAGGCGTCCTGTTCTACATATCTACCAAGTTTAGTAAAAATCAATATGGCGGTTAGGCCGAGCTAAGAAATTAGCTCTCTAGCGCCCCCATTTTGTTTGTTGGGGTCAGTAATGGAGGGGTCCCCTCAGATTATGTGTGGTCATATGCCTACAAAGTTGCGTGGTGATCGGTGAAACCCTTGAGATGTTATACACCTTTATGTGATGAGCCACGCCCTCCGCAATATTCATTGCCTTATAGAAGCTAAGTTTTAGTAAGTTTTCCAACTTTTGCCAAGAGGGAACTTTAGATATTGGTCCCTAGATTATGTTCACCGAGTTTCATGCAGATCAGTCAAACTTCCTAGGAAGAGATCGATTTGAAGTGTTTTTCAAAAAATTCAAAATGGAGGAAAATCTATATAACCAGAAGTTATGGGTTCTTGAGGCAAATTTGTTCCTCATGAGGAGAGGCATCTCTCTGTAAAATTTCATGTCTCTACGACGGCATGAGATATGCCCATTCAAAGTTTGCAATTTCAGTCGGTTGCTCTAGCGCCCCCCTTTGGCCAGTTGATGTAATATTGCTTCATTCGCATCCTCCCATGACCTTCTACCACTGTGCCAAATTTCACATGGATTGACTAAGTCAGTGAGGAGAAAAACGTGGAACAGACACACCCACAGACAGACAGAGTTTTTGTCATTATAAAGTAAGATCATATTTTGACAAAAGTCAAGGTCATGTGATGATACTAAACCTGACCAAATCAGCACTCTGTGATGTACGTTTTTTGCTGTCTCTGTGCCTCTTTTCCGCCACCTTTCCTGGTCGAGAATTATGGAGGCTGCATTGGCAATTATAAATGAAAGTTTTGACAGCATTCTCAGTGCATGAGGCTCATCTCGCTGCACAGCTGGAACACCCATTTTCAGTAAGAGCAAGCTCAAAACCATCAAAAGAGCAACATTTTGAGAGATGATGAGATGAATATGTGACAGTATGTGGCAGACTGGGTTCTGTTGATTTAACCCACATTAAAAAAAAGAGGTCAACACTGTACATCACTGCTAGTGGTGCTGTGTAATGTGTCTGTGTTGTGTAACGTTAGTGAACTAATTTCTAAATCACATGAGGTCACCTGGTAATAATAGTCTCATGTGAATAGGGCTTTCAACCCTTTAGATTTAATATTTTCTATCCCTTAAGCGGTCATCTTCAATCATAAAAGACTGACCACTCTAAAGACCACTTACCTCCTTTAAGAAAGTCTTCTGTGTCTCTTCGTCAAATCTTATCAACTCTTTCATCACCATCACCTCCCCTGTCTCTTGGTGCGTCACCTTGACAACAACAGGTTAATCAAAATGCTGCTTAAAATCAATCTTACAAAGAACTACTGACCAGGTGTACGGTCATTAAAAATGTTTTGAGAAAGTCATCCATAATAATGAAAGGGATAATATGATGGTAAATAGTCAGTGTGTTACCTTGACAGCCTGTCCAAAGAAGCCCTTTCCAAGCACTTCTCCATGGATGAGGTCTGACGGTCTGAAGATGCGATGGGTCCGTTCTCCAGGGTCCACACGAAGAGACTCTGAGCGAACCATGTCTCTCCGAGATAAAAGCGACAGGGCTCCAGGGGACAGAGGACACTTGTCTATACTACAGCTGCGCCTGAGAGAGAGAAGAAAGACTCAGACAGAGAGAAAGAGGGGGATAATTAACCAGAGTAAGCTGGGAGAATCAGCACTCACAGAATGTGTCTGGATCGCATTCCCATGTTTCCTTGGTGCTGAGGAGGTGAGATGCTCATCCTGAGGTTCACTCCCGGTTCACCTGCTTCCTCCCCTGGACTTGGCTCTTCCTCCAGACTGGGGAGTTTGTGGGTTGAGGAAAGTTTGTCACGGACACATGGGTCAGGACAGTTGATGTCGTCCTGGTGATTGTTTGAGCGAAGGGGGTCAACAGCAGACTGCGGGTTGTGTTCAATGGTCAGCTGCAGTGGTCTGTTTGTGTCCTGGATCACAGAGTTTATCTAGAGGAAAGATATGGTATTTGGTATTAGTTTTTTTGTTGATGCTAGGAAGTATAACCACTTCTCCTTTAGTTCTGACATTATTGCTGCATCAGTGGATGGTTTGAGGCCTACCTCATCTGGGGAAATGTTGTGGACGGGGATTCCGTTTACCTCCAGTACTCGGTCACCAGTGTGGACAGAGGACAGCAGATCAGAGTTGAGGGCAGCTGAGTCTAACCTGAGGAAGGAAGACAATGATTGAGGATGCAGGAAAGGTAGGATAAGGCAGGGAACATGTCGGGATCGTTGGATCAGAGTTTAACTCTATAAATGCAAAAGACTCACTCTGTCACAGTGACAGCAGAGCCTTTTTCTTGGTTGAAGTCTGTGGCTACAGTCAGGCCTCGTCGGCCACCTGCATGGGGAGGAAGAGACACCAACGCCACCATGTGCCGACTCTTGGTGAGTGGTGAAGCTGACCCCGCTGCTGATTCAATGCCCTGACAGAAACAGTGGCCGCTGCAGAATAGATAAATCAAGAGAATAAAGGGACACTCATCAGAATCACAAATCTATGGCCAATACCTTTTCCATTTCATTCTTTTTTGGCTCACAAATTGTTTTGCCATGTGCAGTGGATTAAGCAAAGAACTTGCTTGATTTCTTTTCTGTCAGCTTCAAACTTACCAGTACAGTTTTGTGCGTTCGACAAGCGTGTAGGTGTCTCCGTCTCCAATGAACATTTCACAGCTCATACAGATGAAGCATTCAGGGTGGTACTTCTGCTCTCCAGCAACCTGTTTATTTAGGGTGGCAGTGTGGTTAAACACAATTCAGAAGCCAAGGGCATAATATCAGTTTTTACAAGATGCTGTTTGCTTGGGTCAGACTTTAGGGACAAAATGCAGCTCTGCATCATAACAGTCCCGTCTGTGCATTCCTGCATCAAGGCATTGTAGTGTCAGGATGTTTTCAGAGGATATCCTTTGCTCTGAGTGTTGAAAGAAAAATAGCGTTTACTTTCATACCAGGGGGAAACCAAAAGACTGGAAGGCTTTGAATATACGAACAATCGGTGTAGCATGCTGAGATTTGGTTTTACTTGTTGCAGTGTTTGATCCTGTGGATGTATTGCAATACTTCAGTCTGTAAATATTACAGAACATCTGTATTTGATAGTTGTATGGCCACAAATGGTGGGTTTAAACGATCAAGAAAGCAGCTATTTTTAAATTATCTCGCAACTTTTAGTCAGTCTGTTACTCGCTGAGTTCAAAAAGGTTTTGGAGCATGAGAGTAGAAAAGCAAGCTTTGACTCTGGACTGTTTGTTGTGTCTTCAAGTACAATATTGTGACTTATTATGATGAAATGTCAGTCAGCATCACCAAAGTGTGGAAGAACTGGTCAGGAAATAATGCTTTCCTCTTACGTAGTCTAGAAATGTGTGTACAGTCAAGTTTGTGGCCTGCTCAGAAAAAAATGCAGGAACACTTTTACTGTCAGTATTTCCTTGAAGTGTCAGAGTGATAGTATCATTAAAATATCACACAGTGAAAATATTGGTTTTGGTTTGTGGTGCAAGGCTTTCTCCTGTTTTCAGTGATCATCACGTTACCATAATGAGTCCTGTTGCGATGGTCTCTTTACAGCCGTGGCAGTGCTCTCCGTATCGGGCCCAGTAGTGCTTCTTACAGTAGAGCTGTCCCTCTCTTTCATAGTACCAGTGTGACAGGATGCAGCCACATTCAGAACACCTAGAAAACAGTGAGAAGAAGAGACAGAGTATGATGGCGAAACAAGAGAAAATGGAGATTTAGAGCGGATGTAAGATGATAGATACTTTAGAGGTGTGTGCGTGAGTTAAGTAACGTGAGCCGTATTGGTGGTGGAACACATGAGACCTGCAAGGAAAGTTGACCTGTGAGATCGTCACGCACACAGCATCAGGTACAACACTTCCAGGTCAGTTGGACCATAAAGTGTGGTCAGTGTGGCCCATTTTTCTTTGACACAGTTGTATTCTATGTCATAGACAGCATTGCCTTTTCCCTCTTGATTTCTTGTACCCTGTTTGCGTTAAAATACAGTTTCATGCTCTTATCAGTCACAAAGTTGAGACTGAGACATCAAGTTGTTTGTCCAGCACTCGCCTGGAGGAAATAGTTTCCTTCGTTGCAGGGACAGTGTTGAAATGATGCATTACAGATCTTGAATTGCTGATGTCACCATGACAGAGAGCACATTCAGTCAGATTCCAAACTAGATTCTTACAAAAGGACTACTCATGTAGGGTCACTAGTCAGTCACATGGTAGTCTCCCTTGGGCACGCCCACTCAAAGATTGCAAAAAAGAGTGAAACAAAGTAAAAACATTGCAACAGTTTAAAAAGCACCCTTTCCTTAAACGCAGTGCAGCATTTTCACTTTCAGTGAAATCGTTCATTTTCACTTTAAACTGGGGAAACTCTCAGTAGCAACCTGGTTTAGGCTGAATGAAGAATAATACCTATGTACAACAAAAACCTGCTTCCTTATCTCTTCAACACTGCAGCCGGAGTGGGAGTTGACTTCCTGGACAGAGTACAGCTCCATGTTTCCTCCTTTTCCTATAAATGCCATGCTGTTCTTACAATAGAGAATGAAAGGGTTGCTTTGCTGTTGAGAATGAAGTAGTTTCCTCCAGCGTAAGACACTCAATGACAGTGTTTCACTGTGATCAGTCGTATGATGTTATTATATTAAAAGCTTGATTACATTAGGAAAACAGTCATTTGTGTCGTTGGTGAAGTTTTAAATCTTGTATAGTAACTTAAAGTGGTAAAAAGCATTATTGCAGCAACTAGCAATAATTCTCCCTATAGATTAATCTGTCGATTATTTTCTCGATAAATTGATTCATTTTTGGTCCATAAAATGGCAATAAGATAGTTGTGTTTTACAAAGCCCAAGCTGACACCCTCAAATGTCTTGTTTTGTCCACAACCCAAAGATATTCGCTTATTGTCACAGATAAATATTCATATTTAAGAAGCTAAATTCAGAGAATTTTTATTTTTTTTCTCAACAAAGTCCTCAAACGGATTAATCGAATATCACATTAGTTGGCGATTGATTTAATAGTCGATAACTAATTGACAAATCAGCTCTAATGATCCTATTTCTTTTAAATGTTGGTACTATTACTGTTGTTGCTGCTGTTGGTGCTAAAATGTAAAACACATAAACTCTTTTGGCAGAAAATACAAATACTTTAATGACCTGGGGAGAAAATCATGTTTTATGTAATTTGTTAATATGGTAGCAACATGATTATCTATTATTTTTACTCAGATATATACCAAAGCTTTAATAACAAACCGTAGGTTCACTGCAGCTCATATTTATTAGTACTTGAGTAAAGTAAATAGTCACTGGAGTCTCTAGTCCTAACTGGTCACGGATTAGTCTGCTGGGGTTACAGTGCAATACAAGAAGTACTGTTAGAGATCTGTTTGACCTGCTTCTCATTCATTGCTGAGGAAATAATTTAGTAATAAAACCATCAGACAGCTGCAGCTTTATTTTTGACCTTCTGTCATTGTTATTGTTCTGCCGGCAACGGATGTGTGGAACCTCCCAGTTTAACATCTGCAGTTCCTACAAAAACATCTGGCCATGAGAAAACTCAGACATTTATCCTCTCTCTGTTTCCTACTGTAACATATTTCCTCACATGTCTCTGTTTATAGAAGAGAAATGTCAGGCTCGTGCTGCATCTTACATTTATCTTTAGCCACTGTTTTAAGATCTGTTCCTCTGTCACTAAAAGTGGAGCTGCGAACACAGCAGCACCTGTGGTTCATAAAACAAACATTCTGTCAGGTCATAAACGTAGGTCAAATGTTAAGAATCAGATGACGTATTCTCCTGCAGTGGTTTCCTTCCTTTCTGTCTGTGTCGTCCTGCTGATTTCCTTTAAATAACAGTAGTTCTTAAAAGGAAACATTTGTTTTTGATCTAACTATATCGTGTAAGGTGTTACAATGGTGTCTTAGTGTTGTTATGCATGCGGTATTATTTATATTTGAATATAGACCTGAGAAAGATTAGTTCTTGGTGGGGTAGAACAAACATGGATCCACAAACAAACAAAAAATGTTAAGTTGTGACTTGTAGTGTTGCCTGCTTGGACGCCTGGCAAGTCAATGACATCTGTCATTGTTTTGGTTTGATAAACTACTCACACACACTCAGAATTAATGTTAAAGTAGACAGAATATTGAAGCACAGCTACTCATGTGTTTGTCACAGCAGTTGTGTTTGAGGAAGTATCGTTGATGTTGATGTACAATTTGCTTACATTCTCTCGTTTTCACTCACTTGTTCATACTCTCCTTCCTCTGAATGGCGCATACACATCACACAAATTAATGAAAGTGGCTCTTACCGTCCTTTCATTCCTCTCCGAAACCTCTGGTCCCGTCGAGACATTTTGCCCTGTCACTTCACCGACAGACACTCAGAAACGATCCACCCAGTTAAGAAAGGAGCTTTTTAGCTGCATGTGTTCATGAGGAGGCACTTTATGTATTCTGCTGTGACCGGCAGCAGGCGTTGTCTGTTTTTTCTCTTTTACTCTCTCTCTCGCTCTTCATGTGCGCAGAGGCTTCCTGTGAGCATGAGTTCCCCCTCCAATGTGCAGAGTAGCTGTGTGAGAAGAAATTCTGACCTACTGACACCAGCTGGCTACTCTCCCTCTGCTGGCTGCTCAGAAACAGATATATCCCAGTATAGAAGTTCTGCTCCACCGTCCCTCTCCTGTTACTTCCAGTATGTAGACGTCTGCAAGATACAGTTACACTCCTCGGCAGGGCCCACAGCGTGTGGAGCTGTATATGAGTTAAGATAAGTGTGTGATTCTCCGAAGTAGTGTGAGAGAGTCAGCACGTCTGCCTGTTTTGAATTAAGCTCTGTTCCCATCAGCGCAGGCATAATCTCTTTATGAATGCCCCAATTACTGTCCTGATCATACAGTGGAGCGCTCTATTCATCACACACAGCACACAAAGAGGGACAATTCAGATAAAGCACAGGAAAGAGGAACAGCCCAGAATTAGGAGAATAAAATCATAGGTACTATTCAGAACGTGGTACCGTTATTATTCACAAGTAGCTGCTGCTGTTTAATTGGCTTGAAGAGCATAAGACACAAGAGTAATGAACAAAGTCAGGTGACAGCATTACAAATTAAATTTTCAGATTGTAATTTATACTAGTTGTGTGCCATGTCTGCAGATACATTTTGTCATTGCACAGATCCTGCAGTCTGACAGACAGAAATGTGAGAGTGGAGGGGTGCTTCTATCACTGAACTGACAAAGCGATAAAGCTACGTCACTTGTGTGCTGTGACGACTTGTATCATGTGAAACATCTTGTATGTGTGCTTCTGTCATGGTAAGTAAGGATAGTTTCTGTAGTGATAATGTCTTCTGTGGTTAAGTCTCAATCCTTGGTTATTTCAGCCCAGTCGGCAGAATTAACATGTTGGCATTGTATGTTTCTACATCCACGGTTGTACGTAGATGGCGTGACAACTAGGTGAGCAGACCAACAAAAGCAGGTGTTTTTTAACAAGAGTTCAGGACATGTCCAGCCTGAAGTGGGTATTTTAAGCCAAAATATAGCCTAATCTAATCTAACCAAGTGGTTTTTGTGCCTAAACCTAGTCACACATTAACCACAGCGTTGTTATAACATAAAAAGAAACTTTAAATTTCAGCATATCCGCTAAAGCTTTCAAGATACATCTCTAGGAAGCGCTGGGATGCATCAACAGTGATGTTTCTGGGGTTCAACATCAGACCCCCTCATCCATCCAGGAGCAATCGAAGGGCTAGCCCTCTTTATCCAAAGCCTCCAAGTGGCTTTCTCTGCTGCTTCAGTGATGGTTCATATGGCCCCCTTTGACCGCCTAGCAAACCTCCGGTAGCTCACTTCAGTTGGTATGCAGAGAGCCCGCTGGCTTCTGCACTGTCCCACCAGCTCTTGGTATTAGGCAAGCTTCCTCTCATGAGCCTCCTCCATGTGCTCCTCCCAGGGCACAGACAGCATGGTGGATTCTGAGGAAATGATCAAGTCTGGGCGGAGTCTTGTGGCCGCAATGTGATCAGGGAACTTGAGTGGTTTTCCAAGATCCAGTTTCAGCTGCCACTCAGGCTGTGGGCAGACGGGATGGTCTTGTCATTGGGAATGGAGCTTCTCTCCAGCCTTGAGGAAAGAGATGGTTCTCTTCCTGGGGTGGTGTTTACTGGACTGAATGGCTGTGGTGACTGAGGAGCTGTTGGAAGGATCCTCTCCAAGCACACGGGGCAGGATGGTGTTGCAGTCTTGCACCAAGTATGAAGGTTTGCTGGACTTGGTAAAGTTTCATAGACAGCTTGGACCAGGAATCAGATGCAGACGATGTCAGCCTGCCAGAAATCTGACCAAGTAATCTTCCACTGCAGTGTGTTTTCCCACCTTCTCCAGGCTCTTTACCAACCAAGTCTCACCATCTTGCAGACTCTTACCTCCTCCACACCTGCACACACTTCCCCCTAGAGGAGATGTTGTCTCTCCTTTCCTTTTGCTTTGTCAATCTGGCTGCTTGGAAATGTAAAAAATGTAACATGTCTGTGGTTTGCAGAAATGGACAATGCCAATATTTCTTCTGCTGATTTGATTGATGATTTTGTTTATAATCATTGCTTTCAGGACTTACTGATCATGTCATTGCTTGTACCTTTGCTGTAGACCTCTCTGCTGTGTATATTGTGAACGCTACAATGTATTTACTGAGTTTCAATATCAGTCACCATAAAGACACTGCTGCTCTCTCTTTTTTAGTCAACCCAGGCTGTAGTGTGTTGTTTCCCCTTTTCTCGGCTTTACTTGTGGTTAACACGCTGCCACAACGCATTAACCAACATCTGCCTCTCAATGTGCAGCTTCCTCCTATTACCTTTGCGCCAAAACCCTCTTGAGGGTTGTACATTTTGTGCATGTGCACCATTGTCAATTATTTTAGCTGCTTTAAAATAACAATAGCCTGAAACAACAGTCATTGGTCATTTCTTTATTTCAGAGAGCATTGTCTGAAAGTGTACAAAAGTGCATCATTTTCTTCATAGGCCACATAAAGAACACAGATGTTAAAAACAAATGCTGAGCTACATGAGAGACACAAACATAAGCTCAAATGCAAGATGAGATTCAATAACACTTTTTTTTATCCAAATGACATCACAGACTACATTGCGATTTAGCACAATGTAGAAAACAAAGCACTTATATTAATCATAGTAGTACACAAGTTTAAAAACTGTTAAAACACACACACACGCACAATAACTCAAATATTTAATACTGTATTAATGCACTTGAATTCATAAAATGAGACTAAATAGATAAAGCACTCAGCTTTTTCTGCTTTTTGTCAGCATAATTTAAAAAGACTAGCAAACGTGGACAATTTCCCAACAGTGTTGAAGGAGGTACATAAAAAAGAAAAACACAGTAATCATTGCTCCTTAGATGCCATTTATACGCACTGTCATGTATTGTGATCATATAACCTCACATTTAGCTTGAATGCTTTCCTTAGCTTCATCATAAAGTCATTACAAATACATTCTTCTTATAATGAAAAAAATATGCATGTTAACCAAAAGTTTACACTAATACCAATTAGAGTTTTGTAGCTATAAATGGTGCCTTTAATGTCGTGCATAGAGTGGAACAATCAGCTGAGAAACCTCAGTCTCTGTATGTGTTGATACTGCTGAGGCCTTGAGCACAATACAATGAACACAGACTGCTTTTCAGGGACCAGGTAATGACCAGTCAAAACACCATACTACAAAATTAAAAAACAAAAATCCGCTTAGAGTCCCTTTGGTTCACAGTTCCCTCTAAATAGCAGCCGTCTGTATCTTTGTACAGATTGCTGGACAGATGATCCAAGTGTTTGCACTTTGTTGTTAAAGCTAAAAACAGTGAATTGATAAAACAAACATTACACTCTGCAGACCCAAGAAAAATCCAGTCTAACTGGACAAAAGTGTGGCCTCGGAGAATAAAAAACAAAACAAAACATTGTGTCAGCATGCAGACAGGTCTGTAGGAGCTGCCCTGAGGGTGTCCTTGGTATCAGTCTTCACCCAGAGGTTCATGGTGATACTTCAACACAAATGATGTTCAATAACAATAAACAAAAACTGTATTTTAATACAGGCCCCAAAATTTAAGGAGAAATCTTGATCCTTCGTTTCATTGGTTCTCAGCCTGGTAGTCAGGATCCCCAGCGAGTCACAAGGTGATTCATGAGGGAGATATTTCTATTGTATGTAGTATGTATCCCCCTTAGGAGTGTAAAGACACATCAGTCTGCACTGATATATTGATTCAATGATCAACGATCCAATATCATTTGTGCAAAGTGAAGGTACACCTTTATTTTAAAATTCCTATGGCAAGTATGTGTCACCATTTCTGTCCAAGCATACCTCTTACTTAAACATTCAGTGCTAGCGGCCTGTTGCCAGGCAGACAATAACAAACAGCCAAGAAAAAATAAATTGAGGATATTAACTTATACCTTGTCATATCGATCACAGGCTCCTGAATTTAACTGAAATCATATGGTGGCAAACTTTGTGATTAGTTAATACTGTATCGTCTAAAGTATCGTATTATTGTATCATGATGAAACTTGTGATTCACACGCCTAATCCCCATTCAGACTTGTGCATTTTCTTGTGCATTGGTGAACATTTTAAATTATTTGACCAAAGTCAAATTGCTTAATTATTATTATAAAAACAACACAGTAAGCAAAAATGTACCACCTTGCACAGCAACCTGCACCAGACGCATCACCTTGTGTTAAGGAATCATGACCATAACAGGTTGAGAACCACTTCTAAGCAAATGAAAAGTGTAACATGTGGAATGTGTTGAAGCTTTAGCTTCTATGGCAGGTGAGACAGTTACGATCTGGGATCATGCAATAGCACCACTGTTGTTTTAATGAGGTCACTTCCTGTCTGTTGGTCTTTCACTTCCTCCTTCGGCCACAGTATTTACCCTGACAGCCAGCGCCTATGTACCAGGAGAAAGACAGTTATATTAACTTGACCAGCAGCGTACATATTGTATGGGTACGACCTACACTGTGAAAAATGTTAAGCTCGTTTACCATGAAAACAGACATACACAAAACTTGTTAAAGTTAGGCTAAGTGAGGAATTTGTGATATAGAATAAAAAGACTTTAAACTAAGGCATCAAGTTCAGTCAGCTTAAGTTTAGTCTCACTTCACAGTAACAAGCATTAAAGACAGAACTGCACCCTGGTTGCACTGCCTCAGTAAGAGGGGTCAGTTTGCCATTTCCCACACAGCCACATAGTTCCTGTATTTGTGGCTGTAAGACTATGGTGCAATTCTTAGGCGCGTCAGTTCTCTGGAAACCATGCTTGTACCAGACTAAGTTCAGAGAAAAGAGTCGTAAAATACACCAGAAGCTGCCACTAGTAGCTTTTTTGAATTCAAATTGGATTTAAAGGAATTAAATACTGAGGTGGATTTCATCATGCTTATTGTCAGAGGAAACAACCACAATGTCGGACATGTTTCCATCACATAGCTTTTCTTTAAACTAGAAGGAAGACAACGTAGTCAGTGCACAGTAGTACTTTCATTCAAGTCAAGTTACAGTCAAATGAACTCCTGGAAAGGGCTGCAGCAGTGTTTTACAGTGAACTGATCCAGCTTACTGTAAAGAAATACCGTGTGTATGATGATGTTTACCTCTGTAGCCCCCAGCTCCTAGTAAGGCCTGCATGGCTGCATATTTGGCTGCCTTCTGTGCCTTGGCTAAAGGACGTGAAAGTAAAAGGGAAAGTTATTCTGCAGATAAAGAGCTAATAAAAGCATAATGACTTCATTTCAAAACACATTTCAGTTCATTTTGTTCACAATATAAGTACAAGATATCAGAAATTCTGATGTCAAATTTACTCCTCTATTGCTTAGGATAAAAAAAAGCCTCTAAATTAATATTGTGTAGTTGCTTTAAGAAAAAAGAAAATAATTGGTAATTGTCTTCATCTAGATCACTATGTGTCACTGTGTGGGTACAGTGTATCTGTATGTTAATGCTGTACATATGTGTGCTAAGAGACTGAAGCTAATTAGAGCATGCTTATCCCAGAGGACACAGTGAGGTTTCTTACATTTTTGCCCTGCCCCTGCATATCCTAGAAAACAATGACAGGAAAGACAGAGTCATAATGAACAATTGATAATTGTCACAATGGTGTCATTTGTTATCTTGGCAATGACATGAATGAAGATATCCTAAAATGAAAGTATTCTCTGTGCAAGATTGAATATTCAGGATAAAAGCATTTTATGTTTTATACTTTGTGTGCATGTGTCCACCAGTGTTATAGGTATCTACAAGATTTAAAAGTATTTATTGCTTATCGTTTTAAATTTTACAAATTATATGTTTGCTAAACATCAGTGTTTAACTGTGACAAAGTGCTTCTGCCTTACCTGGATAGCTTCCACCAGCCACCCCACCATAGCCAGGGCCAACACCCCCTGCTGGAATGATGGACACATTACAGCGTGCATCACTAAACAATGCACTTTCTCTTAATAAAGAAGGTATGTACTGTCCAGTGGTCTGAATTTTTTAAATGTTGCTTTAAAAACTTGTTTTGTTATTTCTGTATTGTATCAGTGCTCTACTTAAACTGACCTGGCAAGCCACCTGCACCTCCTCCTAATCCCTGACCTGTTCCTGCCAGACCTCCTGTCCCTCCTGTTCCTCCTGCTGCAGTACCTGGACAGGTAAGTAAGTACACATGCATAGAAATCAGTCAGGCTGTTAAAAGAAGAAGATTTAATAACACGCAATAAAGCTGTCAGCAGAGAGAAGGCTTTCCTAGTTTAGATTTTCATGTTCGATAGATGTGTATCAAACTTTGAAGCCATTTTAGAAAGACAACACCAAGCACATTATAGAATAATATTAAGCTGTATTTGTACAGTGTGTGCTGTGCCACACCTAAAGTTACTAATATTTAGTCACTTTTTTTTTTTAATCATAAACAAGAAACTCACCTGAGCCTCCAAGGATACCTCCTGTTCCTGCACCAGGGACCCCTCCTACTCCACCACCTGATGAACATAAGCGGGATTGAAGTAAATTGGATAGACTATAAATGAATGGCAGGTACATAATGAATGAATATCTCAGCAATTTAATCATCTTAACACATAGTAAATAGTAATACAAAGCAAGCTATAATTAAACATGGACCAAAGATGGTAACAAAAGAGGTTTAATGTCCAATTATTTATCATGTGGGTAAGACTTAAAGTTTTTCTGCATTTTGTCCTCCAAACTTGTTCATCATTTATTTCTTTGTCCTGTATGGCAAATATCTTGTGACAATCAGAACTTGCATTAGTAGGTATCAGAAATTTTTAATGTAATAATTATATGTATCAAGAGAGAAATTTACCTGGTCCATAGCCAGTTCCACCCAACGACGAGCCGTAACCTGATTTAGGAGGCTTCCTTTGCCCAAGTGCTTGGCCACCAGGTCCAAATCCACCCACACCACCAGGTGTAAAACCTCCTGGCCCAGTTCCAGCACCTACAGGGCCATAACCACCAGTTCCAGCACCTCCTGGGCCAAAGCCACCAGTTCCAGCACCTCCTGGTCCAAAGCCACCAGTTCCGGCACCTCCTGGGCCAACGACACCAGTTCCAGCACCTCCTGGGCCAAACCCACCAGTTCCGGCACCTCCTGGGCCAAAGCCACCAGTTCCAGTACCTCCTGGGCCAAAACCACCGGTTCCAGCACCTCCTGGGCCAAAGCCACCAGTTCCAGCACCTCCTGGGCCAAAGCCACCAGTTCCGGCACCTCCTGGGCCAAAACGACTTGTGCCTTCTCCTAATCCTCCTGCTGGGAAACAAATCTGAATATATAAGCATGACTATATGCTATATAAATGTTTAAAAAGATAGTAACCACCCCCAATTCTAACCCAAACTCACTTGATCCAATTCCAGCTCCTCCATAACCTGGACAAAAATGGATGAGAACAGTCAGTGTTCTGCTTATTACTTTAATATGAAACAGTAAAATCAAACAGGAGTCTCCATCAGTACACTGTATATGTGTATGTCACCTGCCTGATAGTTTTACTCGTATAATCATTACTCACCAGATTTAGGTTTTCTTTTCCCTAATCCTCGGCCTCCTGGTCCAAAGCCTGTTCCTGTGCCAGCACCACCTGGTCCAAAGCCCGTTCCTGTGCCAGCACCACCTGGTCCAAAGCCTGTTCCTGTACCAGCACCACCTGGTCCAAAGCCTGTTCCTGTACCGGCGCCACCTGGTCCAAAGCCACCTGATCCTGTGCCAGCGCCACCTGGTCCAAAGCCTGTTCCTGTACCAGCACCACCTGGTCCAAAGCCTGTGCCAATGCCAGCACCACCTGGTCCGAAACCTGTTCCTGTGCCAGCACCACCTGGTCCAAAGCCTGTTCCTGTGCCAGCGCCACCTGGTCCAAAGCCTGTTCCTGTGCCAACGCCACCTGGTCCAAAGCCTGTTCCTGTGCCAGCACCACCTGGTCCAAAGCCTGTTCCTGTGCCGGCACCACCTGGTCCAACCCCTCCAGGCCCATACCTGCCAGGTCCAGTACCTGTTCCACCAGGTCCAAGCCCTGCACCTAGAGAACAAGAATTAAATTGTCATTGGTTTTACGCTGGTATGCGTAGTTGCCTACTTTCAAGTTTTGTCATTTTGAGTTGTTTTTTGTTTGTTGTTAGATTAAAGAAGTTTCCCACCTTGCCCATAGCCAGCTCCACCCAGTGATGATCCATAGCCTGTCAGAGGGAGTTAACAGCCTGAATATATCTTAAAACCAAGTAAATTATTAAATGTTGTTGGTGTTAAAATACATGACCATTATACCTGATTTGGGTGGCTTTCTTTTCCCTAGTCCTTGACCTCCAGCAGCATAAACACCAGGAATTACCCCAGCTCCACCAGGTCCATAGCTGCCTGGTCCTGTGCCAACACCACCTGGTCCAAATCCACCTGGCCTGGTTCCGACACCACCCGGTCCTGTCCCAGTACCTGTCCCAGTACCGCTAGGTCCATATCCACCTGGTCCAGTGCCCCCAGGTCCATAACCACCAGCACCGCCAGGACCAAAGCCGCCTGGTCCAGTGCCCCCAGGTCCATAACCACCAACACCAGCACCGCCAGGACCAAAGCCACCTGGTGCGGAACCAGCTCCACCTGGTCCAGTCCCGTAGCCACCAGGCCCAAACCCAGTACCACCAGCTCCTACTCCATATCCTAGAAAGAAATATTGGTCCAGTGTCATTGCTCTGTATAAAAGCTTCTGTCTCTACACTGTATATTTGTCAATTCTTATCATACTTTTTGGTGGTTTGCCAGTGCCAGTACCCAGTCCTTGACCTGTGCCATATCTTGAACCTGGATAACAGAGCATGTAAGATAAGTTTTCACTTACATGCCGTTGAAATAAGACATGTTTTTCTCCATCAAATTTAAACTTTATTATTAGAATTGAGTCACACAGTAAAACAATTTCAACTTACCACCAGGACCCACACCACCACCATATCCCCCCAGTCCACCACCGACTCCACCAGGACCTGCGCCTGCTCCTGCTCCTCCCACACCTCCACCTAAGCCTCCAGCACCAGTTCCAACCCCTCCAATTCCGAGAGTCCCAGCACCACCAGGACCACCACCAGTGCCTCTGCTTCCAGTCTGGCCAGGTCCAGCCCCATATCCACCAGGCCCAGCACCATAGCCACCTGGGCCAGCCCCGTAACCTCCGGGTCCTGCACCATAACCTCCTGGACCAGCACCATAGCCACCAGGACTAGCTCCATAACCGCCAGGCCCAACCCTACCCTGGCCTGCTGCTCCAAGGGTCCCATATACTGAAAGATAAAAACATAACATCTTTCATCTCTAAAGCCAAAATAAGTCCTTATTAAAGAGACCAACATATAGTGACAGTTTATAAAACCTTTGCCTGATTTTCCTGCCCCCTGTCCAGCTCCAGTCGGGTAACGTATGCCTGAGAGAAACATAAAAAGATCACTGTTTTTAGATATTCTGTATATGTCATCTGTTTGTTTAGATAGTAAGGATAGTGTTAGTTATCATACCTCCACCTGGTAAAACTCCAGCACCATAGCCTATGATGGACAAAGTGTGAAATGTATACATGTCATTGTGATATAGGCATATAGGTTTAGGATGAATACACAGATGTTTCAGAGATCAAAACATGGTAGCAGCTCACTTTTTCCAGGTTTAATGACTCCTGTCCCTACTCCACCAGGCCCACCAGCCCCAGGTATCAAGCCTGCTCCTCCGCCTGTTACCCCACCTACAACACCAGATCCACCACTGACGGCTCCTGCCACAGTCCCGTCCGGTCCGTATTCTACATTTAAAAAGTAACAAATATATCTCTTTCTTCAGTGTGAGTATTTTTTGTCACCAACTGTAACTTACTGATAGATTGGATGTTTCATACACAGTGTTGGATAGAGTCATAACTGAATGTAAAAAGAGCACCTTTGGGTGGTTTTGGTGTTCCTCCTACAGCACCAGCTGCACCTCCTGCCCCAACTCCAGTTCCAGTTGCAGGACTGTCACCTCTTCCCACCCCTGTTACGCCACCCGAAACACCTCCTGTTGCTCCAGCACTGGTAGGACTCCCTCCTACTCCTCCAGGTCCTCCACCTGTACCGCCTGTACCACCTCTCTCTCCATCAGGACCTCCCTCGCCATCTCCTTCACCTGGCGTGTCACCTCTGGGTACACCTGCAGACAGTACACAGAAGGAAAGGAGAAGAAGGAGAAAAACAAAGTCAATAAACCCCCAAACTATTACATCCAAACCACCGTTACAGAGAGGAAGCAACGCAGTCCTCAAAACAAAAAGTTGGCATTGTGCATTTCTGCAAACCACAGATTTGTTATATTTGATGTTATTATGTAGTGCATGGGTAAAACTTTTGGTTTCAACAATGCTTTGGTTGGATACAGGCACAAAAACACCTTGTAAAGTTAAGAATGGATCATGTTTTGGCTTAAGATAACCAGTTTTCATGGCATAATCCCATGAAAAACCACAGGTCACTACACATCGCAACCAATTTGTTGTTTGTTGGTCACAAACAGTGGTCTGCAGTGTCTCACCTACAGTAACATGCCATCCACCGTCCCCTCCACCTCCTGATGACAGGGTCAGCTCATATACTACATCGCTTTAGAAAGGTTGATATGATACATATGAAACATATTCTTTACTCTTTATTTTAATCCCAATTAGCTTCTAGAAAGTGGGTCTTCCTGGGTTCCAGTATTAACAAGCCTGGTGATTACAGTCCTCAGTGTGTAATTTGCAGACCTACTTAAACTTTTGTGACCTATCTTTCTACATCTTAATTGTGCAATATCTTGTGAAACACATTGAGTTGTATCAGACTGATGTAAGTTTGAACAAATAGGTTCTTAAAGTGAGGAAAGGCAACACTGCTGTTAATAGATGTTTGTGGTTTGGCTTATGATTACCTCTCATGGGAGTTAATACATTATGTTACTTCTGTTGTTTGGAAATAGGTAAGCAGTATTGTAGAGATATCCTTTATTTAATTTACCTGGGGGTCTGAGAGGTCTGGCCCCAGGCAATGTTGTAGAGAGATCACCACCAGAACCTGCAAAATTATTCAGTAAAATATAAGAAACATCAGATGATATTTTCCTCTGTAGAGAGGATGTAGAAACTGAGGAGGTGATAAAACATTTCAGAAAGGATAATAGTTGGGAGGTGTGAGGCAAAGTAGTGCTCTGCGCTGTCTCTGAAATCTTGTAGGAAATCTTACCTCCAGAGGGAAGTCCTGTGCCACCTGAATTTTATAAAGAGATAAAAACAAAAGAGATATTAAAGTCACAATCTCCAAACCAGTTAACACCAGTGCAGGCATTACTTAAATGTGGTATGTATTTGTGTATGTGAGCCACACAGGCTTACTTACCAACACCTGTCCCAGCTGTTTGAAACAAGAGTAGAAACACTGGTGAGAGAAATCCTGAGACAATATTTACAGTATGCTAAACTGAACAGTAAATTGAGATTCACATACCGCTTGGTTGTACAGCCCCGCCACCAACTGTAACAACAGAAATAAAGGTTATCTCAGGAGGATATCAATTAGAAACAGTTTCACAACAAGTTTTTCAAAGATAAATATGTTAGTAGCCAGCTTCAGTCCTCAGCTAGCATCAGTCTGCCATGCAGTGTTGTGTGATAGGAAGTGTGAGGAAACACTCACTCTCTGGTACAGGTAAACCAGTGATAGCTGTAAAAGCAGTGAAGTGGAGAAATATAGTGATCTGCATAGAAATTAAAAGCATTTGTGATAGCGTGATGTGCCACTGTATCATAGCAAGCAGATTTTAAATTGTGCTGACACTATTTCGAAATCTATAGTCTTTTACTGTACGAGGCGCTCTATTAACGTCTCACATGTAACATCTTAGTGTTCATTATACTGTATACCAGCTTACCAGGGGATGCTCCTGTGGAACCTGCAGGATATGAAAACAAAATGGTCAGTCTTGTGAATTATTTAAACAAAGGAAACAAGTACATGTTTTGTTGCCTTCCAGATACAACATGCAGTATACATGCCAATAAGAAACATGGTTTGGTGTCCCATAAATAGTGTGGAAATTATGGCCTTTACATATGATTTGTAAATAGACAGTCCCCATCAGGACATTTTTTAGATGCTTTTAAGAATGCTGTGTAAATATTTTGTCCCTTGAAGTTTAAGCTAAACTGTACCAGTGGTGTCTGAGTAGTCAATTGAAACTTTAAGGGTCTTTAATCATACACTTCAAATGCTTTGTGACCCCAGTATAGTATAAAGATGAGTATAGGACCCCTATATACCCATGTTAGAGATTTAAAATAGCATTATTCTAAAAGTTAAACTTTATTTATGTGGTTTCTGCACTTCCTAAACACAACACTCAAATCTGCAATGATCCAAAATGGCAGACAATCTGTGCAGGCAGGATTTTTTAAATTTTGAAATAATCCTGGATCCTCAGGGGGGAAATGTGTTTTGCTGCGCAGTCGCCAGAAGAAAATGTTGGCATTGTATGTTTCTCCACACTATGAATACATTATATTTGCATGTGTTGCAGATGGTGTGTCCTCACGGCTGCCAAGCTGCAGACCACTGCAGACCATTGTTTGAGACCAACAAACAACAAAACCAATTTTGATTTAACAAATCATTGTTGTGTTTCTAGGGGCTTTGTAGGCACCAAAAGTAGGTGTTTTGGAGCATGTCATTGCTGCGTTTTTATGCAGGACCGTGCCCCCAAAACTAAGTATTTTAAGACAAAACATGATCTCATCCAAATCATTACCAAGTGTTTTTTGTGCCTAAATATAACCACGTTAACAGCAATGCAAATGTAACATATGTGTGGTTTACAGAAGTATACAATGGCAACATTTTTAATGGCGACTGGGTTGAATTATGAGTGAAAATGTAAATTTATAAATAGCCACATGATGGCACTGTCTGCAACCAAATGTAAGAGGCACCAGATTTAATTGAAATCCATATCATGGTTTTGAGGATGTCTTGCTGACTAACAGATGCACTCTGACAGAAATGGATGAACATGCAGTGCTTGCAGACAAACATGCAGAAACTCTGGCTATGAAATATATACTGACCTGGAACTTCTGTCCCATTGAGTCCTGTTTTATAAAGTGGGAAAACAACACAACAGAGATAAGAGCGACTAACACACAAATTAAATGCAGCGGGTTTCCTCCCCCATAACACATTTTCATTAATAACACTCCCAAACCACTCCTGAATAAATTAGTGGCATTTTTAATTAGCTCCTTAACTTACATTAGTATGTGTTTGAAATTTTGTAGCATGAACGACCAGAATACCTGGTTTTGCTCCAATGATGGGGATTCCTGTTCCAGCCAAGCCATCTCCATCACCTCCTGCACCCACTGGTCTGCCAGCTACACCAATACCTCCTGTTTTAATGCACACACACACACACACACACACATGAAAGAATATGTGTGAATAAATAGAGCAGTGAGTTTTATATTTAGTATAGTGTTTTGGTCCTTAATTTTCACATGTGTTTGCCATGGAGTCTGTGTGCTATAACTACACCCTTAGACCTGAATTTTAGTGTTCATGCTAATTGTTGTCAAATATGCACAAAATCTGTGCATGATTTCAAGGGAAGAAAAGACAGGCTCTCACAATCCAGCAAGTTTAAACACACCTTCTCCTCCAGAGCTTCCAGACCCTTCTATCACACTGCCAGCACCACCATCGCCTGGAATAAGGTCAAAATATTAAAAGGACTGAGATTTGAAAATAGTACCATATGTATGTATAGGTGCTTTGGATAAGTGTGTGAGCTAATAAAACAAAGACAATGGCAAAATCATTTTTAGATAAGCCAGTTTTCTTTGTCTTATTTCTCTCTCTCTTCCAAAAGAGAGAAATAAGCCAGTTTTCTTTGTCTTATTTCTCTCTTTTGGAAGCTCACCTCCATCACTGTCTTTTCCATCCTTGTTAGACACATGTTATAGTAAAACTAATGTATTGCAAACCCTGTGAGTAAAGTTATCTTGATAATATGTGACTAGAAATGTGTTTTTGTCACCAGTTGCTCTGTGCTAACACTGCACAGATACCTTCTGATCCTGGGGCTGGTGTTCCTCCTGTAGGTCTTAGTCCTCCTCCTGATACAGCAGACATAATTTATCACATTCAGATTATCTGGTTGAATATTAATATTTCACTGTGGCCAAAATGTGTATTTTTAATCCTCAGAACAGAAGCTCACCACTGGGTCCAGCTGTTGCCCCTCCACCGATGCTGGTGCCATTCACTGAAACACCAGTGCCAGTTCCTGTACCAGGTCCTGCAGTGCCAGTCCCTGTACCAGGTCCTGCAGTGCCGGTCCCTGTACCAGGTCCTGCAGTGCCGGTTCCTGTACCAGGTCCTGTAGTGCCGGTTCCTGTTCCTGCCCCAGGTACAACTCCACCAGGTTGCCCTAAAGTTTGTAAAAGAGATCATCTGGTAAATTCAAAGAGCTGCTTATAAACAGCTCTGTTCCATAGTTTAAGCATTTATATATTATACACATAATGTTCTACTTGACACACAGAGTCTTGTCAAAGTACATCTTACCGTACTTAGCAGCCTTAGATCCAGCTGTGCCATAGCCTGGAGATCACAACAAATAACGTGGTTTTAATATTCACTACTGATCGAAGAAAAGGGTTTATACAGATGAGATAAGCACGTAAGGATGGCTATATGAGTTACTGACTAGGGCTAGTCTCAAAATAACTTATCTTATTTCACTCCCCAAACAAGAAAACACTGCTTTTTGGCATTGAAGCTAAAATATGTAACCTTAAACAAACATTGTCACGCTTCCATTGCTGCAAAGATGGTGTGATCAACTAAACACAATTATCACACAATAACACCTTGCTGCTGTTGATGATCACCTTTTTAGCAGAGTGATATCAACTGTCATCGTCAAGCAGGACACATATGACTCAAAAATTTGAACAGCATTTCATAATAGCAGGCTGTGAACTGTATTCACAACTAGGTTAATGTTGCAGTTTTATTACTTCACCATACTACAATATACTGATGAGATATGAGATGTTTTTGTGTCTGAGTGACTATGAGAGTAGCAACTGTTGAAATTGGTCCAGTATTCCTGAGTGAGAGGGCTGCAGTGGCAAAACGGGCTGCAGTGTAACCACGTAGGGCGTGTGCTCAATGTTAATGTACATCCACTGACAGATCGTATTTTTGCCACTGACAGGCTCAGATTATTATTGTAATTATCTGACAATATTATGGAAAGGATCCCTACAGAGATGGACCTTCTTGTTTAAGATTTTAAATCCTTTTTGTTTGACCAGAAACAGCCCCTAACTTGCTATTGTCAATCAACCAAACTTTGTTACTCCAATGAGGCACTTGTTGCTGCAATTCCTACCAATTACCAGTAGATGTCAGTAAAGGGATGTTTCATATTTAAATGTCATCTAGACTTAAAATGTGATTAAGATCCAAGCACAGACAGACAGACCTATGTGTCACTACACAGACTCTTTACTGAAAACCAACCTGGACCTCCAGTGCCAGTTCCAAAGCCTCCTGGTCCATAACCACCTGTAAAATTACACAAGATAATAGATGGTGTATAAGTAACTCCATCAAGAGAATCTGGAGAACATATCATTGCAAAGAAAAGAAAACAGAATATCTGTATTGCTCTCAGCTTGCAATGCCCAGTGTCATCATACATTAACAACTCACCAACTCGTCCTGCTCCACCTCCAAGTACTCCAGTACCAGCACCTGTTCCACCTTGACAGACATCAAGATCATGAAAATAATTTAGCTTTTACTGGAATTTGGATAAAACAGCCATCGTCATGTTTTAAATATTTATCTAAATTTGAGTTTGGCAAAATTTATCTTGGACAAAATTATGAACCTGTTCCATATCCAGCCCCCGGTCCTGCACCATAGCCTCCACCTGGTCCGTAACCTGTCCCAGGCCCGTATCCACCAGGTCCATATCCTGTTCTTCCCAGTGTTCCTCCACCAGGAAGCCCTAGGGAGGGGCAAATGTGTGAGGAATTTAGCCCTAATAAAGGTAAAAACACTTTCCCTAACTTATTTTTTTTTGCATGAAAGTATCATTAATAAAACTTTAAAGGACCACATGGTAATTTTTTAAAAAAAAAAGTTGTTTCTTACCATATTTGCGGGCTTTGGCACCAGCATAACCTACAAATGCAGACACATCAATTACTTGAAGCATATTACATTAACTAGTAGATCTATTTGAATACAAATATGCTTCCTTATTTTAATAGGTCGTTATCATCCTGTTCTTTCATCATACCTCCAGGTCCATAGCCAGCTCCACCAAGTCCAACTCCTCCTGGCCCATAGCCTGTGCCAGCGCCACCAGGCCCAACACCTCCTGGTCCAAAGCCAGTACCAGCACCACCTGGTCCGACTCCCCCTGGTCCAAAGCCAGTAGCAGCACCACCAGGTCCGACTCCTCCTGGTCCAAAACCAGTACCAGCACCACCTGGTCCGACTCCCCCTGGTCCAAAGCCAGTACCAGCACCACCAGGTCCAACTCCTCCTGGTCCATAGCCAGTACCAGCACCACCTGGTCCAACTCCTCCTGGTCCAAAGCCAGTACCAGCACCACCAGGTCCAACTCCTCCTGGCCCATAGCCTGTGCCAGAGCCACCTGGTCCAACTCCTCCTGGTCCAAAGCCAGTACCAGCACCACCTGGTCCAACACCTCCTGGACTTGTTCCTGCACCTCCAAGTGCTCCACTTAACATGCCTGTGAGAAAAACATTCAAATGCAATTATAAAATGATGATAAACTTGCATACAGTTATATTCAATATAACTCTTCTTCTATTCTTACCATATTTACGAGCTTTGGCGCTGGCATCGTACCCTGAAACACAAATATAGTAATATTACTGTATCTGAAGCCATTGCTGCTAATAGTGTGTCTTAAACCGTCGCTATCGCATAATTATAAGTTACATTTTTCAGACACCCTAAATTATTGATTCATAATTACCTCCAGGTCCTGTTCCAGCTCCTCCTAATCCAGTTCCAGCTCCACCTGGTCCGTACCCAGTTCTACCTGGACCATAACCTGCTCCTCCAGGGCCAGTGCCAGCACCACCAGGACCATAACCAAGACCACCTGTCCCAGTGCTGGCACCACCTGGACCAAAACCAATGCCAGAGCCAGGTCCCCCTCCAGTGCTGAGTCCAACTCCTCCTCCCGGTACTCCAAGGCCTCCAGCTGCACCGGTGCCTGCACTGCTTGGACCAAAACCGTAGCCCCCACCTGGCCCCACTCCTGTGCCAAGACCAACTCCAGTTCCTCCACCTGGTCCTCCTCTTCCAAGGCCTCCAGCGGCTCCATTGCCTATACGGCCTAGCAGACCTGGAGAGGTTAAAGGCATTTTTAGTGTCAGCTACGCACTAAAAGAGGTTGTTACATGCCCACAGTACATATTCATTATGTTATTTTTGTATTTTACAAAAATATGCACATACGCCTCACCATATTTGCGTGCTTTGGCTGAGCCTGGACCATAACCTAGCAAACAAAAACAATGTGTAAGTAAACGGTCACATGAAATGACCTGTGCAAATGTAAAAGGATATTCATTGCTGACATAGTGGTTCAAAATATTCCAGAATCAGTCAATTGCAGTATTGCAGCTACCTGTTCCAACTCCACCTCCAATTCCAGGTACAGCTCCAGGTCCACCTCCTGTTCCAACACCACCTCCGAATCCAGGTACAGCTCCAGGTCCACCTCCTGTTCCAACTCCACCTCCGAATCCAGGCACAGCTCCAGGTCCGCCTCCTGTTCCAACTCCACCTCCAAATCCAGGCACAGCTCCGGGACCACCTCCTGTTCCAACTCCTCCAAATCCAGGTCCACCACCTGTTCCAACTCCACCTCCTAACCCGGTTGTGGCTCCCGCTCCTCCTCCTGGGAGTCTTCCAGCCCCAACTCCTAGAGCGCCTCCTTGACCAAGTGCACCACCTCCATTTCCAGCTCGAGCTCCACCTGGTTGACAAAACGAACAGGTAAGCTTATAAAAATGGCAATATAGAGAACTGAATAATACATTATATTGCTGTGTAACCGTCATATTGTCAACACAAGGGCGACACCTCAGCTAATGTGTCCTTACCATATTTAGCTGCAGCTTTGGCTGGATTCTTCGATTTGCCTGCCCCTGTATTTGATGAATACATTTATTTATATGTTGCTGCCTTTACATCTATCATTGACGACATGTAACTGTACATGCAGCTGCAAAGTTTACTGCATTGCTGGTTTCTATGTACCTGTTTTTGGTGATATGAGAGGGTAACCACGGAAAACACCAGGCAACTGCTGTCCACGACCATCTACGGTGAGAAATACACTACAGAGATGCTCATCCTGTGAAATACTCAATGGCAGCTTGGGATAATATTTCTTATTTAAAATTAAAGTTCAAGTAATGCATGCAAAATATGCTCGTAGTATGAAACAGTTTAGCATTTTAGGACGTTATAACACTTACTTCCTGCTCCTCCTGGTCCAACACCCCCCTGGCCGAGTACCCCGGTCCCTGCGGAGAATAAGGCAGTAGTTTTTGTGTTTAGGCATGTGTGCCTAGATATGATGTTCCAAGATTCATTAACATAGATTACATTCACACACCAGTCTGAGGCCCAAGTCCAGCTCCTGTGGCCACTCCAGGGAGGACACCACGACCTCCAAATCCTGGCCAGGGAAGATGAGAAGAAAATCACCAAACTATTACAACTTCTTCTGTCAAAACACTGAATGATACATTATTGTATTGTTTAATATGCGCTTTATTTGTTTGTTAGATGTTTCTTGTATTACAACAAACCTTGGCCTGGTACGTATCCACCTTGATAGAGTCCAGGCACCCCGACTCCTGTGTGTAAGCATATGCAAATTTAGAACATCGCCCTCCAAAATTCAGTGTTTCTGGTCGATCATAAACTATGAACTGAACTGATGTTGTACATCATTTCGGAAGAAGGCATCAGTGTTTCACAAACATGGATGTAAACTGTGAGTGCATCCTCACTGGTTCATGGAGGCATACAACCATGACATGGTTATTCTAGTTTTTACCTGGAACCTGTTTTGATGCTTTGCCACCACTCTTTCCTCCAGGTCCTCCCCCAGTGGTACCAGTCTGTGGCAGACTTGGAACTGAAACAGGAATACATCAAATGTTAGCAAAATAAAACTTAACACATAAATAACACAGCTAAACAGCTTTTTATTCTCCTACTTAATCTTAGAACTATCTTTTTAAAACACAATTTAGCAAAGTTAACAGTAATTAACAATTTACAATATACTTAAGAATGTATGTTGAAATAAACTTTTCCCTAGAAATACAATATATCTCATTGTTTTAACCAAGGTGAATGCATGTTCTTACAGTTTAATCCTTAATGCTTTCTATGTGACACTTGTTCTTAATTATAGAATACATAAAGTAAATGTTGTGCAGTACAGTGTAGTATAATTTAAATTATATTATCTACCTCCTCCTGGCACAGCAGCTCCACCAGGTCCAACTCCTGCACCGCCAGGCCCAAATCCTGTTCCACCAGGCCCAACCCCTGTACCACCAGGCCCAAATCCTGTTCCACCAGGCCCAAATCCTGTTCCACCTGGCCCAACTCCTGCACCACCAGGCCCAAATCCTGTTCCTCCAGGCCCAAGTCCTGTTCCACCAGGCCCAACCCCTGCACCACCAGGCCCAAATCCTGTTCCACTTGGCCCAACTCCTGCACCACCAGGCCCAAATCCTGTTCCTCCAGGCCCAAGTCCTGTTCCACCAGGCCCAAATCCTGTTCCTCCAGGCCCAAGTCCTGTTCCACCAGGCCCAACCCCTGCACCACCAGGCCCAAATCCTGTTCCACTTGGCCCAACTCCTGCACCACCAGGCCCAAATCCTGTTCCTCCAGGCCCAAGTCCTGTTCCACCAGGCCCAAATCCTGTTCCTCCAGGCCCAAGTCCTGTTCCACCAGGCCCAACCCCTGCACCACCAGGCCCAAATCCTGTTCCACTTGGCCCAACTCCTGCACCACCAGGCCCAAATCCTGTTCCTCCAGGCCCAAGTCCTGTTCCACCAGGCCCAACCCCTGCACCACCAGGCCCAAATCCTGTTCCACTTGGCCCAACTCCTGCACCACCAGGCCCAAATCCTGTTCCTCCAGGCCCAAATCCTGTTCCACCAGGCCCAAACCCTGCACCACCAGGCCCAAGTTTTGTTCCACCAGGCCCAACCCCTGCACCACTAGGCCTAAGTCCTGTTCCACCAAGCCCCACCCCTGCACCGCCAGGCCCAAGTCCTGTTCCACCAGGCCCAACCCCGGCACCACCAGGCCTAAGTCCTGTTCCACCAAGCCCCACCCCTGCACCGCCAGGCCCAAGTCCTGTTCCACCAGGCCCAACTCCAGCACCACCAGGCCCAAATCCAGCACCACCAGGTCCAAACCCTGCACCTCCAGGCCCATAGCCTGTTCCTAAGGTAAAAAAAACCCCATATGAAATTCAGTCACATTTCAGTGTTTAAAACTGAGTAGAGATGCATGACATTGGATTTTTTAGATATGCCGATATATAACAACTGTAGCGGAATTAAAATCATATTATACATGCATGCCCTTATCATGATGACCCACCAGCAGATGAGGACATGAATAGCAGTCCTGTAATGTATGTAATATTCATTTACTGTGAAAAATAGGAAAAAGCATGTCGGCCGGTTCCGATAGTTCATTCTAAACCCAATATTGGCCAATACTGATGACGTGCTAATATTATCGTGCATCCCTAAAACTGTGTAATGGCAATAAGATAACATTAAATACCTGTTTTAGGAGGTTTGGGACCAGTTCCACCAGCTCCTGGGTACTGACCAGCACCTGGTCCAAAACCACCTCCGTAGCCTCCATAGCCACCTGGGTCAGGACAGAGGTTTGTTTGATAGACACACATTCTTCAAGGTTAACAATATGTATGAATGCAAAGTGTGTGACCCACTAAGGGGAAGAAAATTTTTTTTCAGCCATGTGTTGGGTGTTTCAGAGGAGCAGCTGTATGGCAGCCTGACAGGCTCATGTGTGACACCTATTTATGTTGTTCAGTGATTCTTACAGTTGCATCACAGTACAAATACACCTGGCAGTGGACTAACTTTAATAACACATTTAGTAATTCATGCACTTGTTTATATAAAGGAACAGAAACAGACCTATGCGTTTAAACCTGTTATTGGGTGTCATGTAAGGATGAAAACCACTGACCTCCAGGTCCGTAGCCTGTTCCAGCTCCCTGACCTCTGCCAGTCCCGAGGCCTCCTGCTCCAAGCGCTCCTCCACCCAAACCGCCTGCCCCAAGGCCTAATAAGCAGATAAAAGAGAATCAGTTCTTAGAACTTCCTATACTTGCTGTAGTGACTACAATACACTACATCATACATTAATGAATCCAGTGTGTCCCTGTGCGACTCCACCCTTTTGTAATGTTATACATGAATGATGGCTGCCCGAGAGAAACCTCGCAAGGATTAACTTTCTCTCCAGAAGGGTTTTGAACATTTGTTTGAAGTGTGCATGTTTGACTTTAGAAATAAGTCTCTCATAGGGTTTGGCTGTAGATGGGTCAGTAACAATTACAAGGCTGCAGAGGGGAACTAAAGCCTGTGTGGGGAGATTTCTGAGAAAAGAGAGCTGGTACACATGATGCTTCATGTGGAAATAGAAGATTTATAAATAGGTCAGTCTTACTTCTGGTGTTTGGTAGAATAAATCCAGTTGTTAAATGATAAGCAGCTCTAGGCCACTGTATTCAGTTTGCACAGTCTTGGCTGTAATTGGTTTTTATTTTTTGCTTGACGTTATAGCACAGTCTTTATAGGTGTACACCTCTCATTGCTTGTTCAGGTTAACCAGGATGTTTTTTCTTATTCTTCAGGGTGGAGCAGCAGAACAGCACAAATACACTTTGCAGGCATTATTGTGTAGTATAGTGTTGTGAAAAAACGTGCCAGGTTGAGGCGGCCAAACTTTTGGAAAGTGTGACTTATGAGACTGTTTCCTGTGCTTACATTGATCCATTTTCTACCCACCGCTATAATGAGTGGTATTTAAAAGGTTCCACAAAACCAAGGCTTAACCTCTAAGGATCCTTGGATATTATCACCAACATTCCTCATCCTACATTTGGAGGATGAAAAACAGAGAGGCCTGAAATTCCAAAGCAAATCAGTCTTTCTGACTGACGTGATGGCTTCCGTCCTTTATCAGGGACCTGCCATGCCTAATGCATTAGCCTTTATCACTGAATGTGTGCACGAGGGTGGTTGGCCCCTCAACAATAGCTCATAACCATGAGGTAATGAGGAAATGAAATAATGGTACATGTATGCAATCCTTATCCTGCTTCGTTGAATTGAACAGAGGAACAATATTTACAGTGCAGGGGTTGACCTCTGATCCACATGCACGGAGCAGAGAACTTCCTCTTATTGTGAATGTCGCACGATGCAACTGAACACAGCTGTTTGTAGGTCATGATCTTACTAGTTTTTTTGACTAGGTTTCAGTAATTCAGCAGTTCCTTCAAAGGTTGTTGAGTACGTGAGTCTTCTTACCAGCATGTGTCTGGTGTTATCTGATACAAGTATGTAGCGATTCTAGCAGTTATTGATTATCCCACTCTAACTGAAACTATGTATGTGCTCAGAGAGTGTTTGTGTGCTTAATTTGTTTTATTTTGTATTTTATTTGGCTGTTTTTTCTACTAATTTCTGGGCCAACTAAAGACAAAAATTGTACTGGTTAAAGGGACAGTTCACCCCAAAATCTAATATACAGAATTTAGATCATGACCTGGTTACTCAGGATAATCCACAGAGCAGTTTCATGTAGGACTTTTTTTTTTCTCCGCCAGCTGTATCACCATGCAGACCAAAGCACCTACTGCTAGCTCACCTAGCACCACTGAGCTAGCTAACGTCACAGTTCAGCAGAGGAGGATGCCATTAATGTTTACAGCTCTTGCTGTAATGAGCACAAGCCTCTCGTTCATGAGTAGATGCAAGCTTTCTTCTGTGCAGTGATACAGTTGGTGGGTGTAATTCAGTAGAAAGAAAAAAAAACTTGTCACAACAAGGTCTGTGGATTATCTTTAGTAACCAGGTCATGATTTCTGGAAAGAGACATTGCTGTTGAGTTTTTAAGATATGTTTTTTGGCGCTTTTAGCACCACAAGTTGAGTGCCATCTAGTTCCATTATATTTGAGAGAAGTCAGACATCTCTATGGCCAATATTTCCAACACTTTGCAAACTCACATCAAAACAATCAAGACTGAAAAAAAGCACTACATGTAAAAGGAAAAATATATATATATTGATTTTGAAGTGAACTGCCCCTTTAATCTGCTTAATTTAATAAAGATGTAATATTTATCTTTTGATATGTTAAGGAGACAAAAAAAAAACTCCATGCCTGTGCCTTGGCCACCTGGTCCAAAACCACCAGGACCAGCTCCTCCAGGACCGGTTCCATAGCCTCCAGGACCGACACCACCTGGTCCAAAACCACCTGATCCGACTCCACCAGGTCCCAATCCTCCTCCTACGCCTCCAGCTCCTTGTCCTGGTCCAACCCCTCCAGTCACTCCTCCATGACCACCGTAGCCACCTCCTAGAGACAAATAAGTTACCAAGATTTTGCAGAGCTTAGAGTCATCATGGTCTGTAGGTTTGTTCCTACACACCTCATATGAATGATAGCACATTTTCTATACATATAGTTCATGACATCTGAGCTTTTCTGTCTTTGAAAAGACCTTTTTTGTCCCAATTCAAGACGAGAATTTTTATCTTGGTGATTCTACAGAATGTAATCGTAATTCAGTGCTCGAGCAACGGACAGGCTTGAATGTCTTACCTGTTTTTGGAGGCTTTCCACCTGTTAAAAGAAAGCAATAATAATTAAATCAACAGTAGCACAATGGAAATCCTGCTTGACTTTGCACTACAGATAATCAGCCATATCTGTCTTACCGGCTCCAACACCTCCAGGTACAACTCCGAGTCCACCACTGCCTGGGCCAAAGGTGCTGGGCCTGAAGCCTCCGGGTCCAACACCTCCTGGTCCGACTCCTCCTGGTCCAACTCCACCAGGTCCAACTCCTCCTGGGCCAACTCCACCAGGTCCGACTCCTCCTGGGCCAACTCCACCAGGTCCGATTCCTCCAGGTCCAACTCCTCCTGGTCCAACTCCACCAGGTCCGACTCCTTCCGGTCTCACTGCACCCGGTCCGACACCTCCAGGTCCGACTCCTCCTGGCCCTTGACCTCCATAGCCCCCTGAGAAAAACAGTCATCAGAACACTGTGAGTTGAAAACACACAAAATATATATAGATGAAGACAATCTAAATAGTATTTTTCATGACCACAACTGCATCTGAAACCCGATGCCTTTAAGTTACTTGTACTGATATAAATCTGTGTGTTCAGTTAAACATGTCAGTCGTCACATTCCTAACTTCAAACTGAAATCACAACCAGCTGTTTATAAAACTGAGTAGAAAACACAAATGGTATCCGCCTCTACCTGCTCCTGGTCCAAAGCCTCCCAGACTGGCACCAGCACCTCCACCAGGCTGAAATCCAGTCCCAGCTCCTCCAGGGCCAAATCCTGTTCCAGTCCCACCCGGTCCAAATCCAGTTCCAGGTCCTACGCCGGCTCCTATACCAGCTCCTATACCGGCTCCTATACCGGCTCCAATGCCTCCTCCTGCTCCACCAGCAGGTACGTATACACCTGATACACAGAACCAGTTCAGAGTCACAGCAAATGACAATATGATTTAATAATGGTTTCAAATTATAACTGTTTTTTCTGTTCAGGAAATCAGACTGTTTGGATTAGCTGTACAAACACAGCAGTTTAACAATGTTTTTGTTGTTTAGACTCCTCACAGATGACTGAGTTTGTGGAATTTACGAGTCATCATTCAGAATTAATGAGACATAATTTACAACTCTTTCCCAGCACTTAATAAAACCCATTTAATTTGTCTAGTTAACAAGGATTACATTTAACTAATAAGATCAGATGCCACACATGCAGAGAGAAAAGCGTGTTTATGCCCTTACATTCATTAAGTGTGCGTGTGTGCTTGTGTTAGTGATTATCTACCCCGTGCTCTGAGTTTCTCTGCAGCTGATAACAAACACCCCTTCATCCAAAAGGCATGTATCTTTGGTCATAATTCTCACACTTTTCTGCACCTATGTTTTGTTCCACAAATCATGATAGCCAAAAATAGAACCACAGAGAGCGAACTATAAAAGGAAAGGTTTTTTAAGATCCCACAGTCCAGATGTGAAAAGAAAAGGTCTGTAGGGAATCCTAAAGAATGTGAGTAACTGATCTCACAGTAATGCCATGTACAGCACATTAACAACATGCAGTAAATAACTTAAGTGTTCAGTCATGCTGCAGGACAGAAACCTCCTCCCCCAAAAGCTTTTGTTGTTTTGGGAGGAATCTTGAAACACCGGACAATTATGCGCTTATATTCACCAGAGATATATCATGAAATAAAACAGCAGTTGGGCTTGGCAGTGTATTCAAATAATAAATAATATATAATTCAAATAATAAATACCATCTTTACTTTTATTTTGAAACTTTGGAAAAAGAAAAAAAAAAGATATTTTGTAGAGATTGTCCAGGGTTCACTGGACTGTTTTCTATGGCGACATTAATATGTCATTATTGAATTAGTTATGTTTGTATCATTTTATAACTCTGTCCATGATATCATACTGTAGCTATTATTGTTTTTAGCCGCTCTGGCTCCAGGGATGACGATGTCGGTATGTCTGTCGGCCCAACACTTTACTGTAGATTGAAATATCTCCACTTTAATGGAGGGTTTGACATGAACATATTCACATATTACTGATATTACTGATCCCTTGAGAAGTTTGCTGACTTTTGCTGACTCTTACTTTTCTTCTAGCGCCACCAACAGGTCAAAACTTTAATCTATGTAGCAAAATATGTCAAATAGATCTCTGCTAGATGGATTGGCACTGTTATTCGTACAGATGTTCATGGTCTCCAGGGGAGGAGACTGATGAAAATTTGGTGCAGACATTCATGGTTTTCATGGACTTAAGTGTTTCCCTGTCTTTTTATCTAGCGCCCCCATGAGGTAAAAAGGTCTATATCTGTTTAATTTTTTGGGTTATCAGTTTGTTTTTTTACAATGAGCATTACAACCTCACAGAGCTGCTCGCATGGCTGTTGATGTTTAATCTCGTGGAAAGGTGCACTATCACTGTTTGTAATGTTGATTCCCAAAAAGAAATTAAAATGAGCAAGTGAATATGTTATGACAAAACTCATGCAGTATAATCCCTAAAAGCCAAGAATTTAAAAACTAACTGAAAGGGAAACTTATTTATGCTCTTTTCAAAGTCAGCCTCTAATACTAAGTTTTTCTTTTAGCAAAAAATGCATGTGTTTGGGAAGTACTGAGCACACGACTGGATAAATGAGACTTGGATTATACTACATAAGTTGTGTATGAGTTTGTAAATCGAGTTTTTGATTTAGTTTTGTTGATGTTAAACATGGTCCCCAATCAGTCAATAAATCAATAAGTTCTCTATGGAGGCATACAAAGTTTCCTTCATGAATTCAAGATAACACGATATGACTAATTGATTTACAAATGGTCATTTGTGGGTGAAGTGTTCCTTTAAGTACAAACACTCATCCAGCCTGCTCCAGTAAAACCAAAATACAGAAACTAAACAACCAATGACATGTAGCCGCACTCTCTATTAAGTGTTCAGTGGTAGCCTGACCTTGTATAAAATTACATTACACAACAGCCTGACACAGCTTTTAAACCATCTCCTCTAACAAGACGAGAAAGAGAATGAGGGGAATCTCCTTTCATTAGCCAGCTCAAATCTTAAACAGACACGACATGGAGACAGGATATGGAGGGATGAGGTCTGGAACACACAGTGATCTGTAAAGCTTTTAATAAGGTCCATTAAAAGTCAGGTGCAGCAAGCTATTAAAAGATGTAACCGTATCCTTGTTGTCTTGACCTCACACCTAGAGAGGAGGAAGAGCTGAGATGATAAATGCACAGAGAACAAGCAGTGTTATTATATTGTGGTTTGTCCAAGATCGTTCTTATTTAACATGTTTAAAAGTGCTTCTAAAGTTCATCCAGACAAATGTGATTCTACACAGCTATCTGTTCACTTTTTTAAGTTTGTGGAAAGTTGCAACAACAAGCTTTAAACATCATTCAATAACACAGAAGTTTAAAGAAAAAAGCACTCCACTCTGAGAGGAGTTCACAGTACAAGGAAAGAAAATGACCAACACAAACCCAGTCCAATGTTCTATACAATATGATTCTTTATCTGAAAGCAAGACTGGAGAGGTGCTTGACCTTTAATTCAGATATTACAAATCCATTCACACAAGACAATATGAAACTGACTCAGTGATGACGATGTTAGTGATAACTGCTGTACCTACTATTACTACTACTACAACTGCAGATACTTGCAAATCTCTTGCACTATTATCATCATCAATAATCTGCAGCAGCTGATTTCTAGGATCTTAGAACACCTTATTATTTTCATCACCATCAGTATCTTAGCTGCTGCAGCTCACAAAACCTCCCAAATCACAAATCTGCACTAAACTACCATTAAAGAAAACAGGAGTTCATGCATTCCTCTTCTGCAAGCGCTGCTACATAAACTAAATGTGACACCTGATCCACAGGTGCTGCACTGCTGAGCGCTGCACACATGCAGTAAAAGGAACCCACCTCCTTGCAGTGAGGGTTTCCACAGAGCCAAGAGAAAGACGCCATGAAGGTACGTGGCCACCGTCCCTCTCGCCATCTCGCTCCCAAATGTCCCTCTCCTCTCCCAAGGTTCAGGTTTTTATCAGGGCTCAACAAGGCCTTAAGAAAGAAGGAGGGAAATGAGTGAGAGCAGGAATAAAAAAAAAAGGGGGGGGGGGGGGGGGGGGGGGGGGGACAGGATGCAAGAAAGACAGGACACTGTGTAATTGGCTAAGAGACACAGCGAAAGATAGACAAGGAGAGAAGGGGAGAGGGAGAGAGAACACTGGATCACCTCATTAAACCAAATGGGTTGTTCTAACCCCCCAGTGACTGTTGGGCTGCATTTATTTGGCTCTCTACTGCCAAAAAGAGGGAGTATGAAGAATGGGTGGGGGTCTGAGGGAGTGAGGGAGACGCACACACACATACACACACACACACACACACACTACACACACACACACACAGACACGCACACACACACAGAACATGCATGAGAGGTAAAAGAGTCTGTGAATTGTAAAGATTCAGGGGTTTTCACTCTCTCCAGACACCTCAAAAAGAAAAAGGAACTGTGCCAGAAGTTCCTTATGGATTTCAAAACAGTGTCATGTTTGTCAAGTTGAAGAGAAACACTGACTGCAGTGACTCATTAAGGCATATATCATGAATCATTGGTATCCATTTATGAATAGAGTTCATGCTGATCCACAAAATGTCTTAAAAGGCGCTGAATTCTTTAACCTAAAAATAAGGCCTTAATTGGTATTAAAATGTCTTAAAGGTCCAGTGTGTGAGATTTGGAGGGATTTAGTGGCATCTAGCAGCGAGGATTGCAGCTTGCAGCCAGCTGAAAGTTCTTCTGGTTATAATTCCTTCAGTTTTCATTGTTCGGGAGGTTTTTACCGGGAGCCAAGTATTCACAGAGGTGTCTTCCTCTCCAAAACAAACAAACCAGGTGATTGAACTGGTAAAAAACCCTAAGTAAGGCAGTTTCACATTACAAATCAGTGTTTCTCCTACGCTGTTCAGCATGTCACAGACATCTGCTCTCCCAGCACCTGCAAATGGCTGCTCTCTTATTTTCTTTAATAACTTAATGTGTGCTCACCTTATATCTGATCCAGACGTTTAGGAGGTTTTTACTGTGAGCTAAACTATCCGCAGAGGTCTCCTTCTCTTTAAAACAAACAGACTCAGTGATTTAAACCACTAAACCAAGGACCTGCTAATCTGTGCTCACCTTTTTTCTCTGATAACTTCAGATCCAGACGCTCAGAGGTTTTAACAAGGGGTTGAATTATTCACAGAGGTCTCTTCCTCTACAAACTATAGATCAGGTAATTTAAACTGGTAAAAACACTGAATAAAGCAGTTTCATCTTAAAAACATCTGTATTTTTCCGATACTCTCACCGTGGAGGGGCTGGTAACTACAATGGCCGATGCAAAATGTAAATGGTCCTATCTAGAGCCAGTGTTTAGTTTGTCTGTTCTGGGCTACTGTAGAAACATGGCCTCTCGAATTAACGTCATGCGGATCAGGATCACTGAATCACCAACATGTATATTTTGTTTCTGGCCGGGAAGCTCAGAGCAATAATCCACTGTCTGTTAGCTAGCTGTTACTGTACCCTGGACGTCATGAGGAAGCACAAATGTAATGAGATTTTGCAAAATGGCTGAAATCTGCACAAGGCAAAAGATATAGGCTCAATGTATGTATGCAAAGCTTTCAAACTCGGCATGATGGGAATCAAGGAATCCTATATGTACTGTTTAATCGCAAAACAGCCAAGAAAACCTGCCTACAAATGGCAGGTGTTTTCCAGTTCTGGTCTATCCTTGTCTCTGCCACGCCTCCATCTCCATCTCCGGTAGTAGCAGCAGAGTCAGCAGTAGCGGGGACAATTTACAACCTATAGCGTGATATTCCCAGACTCCGAAATTGCCCTTATTTTGACTCAGTTTTGCTTAATTTAGAATTAGTCTTATATTTAATTCTGGGTTGCATTAAAAAAGTCTTAAATCTAACTCTCCTTAGGATGTTGGAACTCTGTATGAGATATAGCGTAAAAAGATGTGTTTACTTTTGTCAAGTTTTATTCCTGTGTGTCATATCAAACACAATTATTACTGTTTTACAAAGCATCTTCCGGTAATACATTTATCTTTCAAATAACATATTTACATGGAAAATTTTCAAATGAAATGCACACTGAAAGAAACTACTACAGTCTATCCCTATAAGGGGTTTTTATTTCTTTGGTCCCAGACTTTATTCAAGTAACTTATCTAAATGTTTCATATGTAAACAGCCAACATGGTACCAATCAATGAATGTGTAATGATAACATAAATATCGTTAGACTGATATGCAACTATAATATGAATGATGGATGGAGACACATGATGGTTGTAGCCTTTTGTCTGAAACGTGTGTGCACATGAAGGGGGAGGTGGAGGTAGCTTGGCAAGCGTACAAATGTGAGAGCTTGTTGCCAGAAACATAAAGAAGTTATGTCAATAGAAATAAAACCTGAAATACAGTATAAACCTGTTCTTCATAGACTGGTCAAATGAAATGAAACCCGAAACAAGTGAATCCCTGTGACCTTGATGTCAGATTGTAGCATCTTCAGGTAGGAGAGAAAACACAGAAGCACAAGGAAGTATAGGAGGGACAGGAAAAGGAAGGGAGAAAAATAAGGAGCAGGCGAAGAATAGGCTGGCAAAAAAAGAGAAAGCAAAAACAATGTAGTCTATCTTTCTCTCAGCATTGCTGTGCCAGGCTCTTACCAATCACACATGAGGTTGTTATGCCTTAAAGGTCTGAAATTTTAAACAGGTGTGGTTGACAAGATGTAGACGGTAGAGAAGGGGCTGCATAGTCCGGCTAGTTGTTGTTCAAATATGATGTATAATATAAGAGGAACATAAAACCCCCACTTTTTAGCCATGTTTGAAGTGATGTAGTTTAGGTTGTGTTTTAGCCACATGCCAAACAAGCACTTTATCAGAAACTAGAGGATGTTAGCTTTCAAATGAATCATAATACATACATTCTGGCCGGACTGGTCTCCTGTTTCAAGCTTTCCATTTGGGTATGCCAAAGCAGCAAAAATTACAAGGAAAAAAATAATAAGAATAAGATGTCATCAGACATGTCACCTGCCCACCACCTTTTGTCCAGCACAGTCCCAGCTGCCGTAGTCACACCAGTCAGCATACCTGGAAACAATCAGTGTTTTTATTTCAACCAGAGGTATCGCTGGGGTTTTTCTCCATGTTTGGGCTGGCTGGTTCTGTCCCAGCTCCTGAGGGTCGATGTCTGATTCTGGCAAGATTGTGAAGCATATTGTTCCTCTGGAGATAATGGGCCTGGAAAGAGATGAAGTAAATGAGCTAATGTCACCTAAACACTGAGAGACAATGGTTGGGACTTGAATCCTGTTGCAGAGTAATTTTAGGTCATCCTTTGGTAGAAGAATGTGACTTCACAAGTGATAAGTAGACATTTTGCTGACCCCTGGGAGGAGGACATGTGTATCAGTTCTTCCTATAAATCCTGTCCACCTGTAGCTCTGTGACCACATGGCTCATCGCCAACTGGTCACAGTGATTCTGGGTGGGAGGTGATGTCATTACCATGCCCACTTGCAATGCACTTTGCTTGTCCAATAACTGCTGCCTCAGCCATGCAGCTCCAGTGTGAACTGATAAATAGTTTATCACAAGTGACTGACTGAACCAGCAGCAGAGGCTGATATGAGTTACACCAGCCTGCAAATGTTTCTAAGATGTGGTCATGTGGAAACCTTTGGCTCTGTCCAAAATTGCTCAATTAGAAAAGAAGTGTATTGTATATTTGTATTTCTGAACGAGTGTGTGCCTGCACTGCTGAGCTGTGTATGTACATTTGTACATGTGTGTGTGTGTGTGTGTGTGTGTGTGTGTGTTAGAGAGAAAGAGGGAGAGAGGCAGTGCTACCTGAGCACCCATAATTGGTCTTAAAGTGTAGTTTTATTGCTCTGTTTTCTGACCTGGTATGCTTTGTGTTCGGCTTTGATGGAACCACATAGTTATGCAGTGAAATAACACTGAGGTAAGAAGATCGAAGAATGAAGGGGAAAGTGAGAACTATATGCTTAGAGCCATATACATTTTTTAGTCTTGTGGTCATAAATATTTGTTTGAAGTCATGATTCCTTGAAAGGGACGTGAAATCTCAGAGCTGACAGCTGAGACTGACTGTAGATGTTTCAAATAGTGGAAGCTGTATGTTGTTAGTTTGTACAGTGAGAAAATCAGACATGTTTATTCATTTTGGATACATCTTACTTCTACAGTTACATCCTTCATGCTGACATAATCACACCTGAACATGTGAACACAGAGATCTCAGAATTAACAATACAGTCACCTCCTCGAGTGTGGCCATGTGAGTGCATACAAATCTGGAGGTTCCATACAGTCTAAGATCTATAGTGTGCCCTCTAGTGGAATACTCCAGTACCATGTGTAGTCCTCAGGCAAGTACGTGAACAATTCTGTTCACGACACAGCTGGTTGTCTACCCTAATGCATGGTTAAAAAGCAATTATATATCCGGCCTTAGGGTGAGTTATACGAATGGCTATATCTAGAGTCAGTGTTCACTATTTTTGCTCTGGGCTACTGTAGGAACATGGTGGTGCAACATTGTGGACTCCGTAGACAAGGACCAGCTCCCTAAATGGCTCAATCTAAGGCAACAAAAACACAAGACTCTTACTTTCAGGTGATTATGCACTAAAGAAAACATACATATTATATTCTATGTCTGCCAATACATCCCCCCGTAAATCTTACACACTGGACCTTTAAGAGTGGAAGTGGTCAGAGGAAGCAACATGTCACAGAGTTAGTTTGTACATTTAGAAAGTCAGACCTGTTTATTCACTCTAAACACAACTTTCCAAAGCATTAATATCCTTCAACCTGACATAATTGCACTCACACCTGCACGTGTAAACACAGAAGGAAACATTAACATTCACAAACATGCGCGTTGTCCTGCATGTTAATGTGCCTGGAAT